GCGGAGCAACGTCGACGTGTTCCTCGCCAACGGGTTCGGGTTTTGCGAGCTCGAGGAGCGCAGGACGGAGGCGGCGGCGAAGGGCGACGCGGGCGGCGGCTGCTGTCTCGCGCTGAAGCACGTGCCGTTCAGCAAAGGGACGACGTTCGGCCCGAGCGACGTGCACGAGCTCATCGGCATGCTCGACGACGGCGAGTACGCGTTGCCGGCGCGATCGCAGCTCACCGTGGCAAATGCCGCCCCGTCGACGTCGGGGACGACAAAACCTATTGGGACGTCGGGCGGACCTTCGGGACCCGCGGGGGGTCTGTCCGTTTCGGGGAGTGTGGTGCGCCCGTCGCGCGTGCGCGCGATGCTCGCCATGCGCGCGTGTCGCTCCAGCGTCATGATCGGCGCGGCGTTGGATCGGCGAAAGATGCGTCGCGCGTTGGATAACCTCGCGTCGTTGGATGCGCCGTGGAACTGTCCGCACGGGCGACCGACGATGCGGCACCTCGCGGATCTGCGCACGGTGTCGCGGGGGTTGGGGCGCGCGGGGTGGAGAAAACGCGGCGGGAAGGGCGGCGGCGGCATCGGCGGATGGTGACGAGACGGGTCCGGTCCGTCGCGGCTGGTGGGAGTGTGATGAAAACGCGTCTCGACCGTTTTAATAAACGCGCACCGCGTTTCATTTTGCGCGGTCCACCGAGGAAATTAACTCGACGTTTCCGAGTCGATTATTAACCGCGAGAAAAAATCAGCGCCGCCGCGGCGTTCTTCTCTCGTCGACTCCGTCACCGCACGCGCGTCGGATCCGTCCGCACACCACCCCGCGCGGCCGCGAACGCTCGCGACTCCAAGTCTCTCGCGACTCGCCCCGTCGTCGTTCACCCACTCGCCGTCCATCATGGCCAAGGAAAAGAAGGAGAAGAAGGAGAAGAAGGAGAAGAAAGAGAAGCGCAAGGAGCCGGAGGAATCGCCCGAGAAGGCGGACGACGCCGACGACGAGAAGAAGTCCGCGAAGAAGGCGAAGAAGGAGAAGAAGGAGAAGAAGGAGAAGGTGCGACCGACGCCCTCCCTCGACCACGAATCTCGGCGCGCCGCGCGGTCCGCGTCGAGATTCGCCGCGCGCTCGCGACGTTCTCGTCGCCGACCGCGCGTCTCGGAATCGATGAATCCATGTAATCGAGGATCGCCACACTGGCAGCCGCCGCCAGCCAGCCGCCTTTGTCGCGTCGCGCGCGGGGACCGCGCGTCCCCGCGCGCGAACGTCGCGCGCTCGATCGCCGGTTTCGATCCTCACGGGTCGTCGCGCATCGTCGCGACGCGTCGCCGTCGGCGCCGGCGCGTCATCGCGACGGAACGCGCGCGCGTCGCCCCGCCCCGATCCCCCCGTCGTCCGTCGCGATTCGTCGATTCGAGTCGAGCGACGCGGCGTTCTGACGATCCGATCCTTTTTCCTCCTCCCCCTCCCTCTCCCCGTCTCTCTTCGCCGCAGGCCCCCTCCCCCGAACCCGAGGCCGGCGGCGGCTCCGACGACGACGACGACGACGGATTCAAGGTCCACACAAAGTCCGCCGCGGACGCGGGGAACCCGCTCGCGAAGGAGTACGAGGACATCACGCTCAACTGCCGCGACTGCAACGCGGAGTTCGCCTTCAGCGCGGGCGAGCAAGAGTTTTACCAGAGCAAAGGCTGGGAGAACCAGCCGACGCGGTGCACGGAGTGCAAGAACGCGAAGAAGGCGCGGTTCGGCGAGGGCCCGTCCGCCGGGCCGGTGTGCTACGCGTTCCAGAAGGGCGAGTGCACGCGAGGCGACTCCTGCAGGTTCTCGCACGGCGACGCCGGCGGCGGCGGCGGCGGCGGCGGGTCGTGGGGCGGCGGCGGCGGCGGCGGCGCGCCCTGCTACGCCTTCCAGAAGGGCGAGTGCACCAGAGGCGACTCTTGCAGGTTCTCGCACGATCCGAACGCGCAAACGCCGCAGAGATCGTCCGCGCCGTGCTACGCCTTCCAGAAGGGCGAGTGCTCCCGCGGCGACGCGTGCAGATTTTCTCACGATCCGAACGCGGTCTCCGGCGGCGGTTTCAAGGCGTCCGGGACGTGCTACGCGTTCCAGAAGGGCGAGTGCACGCGGGGCGACGCGTGCCGGTTCTCGCATGAGTGAGAGAAGGGTTGTTTTTTTGGCGCGAGGCGGCGGGGTCGCGGCGCGACGCGAGGGAGAGAGAGTGTTTTGTACGCAGACGTCGGTCGAGGCGTGATGTAAAAAACGGCGATGCCTAAACGCTCGCCTCCGCCCCCGTCGTCGTCGTCGTCGTGTCGTCGTCGTCTTCTCGTCTTACAATAGGTCGAGCCATATTTTGGGCTCGAAACAAATCTTCTCGAACAAATCGTCGCGCGCGCGGTTCTCTCTCGTGTCCTCGTCACTCAATGCAATGCAGGCAAGCTTCAAAACAATGTGCGTGTATCGTACACTGTACACCCGGCGGCGATCTCGACCGCCGGTGAAATATATTTTCGGGGCCCCGCCCGCGGCCCCTGGCGCCAAAAAATAAACGCGCGTCCTCTCTCGTACGAGAGGCGGGCGTCCGAGGGACGCTCGGGGCCCTCTCTTAAATCATCAGGTCGCGCATCCCGAGCACGGACGGCGGGGAGTGACCGTACGCGTCCACGGAGACCGATGAAGACTTCCCGCCCGCGACCGCGACCGACCCCGCCGCGGCGGCGGCGGCGCGTTTCCCCCCCGGCGCGTTTTCGCGGTAAAAGTCCGTCATAAACTCCACGAGCGCGTCCACGGCGTCGTCCGGGAGCTGGTTGTACATCGTCACCCGCAGTCCCCCGAACAGCGGGTGCCCGACGAGGTTGTAGAAGCCCGCCTCGGAGGATTCTCGTACGAACTTTTCCTCCAACGCTTTGTCCGCGATCGTGATCGGGATGGTCATGAGGCTTCGAAACTTGGGCTCCACGCGGTTGACGTAAAAGCCGTCGCTCGCGTCGACGACGTCGTACACCGCGCCGGCGCGTCGCCGCGCGCGCTCGCGCATCGCGACGACACCGCCCTTCGCCTTCGTATCCTCGAGCACGAGCTGAAGCGCTCTAACGCCGAAGACGTTGGGCGTGTTCCAGATGTTCGGAATCGGCGTCGTCGCCGCGGCTGCCTTAAACGACATGATCCCCGGCGTGATGGGCAGCTCCCTGTTAATCGGGGAGTCCTTCGCGATCAGATCCTTGCGCACGATCACGACGACGAGCCCGCTCGGGCCGAGGTTCTTCCCCGTGCTCGCGTACACGACGCCGTACTTGCTGAAATCGACGGGGCGCGACAGCAGCGTGGACGTGAAGTCCGCGACGAGCGGCGGCGGCGCGGCCGCGGTTACATCGGAATCGGAATTTGAGACGGCGATCGTTGGGTCTTCGTGGAACTCCAAGCCGTTGATCGTCTCGTTCGCGGTCATGTGCACGAACTTCGCGTCCGGGTCGATCTCCCACGCGGAAGGGTCCGGGTACCGCGCGTCTCCCAGCGGCGACGTCGCCGCGACGTGCTCGCACGCGCAGTACTTGGACGCCTCGCCCGCAGCGCGTTTGCTCCAGAACCCGTCGCCGACGAACTGCGCCTTGTTCTTCGTCGTCGCGCCCGGCGTCTCCGGGCCGGCGAGGTTCAGCGGGATCGCCGCGAACATCGCGTGGCCGCCGCCGTGCATGAGCAAGACTTCGTGAGTATCCGGTATGTCCAGCACCTCTCTGAGGAGCGCGCACGCGTTCGTCATGCAGCTCTGCACGGGCCCGCCTACGTCGCGGTGCGAGTGCTCGATGAGGCCCATGCCCGCGCCCTCGAAGTCGGCGAGCTCGGCGGCGAGCTTCGCGAGGACGCCCGCGTCCACGCACGACGGCCCCGCGGAGAAGTTGTGCTTCCAGCGCTGCTGCCGGGGTTCGGACCCGGCGTCGCTGCTCGTGTCGGAGAGGTCGGAGAAGGACATCGTCGCGCGCGTTCGTTCTGGAGTGACGGTCGCGTCGCGTGCGTTCGCGCGAGATCCGGCGGCGTCCGGTGGTTTGAATGGAGCGCGCGCGTTTTAAGGCGTGCGGGAGGCGTCCGTGGACGAAATCGCGGATTTTTCGACGGCGTCGATGCGAAGAAGGTCGAGCGGATCGAAAACGATCGGGCGTTCGAGCGTTCGAGCGCGCGCGAGGACGCGCGGCGGAGTGATCGCCGCGTCGCTTCGCGAGGTCAAACAATCTCCAAGAAGGAACTTTTTTTTAATTCCGCGCGGTTTTGTGTTATCGCGTGGTGTACATTATCGTGACTACGTTGCATACAAAATATGTGCGTAAAAAGACAACACAAGAAAAGAGAGTAACGGGTCGAAAATGCCGCGCTGCGATTGGTCAGGAGGCGCCAAAATTCCTGCAGGTGGCGCCAAAATTGCCCGGGCCGCGCCAGCCTGGAATCTGACAATTTTCGCACGAGCAATTAGTCTAAAAATTGTCAGAATTGGAGAACCGTGCACGCGTTTTGATTGGTTAAATTATTAGGATGGGAAACTTTCCGAACTTCATCTTTAGCCGGCAACACCCCAACTCGCACTAAAACTGCCTCGAAAACGACAAGGATCGCTCCGACGAACGCTCCGTTCGCCCCCGCGACAGGCCACCCCCCTCGCGTTTCCCCTAACGCTTCCGCTCCCGTCGCTCTCAGCGGGCGTGAGCGCGCGTGCGCCGCGCGGCGCGCGCGACGCCGCCGGCGCCGGCGCCGTTCTTTCCGGAAGGATTGCCCATTCGCGCGACGTATTCTTCTCGCGGCGGCGGCGGCGGCGGCGGCGTGGCCTTTGGCAGCGGGCCAACGCGCTCTCCGCGCGCGCGGCGGGTGATTCGCCGTCGCGCCGCGGCGTCGGATGGAAACGCGAAACGCGAGGACCGAGCCTGACTGTTTTCAAGGCGTTTCGTCGCGTTTATCGTCGCGTCCGAGGGCCAAAGCGCGGTGCTCCGTGCATCAATCACGCCGTCCGATGATGGACGCGTCGCCGCGTCTCGGACACGACCGTCGGACGCGCCTCTTCGTCGACGCGCGTCTCGTCCTCCGCGCTCGAGCGCGCGCGACGTCCGTCCGTCCCGCGCGGTCGCGAAAACGCGTCCGCGTTCGTCCGCGGCGCGCGAGGACGTCGCTCGCGCGCGGACGGACGGACGCGCGCGGGAGGGAGGGAGCCCCCGCCCGTCCCCAGATCTCCGTTCGTCTTCACCGTCAGCAGCGTCGGTCCGTCGCCGGACGACGACGCGCGGTTTCCGCGCGCGACGTCATCGCCCGCCGCCGCCGCGTCGCGTCTCACCCGCGGCGACGCGCTCTTCGACGGTCGTTCTCGCCATCGCGCGCGCGGCGTCCGCGCGTCGCTCGCTCTCTCGCGGCGCGGAGTGTCCTCGCGGCGACGATAGAAATATTATACGGCGCTGCGCTGTCAGGTCGACGGCCCGGCCGATACCAGATTACCAGACTCGTCGAGAAGCGAGAACTCACCCCGATAGCAGTCGCGTCGACCCTCGCTCAGCGCGGCGCCGTCACACCGCGGGGGCGCGCGCCGGTCCCCCCGACGCGTCGTCGTCGCCATGGCGACGATGTTGAAGGCGATCACGCGGTTCAAGACGAAGAGCAGCGGCGGGAGCTCGCACCAGGCGCGCGCCCGCGCGAGTCCAGACAGAGCTCCGTCCAGATCCTTCGTTCAAACGACGCGCCCCGTCCCCGTCCGTCCGTCCCGTCCGCGGTCCCCGACGCCCCCGTCCCCTCCCTCCTCGCGCCACCGCCCGCAGCGTCACTCCAAGGGCTCCTCCGGCGGCAGCGGCGCGCACGGCGGCGGCCCCATGCACGCGGAGCTCGCGGACTCGCTCGAGCCGTTCACCAGGTACGAGCCCGGCGACTTCGACGTCGACGCCTTCGCGGCGACGCACTACGGCGACGCGAACGAGAAGCGCATCCGCGCGCTCGCGTCGCAGCTCGGGGCGATGCGCGCGAGGGCGGACACGGAGCTCAAGCGGAACGTCTTCGCGCACTACGCGGCGTTCATCCGAGTGAGCGCGGAGATCACGAAGCTGCGAGGGAAGGTGATCGAGCTGAGGAAAGAGATCGACGCGCCGAGGGTCGCGGTCGAGAGCGCGCTCGCCGAGGCGGACGCCGCGCGCGCCGAGTCAAAAAAAACGTCCACCGCCCATGACGATACTACTCACAAGTACGACCCAAACGGCGGCGGCGATGTTGTCGCGCCGATCATCGAGGGCGCGCGCGACGCGGACGCGAGGATGGCGTTAGAGCTCGCGGACGAGCTCGCGACGGCGACGGCGGAGCGAGCTTATCTCCGCGCGCACGACCTCCGGCTTCGCGGGCTGAAGCTCGAGACGTCGCTGCGCGCGGCGTGGGAGGACGCGACCGCGCCGATCCGCGCGAGGGTGGAGGACGCGCGAAGGCGGAGGCGGGAGGAGCGGATCGCGCGAGGGAAGAAGGCGGCGAAGCCGTGGCCCGCGGGTGAGGGCGACTGGGAGGACTCGGACACGGACACGGAGGAAGACGACGACGACGACGCCGCGGAAGGACCCGGACCCGGAGAAGAAGAGGACGACGAGGACCTCACCGCCGCGTACGAGAGGAAGGGATGGAGCACGACACCGCGCGACGACGATCACCCCGTCATCCGCGCTTTAAAGATGGAGCTGATGCGTCGCACGAAGATGGAGGAACGCGGCGAGAGCGACGACCTCACCCCCGATCCGCTCACGCGAGCGATGCAGGCGAAGCTCGACGGCGCGTCCAAAGCGGACGTGGGCGAGGTCTTAGCCGCGGCGCTGAAGGCGCAGGACGAGCGGTTCCTCGGGCCGAGAGAGCGGCGGCGGATGCGCCGCTTCTTCCGCAGAGGCGGCGCCGCCGACGACGACGACAGGCTCGTCGAGCCCGCGCCGTTGCGCGTCTTGCGCCGCGTCCTCGACGACGCCGAGGCGCCCGTCCTCGACGCGCTCCTCCACGCGGTCGGCGACGCGCGCGTTTGCGAGCCCGAGCGCGTCGCGTCCGCGACCGCGCTGCGAGGCGTCGACCGCGGCGACGACGCGCTGCGCGCGGCGCTGCGGCGCGTCGGGGAGGCGACGCGCGCGGACGTCGCGGCGGTGAAGGTGAGACTGGTTCCCATACGACCCCGTTCGCGTGGTGCACGCCGTTCCTTAAGGACTTTTCCCGTCGTCACTCTTCACCCGCGCTTCCCTTTCAACGTTTGACCGGTAAGACGTTCGACTGACCGATCGGTTCACCCACGCAGGGCGCCGGCGTCGGATGGGCGGCGGAGGCGTGCGAAAGCTTCTTCGCCGCGCTGCGCGTCGCGCCGCGCGACCGCGCGGTCGTCGCGGCGGCGGATCACATGTCCGACGCGACGCGCGAGGTGATCGTGGCGTGGATCGAGGAGGAGACGACCGCGTTCGCGGAGACGTTCGCGGCGAAGGCGGTCGTGTGCGGCGGCGGCGGTGTTGAAGTCGCGAGGATGCCGCGCGCGTCCGCCGCGGTGCTCCTCGCGCTCGGGCACGCGGACGCGATGCCCGGGGACCTCGGCGGGCGGGAGAGCGTGTTCGACGGCGTCGCGGGGCACGTCGCGGCGTGCCCCGCGTTCTTCGACGCGATGAAACGCGTCATCGACGCCGCGACGGACGCCTACCTCGGCGCCGGGGACGACGAGGAGGAGGAGGAGGAGGAGGAGGAGGAGGAGGGGGAGGAGGGGGCGCGCGGTGGGGGCGGGGGGAGCGGGGACTGGCTCGACGTCTCCGAGGAGTACATCGAGAGCGGCGGGTCCCTGGCGACGCTCAGGGCGCTGTGCGAGAAGGGCGTCGCGGACTGACCGCGCCGCGGTAGACACTACAGTAGTCTAGCGATGACGACGACGAACGAGATGACGTCTCGGGGCGCGAGAGCGCGCGAACGGAGAGATGATGAATTTCGTTCGGTCCAAAAAAATCAATTCGCTACGCGCGTCCGGCCGTCTCACCCCCCCGACCCCGCGTTCTGGTCCACCTTCAACACCGCCATGAACGCCTCCTGCGGCACCTCCACCTTCCCGAACTGCTTCATGCGCTTCTTCCCCGCGGCTTGCTTCTTCAGAAGTTTCTTCTTGCGCGAGATGTCGCCGCCGTAACACTTCGCGAGCACGTCCTTACGCATCGCGCTGATGGACGTGGACGCGATCACCTTCGTCCCGATGGACGCCTGGATCGGAATCCGAAACATCTGCCGCGGGATGAGCTCCTTGAGCTTATCCACCAGCCCTCTCCCCATGACGTACGACTTGTCCCTGTGGCAGATGCACGCGAGCGGATCCGCGGGCTCGTAATTGATCAACACGTCTAACCGCACCAAGTCGCTCTTTCTGTACTCGTTGAACGAGTACTCCATCGACGCGTACCCTTTACTCCGCGACTTGAGCTCGTCGAAGAAGTCCGTCACCACCTCCCCGAGCGGGATGTCGTACTTCAGACACGTCCGCGACTCGCTCAGGTACGTCATGTCGATGAACTCCCCGCGGCGTTGCTGCGGGTCGTTCCATCATACGAAGCGACGTCGGGGTGGAGTTCAAAGGCGTCAGAAGCGGAGTTGAAAGGCGTCGCGGGCGGGCGTTGAAACCGTGGGGTGGGCGGAGAGATGCGCCGGGAAAAGTCCTTAAGGAACGGCGTTCACCACGCCGACGGGGTCGTATGGGGACCAGTGTAAGGTGAATGCACCTGCGCGAGCTCCATCAGCGATCCGACGTAATCCGACGGCGCGAACATCTCGAGCTTGACGAACGGCTCCTCGATGCGATCGCGGACGCTCGCGTCCGGCAAATCCGCCGGGTTTGCGATGTCCACGCACGCGCCGTCGGACGTGTACACCTTGTACACGACCGACGGCGCGGTCGTGATGAGCCCGAGGTCGTACTCGCGCTCCAGACGCTCTTGTACGATCTCCATGTGCAGCAAGCCGAGGAACCCGCATCGAAACCCGAAGCCCATGGCGCTCGACTGCTCCGGCTCGTAGCGCAGCGCCGCGTCGTTGATCTGCAGCTTCCCGAGCGCGACTCTCAGGTCCTCGTACTGGTCGCTGTCCGTGGGGAACAGGCCGCAGTACACCATCGGCGTCGCCTCGGAGTACCCCGGGAGAGGCTCCGTCGACGAATCCTTCGTCGTCGTGATCGTGTCTCCCACGCGCGCGTCCGCGACTGACTTGATGTTCGCGATCATGTACCCAACCTCGCCCGCGCTCAGACGGTTCACCGGCACCTTCTGCGGCCGCATGATCCCGATCTCGTCGATCGTGTAGCTCTTGCCGGTGTTCATGAACTTCACCGCGTCGCCCACGCCGAGGTTGCCGTCGACGACGCGGAAGATGACGACGACGCCGCGGTACGGGTCGAAATACGAATCGAAGATGAGCGCTCGCAGCGGTTCGTCTCCGGTGTCCGGCGGCGGCGGGATCATCTTCACGATGTTCTCCAGGATGTCCTCCATCCCGATGTTCGCCTTGGCGCTCGCGACGACGGCGTCCTCCGTGTCCAGACCCAGCACGTCCTCGATCTCTCTCTTCACAAGCGAATGTCGGGGTGGAGTTCAAAGGCGTCAGTCGGAGTTGAAAGGCGTCGAGGGCGGGGATTGAAAGCGAGGGGTGGGCGGAGAGATGCGCCGGGCGAAGTCCTTAAGGATCGGCGTTCACCACGCCGACGCGGTCGTATGGGAACCAGTGTATAGAACGCACCTTCACGCGCTCCGGCTCCGCGCCCGGGAGATCGATCTTATTCAACACCGTGATGATCTCCAGGTCGTTCTCCAGCGCCAGGTACACGTTCGCGACCGTCTGCGCCTCCACGCCCTGGCTCGCGTCCACGACGAGCAGCGCGCCCTCGCACGCGGCGAGCGACCGAGACACCTCGTAGGAGAAGTCCACGTGCCCCGGCGTGTCGATGAGGTTGAGCACGTACGTCTCGCCGTCGTTCGCGACGTAGTTCATGCGCGCGGAGTTGAGCTTGATGGTGATGCCGCGCTCGCGCTCGATGTCCATGGAGTCGAGGAGCTGCGCCTCCATGTCGCGCGCGGCGACGGTCTTCGTCTTGGAGAGGAGCGTGTCCGCGAGCGTGGACTTCCCGTGGTCGATGTGCGCGATGATGCTGAAGTTGCGGATTTGGCTCGGCGGGACCTGGAGCACCGCGTTCGGGTCCACCTTGGCGCGCTCCTTCTTCGGCTTGATCACGACGTTCGCGTCGCCGCTCGTCGCGGCCGCGCGCGTCGTCCATCTTCGCGGCGCGCGAACGGCGACGAGACGATTCCTTCCATTTCCATCTCTTCGGAACCGGCCCGGGCCCCGCGCGGCGGCGGCGAACGGCGCGTCTCTGGCCGCGGTCGACGCGCGCGCGGCGCCGCGCGACGCGGGCGCCGCGGACGCCATCCGAGCGCGCGCGCGCGTCTTTCTTCGCGCGTCCTTTCGCGTCTCCTCGCGCTTCCTCCGCGCGTTCGCTTCTTCCGCTCAGACGCGCGGCCTCTCGCGGACGACGCGTCGCGGGGAGTGGTGACGTGCCGGCCCGGGCGAGTGCAACGAAGATAAGACGACGCGAGGCCGCGCGGTCGACGACGGTTGAAAGCGGCTTTTGAAAGCGGGAAATCGCGAGTTGATCGCGTCGCGCGTCGGATCTACGCATCGACGACCGATGAAAATAACCGACTACTGCTACTGTACCTCCGAGGCGCGAAGAATTCTTCACGCGTCCTCACTCTCGCCGCCGCGGAGGCTCGGGGCCCCACGCGCGAGAGGGAGGATGACGTCGTTCGCGTCGCCGACGGCGCCGCGCGCGCGCGTCGTCGCCGCGGGCGCGAACCCGCGCGTCGCGCGCGCCGCGTCGTCGTCCGCGCGCGTCCGCGCGCGCGGCGCGTCGGCGTTAGGGAAGAAAGCGAGCGAAGACCGTCGCCCCGTCGCAGCGTCAGCGTCGTTCGCATTATTCTCTCCCTCGCGGACGACGACGACGACGACGACGACGACCGGACGGCGAGGCCTGACGATCGTCGCGAAAGCGTCCGACGGCGGCGGCAACGGCGGCGGCGTCGGAAAGTTCCTCACCGGTTTCCTGATCGGCGGCGCCGTCTGCGGCGTCGCGGGCGTCCTCTTCGCCCCGCAGCTCTCCAAGACGTTCCTCAAGGGAAAAGACTCGGTCGGGAAGTTTCTGTACGAGGATTACGACGAGGACGACGACGACTCGCTCGAGCGCACGCGGCGCAACTTGAACGACAAGATCGCGCAGCTGAACAGCGCGATAGATAACTTCAGCACGGAGGCGGACCGCGGGCTGAGCGACAAGATCTCGAAGCTGAACGGGGAGGTGGAGAAGCTCGAGAAGAACGCCGAGGGCGGCGCGGAAGCCGCCGCCTAGCTATTTGCCGTCCATCGCGTCGACGACTGACTCTGTTGTTATAACACGTGTACACGTAATAAGCCCTCTCTCTCTCGCTCGCTCGCTCGCTCGCACTCTTCTTCAGCTCGCCTTGTTCTTCGGCGGCGGCGGCGGGTTCAAAACGTTACTCAGCAAGAACATCGCGGGGAGCACGTACATCCAGTACTTCGCCATGAAAGGCGACGGCGGCGGCTTCTTCTTGACGTTGCCATCCGCGTCGCGCTCCTTCTTCGCGCCTGCGAAGCAAAAGGGCGAAGCGAAAGGAAAGGGGGGAACACGATAACACGTCGGCCAGCGAACGAAACGATCGGAAACGTCGCGCGGGTCGAAGCGGTGGTCTGACGGGGAGGGAGTCTCTCTCGTCTGATGATATGATCTCGCGCACCCGGTCCGCCGTGGCCGCGCACGTCCGTCCCCGCCCTCGGGTCCAACCTCGGCGCGGTCTTGTGATGCCGCACCGCCGCGGTCGTTCGGAACACCGGGTTCGCGCCCAGCGGCGTGATCTCTCTCTCTCCATTGGGGGCGCAGTCGCCGCCCATGGTCGCGTAGTCCACGCCGACGACGTTGCCGAGCTCGTCCGCGTGGAGCGCGAAGTTTTCCTGGAGCTGCGCGTCGGCGAGGCACCGCGCGGGAATCGACGCCATCACGCCGACGCCCTTCCGCGGGTGCAGCACGTTCGCGGGGACGCGCACGCGGTACGGCAGGTCGTCCTCCACGAGTTTCGCGAACGCCGCCGCGAAGGACGCGTCGACGGGATCGCGCGTCAGCTGCAGCCGCGTCAGTCGCGCGACGGCGACGTCGTCGTCCGCCGCCGCCGCGGATGACGATCTCTCGAAGTGCGCGCGCGCGGAGAAGACGCCGCACGGGGCGAAGTCATCGTCCGAGACGTCGCCCGGTCTCACCGCGAGCGCGTGCTCGAGGACGAAGGTGATGTCCTCGACGCCGCGGCCGGCGCCGCCGGCGCCCTTGGTCGTGGCCACGGACGCCGCGCCGGAGGTGTCGTCGTCGTTCGACCCCCCCGCCGACGCGCGCGATCGCGGCGCGGTCGCCGCGTTCGCGTTCGCGTTCGCGCGCGCGGTGCGCGTCGGCGGCGCGAAATCCTCGTCGAAGTCGTCCGCGTGGACGCGCGACGCGCCGGAGACGGCGAGCAGGAGGAGGAGGACGATCGCGACGAGGGGCGCGCGAGGCAGCCTGGGGCGGGGTCGAGGACGGGAGGAGGGACGGGAGGACGAGGAGGGCGCGGTGAGCGGCGAGCGGCGCGTCGGAAGATCTCGTCCGCGCCGCGATCGATCGGTCATGGGACGGACGAGGCGTCGATCGTCGCCGCGGGGGGACGACGCGCGTCGGCGTCGAGGGCGAGGAGGAGGACGCGCGCGAAGGGCGCGCACCTCATGACGAACGCGTCGATCGACGATCGACGCCCGGGCGGTCGAACAGTGACGAGACGACGGCCAACGACGAGGAATGAAGAGGCGGTCGCACTCGCGGTCAAAAAGTGCCAATGCCATCACTATCCGCGACGCGGTCTCCTCCTCGAGATGGCGGCGCGCGCGTCGAGCGCGGCGACGCCGGCGCCGCGCGCGGCGGCTCCGCGCCCCCAGCATCGCGCCTCCTCCTCCTCCTCCTCCTCGCGCGTCCGCCAGCGCGCGTCCGCGTCCGCGTCGGCGTCGTCGCCGTCGCCGCCGTCCGCGTCCATCGATTCCGAAACCATCGCCGCGGTCGCCACGCCGGTCGTGCCCCAAGCCGGCGGCGTCGCCATCCTGCGCCTCTCCGGCGACAACGCGCTCGCGGCGACGTCGCGCATCTTCCGCCCCGCGTCCTCGCGCGCGTCCCTGCGGCGCGGCGAGTGCGTCTCGCACCTCGCGCTGTACGGCGACGTCGTGGATCCGGCGTCGGGAGAGATTGTCGACGAGGCGCTCGTGCTTCCCATGCTGGCGCCGCGGAGCTACACGACCGAGGACGTCGTGGAGATTCACTGCCACGGCGGGAGCGTCTGCGTGCAGAGGGTGTTAGCGCTGCTCGTGAACGCCGGCGGCGACAGGAGCGGGAGCGGGACCGGCGGGGCCCGCGGGACCGACGAAGAAGACGCGAAAGATGCCGCCATCCCGGCGGTGCGCCTCGCGCGCGCGGGCGAGTTCACGCTCCGCGCGTTCCTCAACGGCCGCATCGACCTGACGCAGGCGGAGGCGGTGCAGTCGCTCGTCTCCGCGAAGACTACTGTCGCGGCGTCCTCCGCGCTCGCGTCGCTGAGAGGCGGCCTCGCGACCCCCGTCAAGGACGCGCGACGCGTCTGCGTCGACCTCCTCGCCGAACTCGAAGCGCGGCTCGACTTCGACGACGAGATGGACCCGCTGGACGAGGACGGCGTCGCGACGAGCGTGGAACGCGCGGAGGCGAAGATACGCGAGGTTCTCGCGACCGCGCGGCGCGGCGCGCTGCTCGACGCCGGCGTCGTCGTCGCCATCGTGGGCCGCCCGAACGCCGGGAAGAGCAGTCTGCTCAACGCGTGGACGCGAAGCGAACGCGCCATCGTGACGCCCATCGCGGGGACGACGCGAGACGTCGTCGAGGCGTCGATCAACGTGCGCGGCGTCCCGGTCACGCTGCTGGACACCGCGGGGATACGATTCGGGGTTGGGATCGACGAGGTGGAGGCGATGGGCGTGGAGCGGAGCCGGGCGGCGTTGGCGGGCGCGGACGTCGTCGTCTTCGTCGTCGACGCGAGCGAAGGGTGGACGGACGGCGACGACGACATCTTGCGAGGGATCACGGGGGAGCGCGTCGTCATCGGCGACGGCGACGGCGACGACGACGACGACGAAGACGAAGACGCGGGCGAGGTGAAGGTTGGCGTCGGCGGCGGCGGCGAAGGCGACGACGACGGAGTGGACGAGTGGGCGAACGCGATGACGCGACTGAAACGCGTTCGCGGCGGCGCGCTCGCGGAGGCGACGAGGCGCGCGTCGTCGTCGTCGTCGTCGTCCTTCTCCAGAGCGAGCGGCGGTCGGACCGCGGTGCTCGCGCTGAACAAGATGGACACGATCGTAGGAGCGGGAGGATTGATGACGGACGTCATGGAACGGTTACCGGCGCGCGTGAAGGACGGCGCGTTCGCGTCGACGGTGACGCTCTCCGCGACGAGAGGCGACGGCGTCGACGATCTCGAGCGCGCGCTCGCGGAGGTGATCGGCGGCGGGGACGTCGACGTGGAGGGCGCGGCGTGGGTGGCGAATCAGAGGCAAGCGGAGGCGCTGACGACCGCGCTGGACGCGCTGAGCCGGTTGAAGGACACGATCGCGGAGGGGCTGCCCGTGGATTTTTGGACGATCGACCTGAGAGAAGCCGCGTTGGCGCTGGGGGAGGTCACGGGCGAGGACGTCGCCGAGGACGTCCTCGACGTGATCTTCACGAAGTTTTGCATCGGGAAGTGACGCGACGCGCGTATCATGATATCAACCTGGTTATTAGTTAGGTATTACATCAAATACAACCAACGGCATCTCACGTCGGAGATTTTGTTTTGCTCCTCCTTGGGTAACCTGCGACGACGCGAGAAGGACCCACGCGCGCGGGGAAGACGAACAGCACATAACAACCGAACGTCACGTGAGCTGCAGATTTTTCATCAACTGCGCCGCGGCGTCCATGCACGTCATCACCCCCCCGTCCATTCTCTGAAAATCGACCATGTACCGCTCGTCCCGCATCTTATACACCTGGATCTCGAATTTCACCCGCGTCGCCGCCTCCGCCGCGTCGCCTCCCTTCCCGACGCGCTCGGGCGTCTTCGGAGCCTCGCCGGTGTCCATCTCGGCGTCTTCTCCGCCGCCACCGCCGCCTCCGTTCGACTTGTCCATCTTGTACAGGCACTTCAGGTTGTACGGCCCGAGCTTCTTCCACGCGACACCCATCGCGGTCAGCACGCGGAAAATCTCCGCCATCACCGCGGGCGGCGCCATCGTCGTCGTGCTCCCCAGCATCCACCGCTGCTCCGCGGTGAGTCGCTGCTGCATGAGCTGCGCCTGAAGTAAACTCGGCCGCCGCGGCCCCACCGCGGCGCCCTTGCCCCCCGCGTTCATCTGCGACAGCTGGTCCGCGCCCTGGGTCAGCTCCCCAGCCTCGAACTCCGCGCCTAGGTACCCGCCGAACTGATTCCGTCGGTTGTCGAGGAGCAAAAAGTACGCAACCGTCGCCTTGTTCCGGAGTTGATGCCGCAACGCGTCGACGACGTGCTCGCGCTCGAACCCCAGGTTGACGACCATCTCGAGCGTCTCCGCGTCCACGTTCGTCGCCTGCGCGAGCGTATCCGGCGGCGGCACCGCGAGGTACCGAGGCAGGTGCACGACGAACCACGGGTGCGACCGAATCTCCGATATCGTGATCCGCTTCAGAGGGTCCACGAGGAGCATCCGCGCGATCAAGTCTCGCGCCCCCGGCGAGAGATGCGACGGAAGGTTATAAATGCCCCCCTTGATCTTCTTGAACAGGTTCGGTATCGACTCGTCGTCGAACGGCAGAGACCCGCACAGGAGCGCGTACAGGATGACGCCGCAGGACCACACGTCCACCTCGGGGCCGCTGTACAGCTTGCCGCTGAGGGTCGAGGGTCCATACGAGCGATGATATCGGGGTGGAGTTGAAAGGCGTCAGAAGCGGAGTTGAAAGGCATCGAGGTGTGTCAGGATTGAAAGCGATGGACCCTGGGCGGAGAGACACGCCGGGAAAAGTCCTTAAGGATCGGCGTTCACCACGCCGACGGGGTCGTATGGGAACCAGTGTATAGAACGCACCTGATCACCTCCGGTGCGGCGTAATTCGGCGACCCGCAAGACGTCTTCAGAAAGTGCCCGTCGCGCATGACGTTGGATAAGCCAAAGTCCGCGATCTTCACGTTGGATTTCGAATCTAACAGCAGGTTCTCCGGTTTCAGGTCGCGATGCACGACCATGTTTCGATGGCAGTACTCCACCCCCGAGACGATCTGTTGAAAGAAGTGTCGCGCCTCGTTCTCCCCCAGGCGCCCCTTCTCGACGATGTAATCGAACAGCTCGCCGGACTTGACGTACTCCATGACGACGTAGATGTCGTGCGGGGTCTCCAGAACTTCGTACAGGCGGATGATGTGCGGGTGCATGAACAGCCTCAGAATTTTTATCTCCCGCCTGACTTTCTCCTCCATGTCTATCGCTTTTATTTTCTTTCGGTTCAAGATCTTCACCGCGACCTTGTGCCCGGTGAGCAGGTGCTCCGCCACCTTGACCTTGCCGAAGCTCCCGATCCCGAGCGTCTTCCCCATGCGGTAGTTCGGGAGGTATATCTGCGCGATGGGAACGGGAGGGATGGAGGAGAGGAGACGAGGGGGGCGGTCGTTAGGGATACGATTTTATTTTTTTTCCGCGCACGTTTCCGGCAGGGGGTGCTGTGATATATCTCGCGTCGCGGCGCGATTCGCGCGCGGAGGGCGCGGCGCGCGGGGATCGAGAGACGACGCACCTCCGCCATCGCCGCGCTGCCGCCCTTCACGGCGTTATCTCCGGGCGGGGACGCCCCCGCGTCCGTCATCGCGGCGTTCTAACGCGCGCGCCGCTCGGCGATTACCCCGGCGGCGGTCGGTCCCCTCCCAATCCCAATCCGCGTCGGATCCGAAGACCGTCTCGTCCGTCGCCCCGGCGCGCGGGCCTCGAGCGCGTGAGGGCGCGTTCGCGACCGCGGCGTCGTATCGCGCGTCTTGATCACCGCGCGTTCCCCTCCCTCGCGAGCGTGATCCAAGCGCGCGTCGCCTCCGCGCCGTCGCGAATGGCGTTCCGCGCGCGCGGCTCGACGCTTCTCAGCCTGCAACTGCAACGAGCGAAAAATCCCGGCGACGATCTCGCGCAGCGAAAGCCCGCACCGCCGAAAGGTCCGATACTGTATCCGACGCCCTCGTCACAACACACCCTCCCTCGCGACGCCGGACCCGACATGCGCCGCGTCGCGTCGCTCGCGCGCGACCTCGCGCGTCGCGAACTCGCCTCTCTCCCCGCGCCTCCCTCCCTCGCGCGCGGCGCGGCGGCCGCGCGCGCGCGACGCGGATCATGGAACGACGCGACGCTCGACGACTCGAGCGCGTGGAGCGCGCCCGCGGCGGGCGACGACGAGTCTAGCACACGACATCACCTCGGCCTGTCCTCGCACGAGGACCCGACGCCGGTGACGCCGTGGGTGCGGCAGGTCATCTCCGGCGACCAGCTCCTCCGCAGCGCGCGATACAACAAGGGCATGGCGTTCACGGACGACGAGCGCGACAAGCTCAGGCTGCGCGGACTCCTCCCGCCCGCGAAGTTCACGCAAGCGACGCAGGTGAAGCGCGTGATGAAAAACGTGCGCGCGCTGGACTCGCTCGTGGCGAAGCATCTGCACCTCGTCGGGCTGCAGGAGAGGAACGAGAACTTGTTCTTCCGCGTCCTCATCGAGCACGCGGACGAGCTCATGCCGGTGATGTACTCGCGCGATTCCGTCGGGCGGGTGTGCGCCAAGTTCAGCGAGGTGTTCAATCGTCCGAGGGGGCTGTACGTGTCGCATCTCGACCGAGGACGCGTCTACGGCATCTTGAAGAACTGGCCGGAGACGAAGGTCAAGCTCGTCGTCGTCACCGACGGCGAGCGCGCGATGGGGATGGGGGATCTGGGCGTTCAGGGCATGGGCGTCGCCGCGGCGAAGACGAACCTGTACACGTCGTTGGGGGGCGTGCATCCGTCGGAGACGCTCGCGGTGTGCGTCGACGTCGGGACGAATAATAAAACGCTTCTGAACGATCCGTTATACATCGGCACGAAGACGGAGCGAATAACCGGGGAGGTGTACGACGACCTCATGGACGAGTTCATCGCTGCGGTAAAGCGACGGTTCGGCGAGCGAACGGTCGTGCAGTTCGAGGACTTCTCGAACCGAAACGGAAAGCGTCTGCTCGATCGATACGTCAGCTCGGCGACCGCGTTCAACGACGACATCCACGGCGTCGCCGCGAGCACGCTCGCGGGGATCATCGCCGCGGAGAGCAAGACGGGGAAGAGCGCGAGCGAGCACACGTATCTCATCGCCGGCGCGGGCGAGACCGGGACGGGCATAGGCGACATGATCGCCGAGTACATCGCGACGACGAGCGAGCCGAAATCCACCGTCGTGGAGGCGCGGAGAAAGATCTTCTTCGTGGACAGCAAAGGGCTGGTGACCCGCGACCGCGCGGAGAAGGAGCCGGACCTCGCGCTGCATAAGCTCCCGTACGCGCACGACGGCGTCGCGGACGCGAGCACGGTGTTGGACGCGATTCGCGCGGTAAAGCCGACCGCGCTCATCGGCGTTCGAAGGCACCGACGCGCTCTGAAAGAGGGCGCGCTCGCCGGGAAGAGCGAAGACGGGAAGGAACTGCCGTCGACGCACCGCGTGTTCAACCAGGACGTGCTGCGAACCATGGGCGAGCTGAACGACGCGCCGTTGATATTCGCGCTCTCCAGGCACGAGGGCATCAGCGAGTGCACCGCCGCGGAGGCGTACGCGGCGACGGGCGGACGGTGCGTCTTCGCCGCGCGCGTGAACACGCCGCCGTTCGTCCCGCCCCCGGGCTGCGGGTCCAACGGAGGGAAGACGATCACGCTGCAGCCGTCGACGTCCGCGTACGTGTTCCCCGGGTTCGCCATGGGGTTGATCCTCGCGGACGCGTCGCGGGTGCGCGCGCCGCTGTTCATCGCCGCGGCGGAGGCGGTGGCGGCGGCGGTGACGGAGGAGGAATTGAGCCAGGGGGCGGTGTATCCGAGGGTGAGCCGGATGCGCGAGGTGGCGGCGTCCGTCGCGGCGAACGTCGCCGCGGCGTGCTACGACAGCGGGCTCGCGACGACGACGGCGAAGGAGCAGGCGCCGACGTACGAGAAGCTGTTGGAGACCGCGAAGAAGCGGCGGTACGATCCGAGCTATCGATCGTACATGTAATTTTTTTGATGATCGAAACGCGCGGAATCGCAATCGGTCGATCGTCGTTCAGACGGGAGTGGAATCTGAATCTGCTGTTTGCAATCAATCTACTAGTCGCTATCGATGCCGTCGTCGTTCACCGCGACGCACGCGGCCGCGGCGTCGAAGTGATGCGCGAGGTTGATGTCCGCGAGGTACTTACGCGCCGCCGCCTCCGTGCGGAGCGTCTCAAACTTGAACCGCGTGAAGTTTGGACGCGGCGACGTCCCTTTCCACACGCACGTGCACTTGTTCCTCTGCTGCGCGTCCTCGTCCTCGTCCTCGTCCTCGGACGCGGCCGCGTCCGCGGAGTCGAGCTTGACGTTCCAGTCGATGCGGCGCATCATGAGCTTCTCGTATCTTCGAACGGACTTCAACCCGCCCTCGACGATGACGATGCTGAACGAGTCCGTGATCAAGCAGACGCCTGCGACGCGACGACGGAGGACGTCGTCGAGCGCGAGACGGGGGGACGGGGGAGAGAGACGCGAGCGGTGAGCGACGACGGACGCGACGCGCGAGGGGGAAATAACGCGCGAACGAGAAGACGGACGGACTCGCGAGTGGCCTCCGTGTAGCGATCAGGCTCGATCAGCGCTGGAAGCTCTGAGGCTTTCAGTACATGTAGTTCACGCGATTTCGTCATCAGCCGGGGTCGGGGGTCGGGGGTTTCCGGTCGAAGAGAGAGAGAGAAAATGAATGCAACGCGCACCCGTCAGCTTGTTCTCCTGCGCGTTGATGTCCACGCGGAACTTGTTCTTCGGGTTCGCCATGCTCTCCACGCGATACACGTGCACCTGCGTCTCCGCGCTGCTCCCCGGGTCGTCGAACAGCTTGCGCATCTTCTTCTCTCTGCGCTCCGCCGGCGTCAGCTTCCGAGCTTCGTTCCGGTCGTCGTGCGCGCTCTGCCTCTCCGCCATCTGCTCGCGAACCTCGCGCTCCACCGCGGTCGGGTCCGCGGTCGCCTCGTCCGTGAGCACGCGCATCAGGTTCGAAATCTTCACCTTCGGCTTGGGCGGCTCGAGCAGCCCCTGCTTGATCATCTCCTGCTTCTCCTGCTCGCGCGCCATGCGCCGCTGCGTCCGGAGCTTCTTCTGCTCGCGCTTCGTCAGCTTCAGCGGCTGCGGCGGCGGCGGCGGCGCCTCCGTCGGCGGCTGCATCGGCACCGGGTGCTCGACGTACAGCGAGATCTTCTCCGGCTTGACGTTCCACTTCCCTCCCGCGACGTCGTCGTAGCTGCCGGTCGCGAGTATCGCGGCGTCCCACCACTCGACGTCCGGGATCGCGTCCAGCGCCAGCGCCGCCTCCGCGGCGGCTCTCGCGGCGGATTCCCCGGCGCGGCCGCCCTTGATCCCCGCGCGCGCGCCGAGCGGGATCAAGTTCGGGTCCGCGTCCTTCTCGAGCTTCTCGAGCTCCGCGGCGGCGCGGCGCTCGCGGGCTTCGCGCGCGGCGATCTTCCGCGCTTCGGTCTCGCCGAACTTGGCTTGCAAACGCATCATGTCCGCCTGAGCTTGGAACCGTCCTTCTTTCACGAACTGCGGCGAGAGGAAAAGAGTAGGGAAGTGGGTTGGGTTTTTTTTACGAGGCGGGGTCAGGGTTCGTTTCGCGTTCGACGAGGTGACCGGGGGTGGCGTCCGACCGAGCTGACCGATCGAGGCGCGTTCGGGGAGCGTTTCCGCGTCGGAGTCCGCCGGCGTCGTTGGCAAAACGAAGTCGTCTTCACCGAGGTCAGTTGCAAATTACCCATACCTAACTTCATCCGCCGACGGAAGACGACGCAGAAACGCGCGCACGACGAACGCGAAAACAGAATAGCGCGGAGATGTCGACCAGATGGTAAGGGGTTGCGATCACGAGTCACGCGCCGCCAGCTGTCCGGTCGAGGGTCGTTTTCGCAAGCATAAAAATTGCAACGAGAAAGGAGGAGTTCTCGCGACAGAGTGTAACTTGCTCGTTCAGGTTCGAGCTCAGGTCGAGAAGGGCGATCGATGTCCCAGCGTCGCGTAACGCGGTCGAGTGGTGAACCCCCGACGCGCGTTTTATAAACGTGAAAAACTTCGCTGTCGCATTCTGTAGTCCCCGCGTCGACGAGGACGGCCGCGGGGCTTTGAAAGAATGCAATGAGCGCGCTCGAGATTGAAGAATCGAATCGTCCGAGGAGGTATCCGGGATCGAACGGCGCGGCGCGGTGCAGACAGAACCGGCGGGCGACGAACGAACGGAGCGCGACGAACGCAACGCACCTGAAACCCGCCGCGACGTCCTCGCTGTTTCCCCGCCTTTCCCATCCTGGGGTCCATCCAGTCGTCGTCCCCGCCCCCCGCGGCTTCCGCCTCGGTTTCCTTCTCCGAGGCTGCGAACTCCTCGAGCTTCGTTCGCTTCGCGTTCACCTTGAACGTGCTCACCTCCACGATGTTCTTCACGATCACTCTCCCGTGCTCGTCCACCTCCTCGCCCTTCTCGTTGAGACGCAGCGCGCCGGGGCCCGTAAACTTCGCGGGCGCGACGACGGAAGAAGAAGAAGGCGGCGGCGGAGGAGGAGGAGGAGGGATCGTTCGGCCCGCCGCGCCCTCCATCGCGACGATCGCGGGCGCCGGCGCGGCCGGCGTCAGCTTCGGGACCTTCTTCAGCTTCTCCGCGAGCTCTTTCTGCTTCTGCAGGACCGCCTTCGCTTTCGCGAGCGCGTCGAGCGCGGGGAGCTTCGCCTTGGCGGGCGCCGGCGCGTCCGCGGGAGGAGGCGCCGGCGCGGCGACATCGTCGTCGTCCTTCGACGACGACGGAGGCGGATCCTCGGCGTTTTTCGTCCGCTTGCTCCGACGCGACGGCGACGGCGCGGGGGGCGGATCGTCCTCCGCCTTCCTTTTCGGCGGCGCCATCGAAGCGTCGCGCGCGCACGCCCGCGCGTCGACGACCTGCCTGCTGCCGCGCGCGCTATACCTAACCGGCACTGTATGCGGATGAGAGAGATTTTATTTCGGTTTGAGAAAGTGCGGTCGGTCGGTCATAGCGCGCAGCGCGCAGCAGCACTCATCAGCGAGTCGATATTGTCGATTCGCAGGTCGTATCGGATATCGAGATGAATGCCACGTAACATCGACACGCGCAACCCCACGGTACGGTGCGCAAGAGTCATGGAGTCGCTCGGCTCGCGATCCGCGATCGCGCCCGCGGTCGTCAAGACCGCGGCGCAGAAGAAGTACCCGAAACCCCGGCCGCGCGTCCTCGCGCGCGCGCGCTCGGACGCGAACGACGACGCCTCGGAAGCGAAAAAGCAAGCCGTCGCCGGTGCGTAGGACAGCAGCCAGCAGGATTATTTATCCGTCCGTCGACGCCGACGGATCGCCGACGCGCGCGCCCCCGTCCGCGCGTTCCCTCAACGGGGTTTCGTCGCCTCGATGCGCGGGCGTCGCCTCCGGCCGACGCCGCGCGTCGGAGCGCGCCCGAACGCGGAATCGACGCGTCCGCGCGTCGTCGCGCGCTGGGATCGATCGTCGCGCCCCGCCCAAACCCTTAACGCCCGGTGAACTTTTTTTCCGAGACCGAGACCCGCGGCGCGACGACGACGACGACGACGACGCGACGGCGCTCCCCGCCGCGATCCGATCCGATCCGATCGTTCCTCCCTGACGCGCGCCCTTCCCCCGCACGCATCGCCGCCTCCCTTCCCCGTCCTATCAGGCGTCCTCGCGTCCGCGATCGTCCTCAGCAGCGCGGTCCCCACCGGCGCGGCGCTCGCGAGCGCGATGACCGACGCTCAGGTACGTTCTATACACTGGTCCCCATACGACCGCGTCGGCGTGGTGAACGCCGATCCTTAAGGACTTTTGCCGTCGTCTCTCTCCGCCCACCCCCCGCTTTCAATCCCCGCCCTCGACGCCTTTGAACTCCACCTGACGCCTTTCAACTCCACCCCGACATCGCTTTGTATGGAACGGCCCTCAGCGAACGTCCACGGAGCCCATTGAAATCGCGCAAATCTCGCGCGGCGCCACCTCGCCGAAGGCGGTCGCCGAGGCCAACGCCGCGGCCGCGGCCGCGGCGTACGAGGCCGCGGTGAACAAGCCCGCGGATCCGAAGGCGGTCGCCGCCGCGGAGGCGGCCGCGAAGAAGGAAGCCGCGATCGCGTCGCAAAAGGCCAAGCTCGACGCGAAAGCCGCCGCCGCCGCCGCCGCCGAAAAGGCGCGCGCGGAGGAAGCCGCGAAGGTCAAGGCGTCCAAGGCGGAGTCCGACGCCGCGCGCGCGGCCGCGCAGGCGAGTAAGAACGCGGCCGCGAACGAGGCCGCGGAGGCGAAGGCGAAGGCGGCGGCGGAGAAGGCCAAGGCTGAGGAAGCCGCGAGGGCGTCCGAGGCCAAGGCGAAGGCGAAAGCCGCGGAGAAGGCCAAAGCGGCGAAGAAGGCCGAGCCCGTGCCCGAGGCGAAGCCCGCGGAGGCGCCCCCCGCCGCGAAGAAGGAGACGAAGGCGAAGGCGAAGAAGGAAGAGGCCGCGAAGCCGAAGGCGCCGGAGCCCGCGAAGGACCCGAAGGCTGAAGCAGCCGCCGCGGCGGAGAAGGCCAAGGCGGAAAAAGCCGCCGCAGCGGCGAAAGCCAAGGCGCAAGCCGCCAAGGAGAGGGAGCAAGCCGCGAAGGCTGCCTCGGACGCGAAAGCCCAGGCCGAGCGCGTGAAGCAAGAGAAGGCCGCTCTGGCCGCCAAGGAGAAGGAGCAAGCCGCGAAGGCGCAGGCGGAAGCCAAGGCGCAAGCGGAGCAAGCGAAGGCAAAGGCGGACGCCGCGAAGGCTGAGAAGGCCGCCGCCGAGAAGGCCGCCGCCGCGCAAGCGAAGGCTCAGGCCGAGCAAGCGAAGGCAAAGGCGGACGCCGCGAAGGCTGAGAAGGCCGCCGCCGAGAAGGCCGCCGCCGCGCAAGCGAAGGCTCAGGCCGAGCAAGCGAAGGCAAAGGCGGACGCCGCGAAGGCTGAGAAGGCTGCCGCCGAGAAAGCTGCCGCGGAGCAAGCGAAGGCGCAAGCCGCTGAGAAGGCCGCCGCGGAGAAGGCTGCCGCGGAGCGAGCCAAGGCTCAAGCGGAAGCCGCGAAGGCTGAGAAGGCCGCGGAGGCTGCCAAGGAGAAGGAGCAAGCCGCGAAGGCTGCCGCGGAGGCCAAGGCCCAGGCCGAGCGCGTGAAGCAAGAGAAGGCCGCGCTGGCCGCCCAGGAGAAGGAGCAAGCCGCGAAGGCGCAGGCGGAAGCCAAGGCGCAAGCCGACCGCGTCAAGGCTGAGAAGGCGGCGCAGGCTGCCAAGGAGAAGGAGCAAGCCGCCGCCGCCGCGGAACGCGCCAAGGCTGAGAAGGCTGCCGCCGCGGAGGCGGAGAAGCGCGCCGCCGCGATCGCGAAGGCGAACGCCGAGGCCGAGAAGGCTGGAAAACTCGCCGCCGCGGAGGCCATCAAGGCTGAGGAGGCCAAGGTGGCGGCGGCGGCCAAGGTGGAAGCCGCCGCCGCGAAGCAAGCCGCAGCGGAGGCGGAAAAAGCCGCCAAGGCGCAAGCTGAAGCCGCGAAGGCGGAGAAGGCTGCCGCCGAGAAGGCTGCCGCGGAGCAAGCGAAGGCCCAGGCCGCTGAGAAGGCCGCCGCCGAGAAGGCTGCCGCGGAGCAAGCCAAGGCGCGAGCCGAAGCCGCGAAGGAACAAGCCGCGCGCGCGAAGGCCGAAGCCGCGGAGAAGGCGAAGAAAGAAGCCGCGGATGCGAAGCTCCAGGCCGAGCGCGTGAAGCAAGAGAAGGCGCAGGCTGCCGCGGACGAGAGGGCGCAGGCGGAGCAGCTCAAGAAGCAGCAGGCGGAGACCGCGAAGCTCGAGAAGGCGCGCGCGGAACAAGCGAAGGCGCGCGAAGCCGAGCAAGCGAAGGCGGCGGCGGAGCAAGCCAAGGCTGAGAAGGCCGCGGAGGCGGAGCAAGCCAAGGCGCAAGCGGAGCAAGCCAAGGCTGAGAAGGCCCGCGAGGCGGAGCGAGCCAAGGCGCAAGCGGAGCAAGCCAAGGCTGAGAAGGCCCGCGAGGCGGAGCGAGCCAAGGCGCAAGCCGAGGCCGCGAAGGCTGAGAAGGCCGCGGAGGCTGCCAAGGAGAAGGAGCAAGCCGCGAAGGCGCAGGCGGAAGCCAAGGCGCAAGCCGAGGCTGCGAAGGCTGAGAAGGCCGCGGAGGCTGCCAAGGAGAAGGAGCAAGCCGCGAAGGCGCAGGCGGAAGCCAAGGTGCAAGCCGAGGCCGCGAAGGCTGAGAAGGCCGCGGAGGCTGCCAAGGAGAAGGAGCAAGCCGCGAAGGCGCAGGCGGAAGCCAAGGCGCGAGCGGACGCCGCGAAGGCTGAGAAGACCGCCGCCGCGGAGAAGGCAAAGGCGGAGGCAGCCGCCGCGAAAGCCAAGGCGGACGCCGCCAAGGCGGAAGAGGCCGCCAAGGCCAAGGCTGCCGCCGCGGAAGCGAAAGCCAAGGCGGACGCGGAGAAAGCCGAGGCCGCCGCCGCGAAGAAGGCTGCCATGGAGAAGGCTGCCGCGGAGCGCGAGGCGGCGAAGGGCGAAGACAAAGCCGCGCAGCTCGCCGCCAAAAACGCGGAGAGAGAGGCCAAGGCTAAGGCCAAGGCGGAGGCGGACGCGGCGAAGCGCGAGAAGGCTGCCGCCCCGGCCGCGGCGTCGAACCCGTACGGCGTGGAGTACCCGTCCGCGGTGAACAAGTACGTGTCCCCGTACGAGCAAGGCGGCGTCGCGATCGAGCGCGAGGCGACCGAGGCGCCCGCGCCGCCCGCCGCGCCCGCCGCCGCGGAGAAGAAAGCCGCGGCGAAGAAGCCCAAGCGCGAGGAGAAGGCTAAGAAGGCCGAAGGCGGCGGGTTCAAGCTCCCCGGGTTCGAGAAGAAGCTCCTCGAGATGCCCGCGATACCGTCTGTCGAGATGCCTGCGATCGAGCTGCCGGAGATGCCCGCGATCGAGCTCCCGTCCCTCCCCGAGGCGACGCCGGATAAGAAAGCCACCGCCGGCGCCGGCGCCGCGGGCGCGGGCGCGGGCGCGGCGTTGTCCCTCCCGAAGCTCCCGTCGTTCAGCGCGCCGTCCATCCCGAAGATCGACGTCCCGAAGATCGAGATGCCGTCCATCGAGATCCCCGCGGTGGAGATGCCGTCGATCGTCGCGCCGCCGACGGAGCCCCCCGCGCCCGCGCCCGCGCCCGCCGCGAAGAAAGCCGCGGACAAGGCGGAGACCGCGGAGAAGGCGCAGCAGGAAAAGCTCGCGCGCGCGGCGAAGGAGCGCGAGGCTGCCACCAAGGCGCGCGAAGAAGCCGCGGCCGCGAAGAAGGCTGCCGAGCAGGCGAACGCGGAGAAGGCTGCCGCCGCGGCGAAGGCGACGGCGGAGGCGCAAGCCGCGAAGGAGAAGCAAGCCGCGGAGGCGCAAGCCGCGAAGGAGAAGCAAGCCGCGCAAAAGGCGGCGGCGGCGCAAGCCGAGCGCGACGCCGCCGAGCGCGCGCGCGCGCAGAAGGCTGCCGAGGCGACCGCGGCGGCCGAGAAGGCGGCCGAGGAGAAGGCCGCGAGAGCGGCGGCGGACAAGGCGGCCGCTGAGAAGCGCGCCGCGCAGAACGCCGCGGCGATCCAAGCCGCGGCGGACGAGAAAGCCGCCGCCGCGAAGACTGCCGCCGCGCAGAAAGCCGCCGCGGAGAAGGCGAAGGCTGACCTCGCCGCGCAGAAGGAGGCCGCCGCGAAGAAGGCGCTCGCGGACAAGGAGTCCGCGAAGTCTGCCAAGGAAGCGGAGAAGGCTGCCGCGAAAGCCGCGGCGGAGAAGGAGGCGGCGAAAGCCGCCGCCGCGCGCGAGAAGGCTGCCAAAAAGGCGCGCGCCAAGGTGCGTTCTTCTCACACCGGTCCCCGTACGACCCCGTCCGCGTGGTGAACGCCGTTTCTTAAGGACTTTGCCCGTCGCATCTCTCCGCCCAGGGTCCCTCGCATTCAATCCCGACACACCTCGACGCCTTTCAACTCCGCTTCTGACGCCTATCGACTCCACCCCCCACGACGCCAAGGCTGGCAAGACGGATCTCGTCGGCGCGTTCGTCGGCGACGCCGTCGTCGGCGCGCTCGCCGTCGCCGCGGCGACCGCGCTCTTCGTCCCCGGCGTCAAGTCCAAGGTGTCCGAGGGCGACGTCGAGGGCGCGCTCTCGGAGGCGACGGCGGCGATCACGGGCATCGAGGGTTTCCCCGGGAAAGCCGCGTGGGCGGGCGGCGTCGTCGCCGCGGACGCCGTCGCGCACCTCCCCGTTCTCGGCGCGCTGATTCCCGGTCCCGCGGAGTTCATCGGCACCGCCGCCGCGGTCCTTCTCGCGTCGAGGTACTACGTCACGAAGGAATCATCCCCCGAGGAGGACTTCGCGGCGTTCTCCGCGACGCTCCCCGGCGAGTTCCCCCCGCCCGGCGGCGTCGACGACGTGCTCAAGCCCGCGTCGACGCTCGCCGACGCGTTTCTCGGCGTGGACGTCGACGTCCTGACCGAGGACGTGACCAAAGCGCCGGAGCGCGTCACGAAGTGGTTCAACGAGCTCGAGAATCCGGTGGAGACGATCGCGCCGCCGGCCGCGGCGCTCGGCGCGGTCGTCCTCGCCGGGCAGGTGGCGCACTTCCCGCTGCTGTCGCTGTTCCTCCCGCGCGCGCTCGAGGTTGTCGGCATCGCGCAGGTACGTTCGTCGTCGAGACTGCTTTCCCATACGATGACCCCGGTCCCCGCCGGACGCGCGCCGTTCCTCGAGGACTTTCCCTCTCGTTTCTCTTCACCCCGTGCCTTCCTTTCAACGTCGTTCGTTCGTTTGACCGGCGAGACGCACGACTGACCGACGCTTTCACCCTCGATCGCTTCGCCCGCGCAGATCATCTCCGCGCTGGATCGGTACGAGGGCGAGGACTTTGGCGCGTGCGTGAAGAGCGACCTCGCCGCCGCCGCCGAGGCGGGCGGCGACGTCGTCAAGAAGGTCGCCGGCGGGAACTAAACCTCCTACACGACGAACGACGGAGCGAGATGACGTCCGCCCGTCCGTCCGCCCGGGCGAGGAGAGAACGCGCGCGTACGTGTAAATACTACAGCTGTGCTTCTCTCTCTCGCGGCGGCGCGGGGTCCCGTCTCCGAGAAGACGAGACGAGAAAACAAAACGGTCGCGGAGTTCGCGCACGTCCGCGGCGGTATTACAGCTGCGCGCGCTCGCGCTCCGCGTGTACATAGAGTCCACGGTGTTTGAAATAACAGAAGCAGTCTTTTTACCCCTCGTCTCTCGCCGTCTCGCTCGCGCGGACGTCCGACGCGAACGCTCGCTTCTTATTGGCCGCCGGCGGAAAAGGAGCGACTCAGTGGAAACGCCAGCAGCTGAGCTGGACTGAGTGGACACGCCAGCAAAAAATCTTTTCAAAAAAACAGCAAGATGGGGCGTCACTTGGGGGCGCGCGAGGTCTCGCGCGCGCGCCATGGCGCCCGACTCCGGGGGCACGATCTCGGTGGTCTCCGAGGTCTCGGACGTCGACACCGAGGACGCGCTGTGCGAGAAGTGCGGCCTCGGGGACGACCCGGCGAACTTCCTCCTGTGCGACGACTGCCCGCGCGGATGGCATCTGTACTGCCTCACGCCCAAGCTGCGGCGAACGCCTTCTGGAAGATGGTCGTGTCCGACGTGCAAGGACGCGAAGCCGCGGTCGCGGCGCGCGAGGCCGGCGCGCGGGGCGATGGCGGAGGACGACGACGACGCGCCGATCGCGCGCAAGCGAGGCCGCGGGGGCGACTCGTCGTCGCCGTCGTCGTCGTCCGACGCGCGAGGGAAAAAATCGCGACGAGGCGGTGTCGAATCGACCCGACGAAGCGGACGCGCGGTCGAGCCCGCGTCGTACGTCGACGCGGACAGCGACGACGACGACGACGCCTTCATGATCGTCCCCGCCGAGGAGAAGAAGAAGGAGAAGAAGAAGAAGAAGGAGAAGAAGAAGAAGAAGAAGAAGAAGAAGAAGAAGAAGAAGACGCGCGGCGGCGACCGAGATCTAGTTCGCGACGCGGCGGGGAAGAACGAGTTCAAGGTGAAGATCGTGACGCTGCCCGGGCTCGAGCCGCGCCCGAAAGCGGAGGGAGACGACGCGCCGGCGCCGATGGGGAGGAGGACGTCGAAGAGGGCGGCGGCGAGGACGTCCGAGTTCATCGACGACGACGGCGACGACGACGACGGCGCGGGCGCGAGCTCGGAGGAGGAGGAGGCCGACGGCTCCGACTTTGACTCCGACGCCGACGCCGACGCGTCGACCGAGTCCGGGAGCGACTCGGAAGGAAGCTCCGAGGAAGAGGACGAGAAGGACCACACGAAATGCGAAGCGTGCGGCGAGGACGACGACGACGCGCGCATGCTCGTGTGCGACGGCTGCGACCTCGGCTACCACACCTACTGCCTTCGACCGAAACTTACCGCGATTCCGAAAGGGAAGTGGTTTTGTCCCGGGTGCGTCGAGAGAACGGAAGCCGCGGCGGCGTTAGAGGCGGCGACGGCCGCGGAGCGGCGCGCGCGCGCGGACGCCGCGGCGACGATTCTCGCGGGAAGGAAAGTAGAGCGCGTGCTCGCGTCGCGGAAGCGCGTCGCCGCGGGCGTCGGCGTCGGCGCCGCCGCCGAGCTCGCGTCGGCGCTGGAAACCCTCGAAGCCGCGGGCACGAAAGCCGCGTCGCGCGTCGAGGCGTTCGTGAAGTTCGAGTCCACGTCCTACCGTCGCGCGGAGTGGATGCCGCTGTGCGTGTTACAGGAAGCCGCGCCGACGAAAGTCAGGGCGCACTGGACGCGGACGAAAAAATCCGTCGCGTCCCCGGACGCGCCGCCGGATGATAGGACGTATAAGCTCGCGTGGACCATCCCGGAGCGCGTCGTCGCCGTGGACGACGACGCCGGGGAGATGCTCGTGAAGTGGCACGGGTTAGGGTACGACGAGTGCACGTGGGAGCCGCTCGCGGACGCGAGCGAGGACGCGGTGCGCGCGAAGAAGATGAAGGAGCGCGCGAGGGCGCAGCGGCGGCTCGGCGGCGCGGGCGGCGGCGGCGGCGGCGGCGACGACGACGAGATGGTCGTCTCGTCGCAGCAGACGACGACGATGGACCTCTCGCAGGGCAGCGCGAAGAAACTCTCGTCGCTCGCGGCATCGCCGAACCTGGGCGTCGCGGAGGAGCTCGCGTTCGAGCTCGCGGCGTTCCGAGCGCGCGCGGCGCGAGAGGACCCGCCGAAGAAGCCGCGGCGCGAGGCCGGCGAACCAGGCGCGCCCGTCGTCTTCGACGAAAAAATCGACGCGCTGCTCCCTCGCGCCGCGGGCGTCGGCGTCGGCGCGGACGCGGCGAAGCTCTCGGAGAAGGCGGCGCTCGCGAACGCGGCGACCGGGGACGCGACCGGTCCGGTCCCGACGGGTCTGACCCTCCACAGGTACCAGCGCGAGGGCGTGCAGTGGATGCTCTCCAAGCTCAAGCTCGGGCAGAGCGCGATTCTCGGCGATCAGATGGGCTTGGGGAAGACGATCCAGACGGCGTCGTTCATCGACGCCGCGCGCGCGCTCGGGCTCACGCGCGGGAAGCCGGTGCTCGTGGTCGTGCCGCTCGTCACCGTACCGAACTGGGCCGCGGAGCTGCGTCTGTGGTGCCCGACGTTGAACGCGGTTACGTACGTGGGGAATCAGACGTCGAGGGCGGCGCAACGCGAACGCGAGTTTCCGAGGGATAAGCTCGGGCGCGAGCGCGCGCCTAACGGCTCGCACGTGGACGTTTTGCTCACGTCGTACGACCTCGCGCTGGCGGACAGCGGGATTCTGAGGAAGATGGAGTGGGGCGGCGTCGTCGTGGACGAAGGCCACCGGCTGAAAAACCACAACTCGAAGCTCTCCGAGGCGCTCGAAGGGATGAAGACGAATTTCCGCTGTCTGCTCACGGGGACGCCGCTGCAGAACAACTTAGAGGAGTTGTTCGCGCTGTTGCATTACTTAGACCCGAAGGAGTTCAAAGACCCGACGACGCTCGCGGAGGCGTTCCAAGACAAAGCGAAGGAGCTCGTGAGGAGGAAGAAGAAAGCGCAGAAGAAGAAGAGGAGGAGAAGGAGGGGCGGCGTCGTCGCCGAATCGGACGAAGCAGGCGGCGGCGACGGCGACGGCGGCGAGAGCGATCTGTGCCCGGACGACGACGACTCCGACGCCGACTCCTCCGACTCCGACGACGCGCTCACGGAAGAGGAAGCGCAGGCTGCCGCGGACGCGCAGCTCAAACACCTGCACGACCTTCTCGGGAACCACATGCTCCGTCGGCTGAAACGCGACGTCCTGAAGGGTCTGCCGAAGAAAAGGAAAGTCGAGGTCTCGTGCCAGCTGTCACCGTTCCAGAGGGAGGTGTACTCGGACATCCTCGCGAGGAACCACGCGGCGTTCAACCAGGGCACGCACGTGACGCAGCGCACGAACTTGATGAACATCCTCAAGGAGCTGCAGAAGGTGTGCAACCACCCGTTTCTCTTCCCGGCGGCGGAAAAAGACGCGTTCAAGGCGGCTCGCAAGTCGGGGTTGTCGAAGAAGATCGCCGCCGCGGCGTCCTCGAAGCTGAAAAACGCCCAGGCGAGGGCGGAATCCAACGCGCCGCCGGACCCGGACGCGCCGCCACCGGAGCCGTCGCCCCTGGAGGCGCACTTGCTCCGAACGTCCAGCGGAAAGATGCAGCTCCTCGCGAAGCTTCTTCCAGAGTTGAAACGCCGCGGCCATCGAGTGTTGCTCTTCTGCCAGATGACGCGCATGCTCGACGTCATCGAGGACTGGCTCAGGGCGTCCGGCGTGGGATTCTCGACCGTCGCGGCTGCTAGCGCGACGGACGACGCGCTCCTCGGGGCCCGCCCGGGCGCGGACTCGGACAGCGACGACGACGAGGCGCGACCGACGGGGGTCGTCCGCGCGGTGAGACTGCTTCCCATACGACCCCGTTCGCGTGGTGCACGCCGTTCCTTAAGGACTTTTCCCGTCGTCACTCTTCACCCGCGCTTCCCTTTCAACGTTTGACCGGTAAGACGTTCGACTGACCGATCGCTTCACCCACAGTACGGACGCATTTGCGGGAGGACGATGGGCGCGGAGCGACAGAGAGTCATCGACGGCTTCAACGCGGAGGGCAGCCATCAGTTCTTGATGCTCGTGTCCACGCGCGCGGGCGGGTTGGGGTTGAACCTCGCGACCGCGGACACGATCGTGTTGTACGACCCCGAGTTTAACCCGTTCATCGAGCAGCAGGCGCAGTCGAGGGCGCATCGGATGGGTCAAAAGCGCGAGGTGGCGGTGTATCAGCTCGTCACGGCCGGCAGCGTCGAGGAGCGGATCGTCCAGAAAGCGAAGGCGAAGCTCGCGATCGAGCGACTTGTCGTCGCGGAGGGCGAGGAAGACGTCGGCGGCGGCGGAGGCGGAGGCGGAGGCGGCGACGGCGCGGGAGAGACGAAACGCGCGGACGGCACGAAGAAGAAACAAACCGCGAAGGAAAAAGCCGCGGAGTTTTACGAGGTTCTCCTCCACGGCGCGAAGGACGTGATGTGCTCCGCCGCGATCGGCGGCGACGACGAGAACGCGAAGAATGGCAAGCTCACGACCGCGGCGGCGGAGCCCACGGACGCAGAGATCGAGCGGCTGCTCGACCGCGCGTCGTTGCCCGAGGAAATCGACGGCGAAGACGGCGGCGGCTACCTCGGAAACGTCGGGAACCACGTCATCGCCGTCGGCGGCGACGAGAAGGACGGCGACGCCAACGCGGAGGGCGGCGACGAGAAGAAGAGAGCGCCGGGCCCGGGCGGGGACGAGATGGACCTCGGGGACGAGCTCACCGCGGACATGCAGCTCGAGATGCTTCTCTCCGAGCGCGCCGCGCGACTCGACAACGCGGCGGCGCAGGAGTTTGGCCGCGGGAAGCGCGAGCGACGAAAGGCTGTGAACACGAACGTCGTGGACTGGGGCGGGATCTCGAACGGGATGCACGGCGGCGCGAGCGGCGCCGTCTTAGCGCACAGCAGCGCGTGCCACGTCTGCGGCGGCGACGACACGGACGAAGCCGAGGGGGAAATTTTACTTCGATGCGTCGAGTGCACCGCGAGCGCGCACGCGTCGTGCGTCGGCCTCGACGCCGCGCCGGACGGCGGCGAGTGGAGATGTGGGAAGGCCATGTCGGGCGTCTGCGTGCGCATCGGGAAGCCGCTGGTCGTCGCCGGGGCTATGAGCAACGCGTACGACGTCGGGGCTATGAACAACGAGGACGACGACGACGACATCGCGGAACACCCTTCGGACGACGATTACGACGAGAAGAACAAGAGCGACTCGGAGAGCGAGAGCGAGGACGACGACGACGATTTCGTGAAGGAGCCTAGGAAGACGCCCGCCTCCGCCGGCGACGCCGACGCGCCCGCGCGACGGGGAGGACCGAAGGGCTCGAAGAACAAGATCGCGGAGACGGCTCCGACGTGGGATCCGCGCGCGGAGTGGGCGCGCGAGCTGCAGCAGCAGCAACAGCAGCACCTCGCGCATCAGCACCACCTTCATCAGCAGCAGATCGCGGCGCATCAACAGCAACTCCAGGCGACGTATTACCACTACACGCAACAGCAAGCGATGACGGGCGCGCACGCGTTGCCGTATCAGCAGTACGTGTACGTGTATCAGAAGCAGTACCCACCGCCGGTGGCGCCGCCGCCGCCGCAGATGATGTACCCGCACGCGATGCATCCGCATCCGCAACCGAATATGAACATGATGATGCACCCGGGGAAGGTTCCGATCCCTGCGCGCGGCCTGCCTGTACACGTGCCTCCCCAGCCGGCGAGTGGCTTTCGGAAGACGCCGATGCCGATGATGAAGAAACGCCGTGATGAAAGGGCCGACGCGGAGCGCAGAGCGCATCAAGAGGCGGTGGCCGACGCGGAGCGCAGAGCGACGCTCGCTGGGAGAGGCGAGCTGGGCGAGCTCGCCGCGGACGACGTCTCGCCGATCACGTTCACGTGGGCGATCGACAAGGCGAGAGTGATTTCGCTCAAAGGAGACCACGACGAGAAGACGGCGAGAGTGATTCCAGACCACGGCGGCGGCGGCGGCGTTCGCCTCGCCGCGTTCCCGAGGTACATGTACCACGTCTTGCGCGCGTTCGTGCTCGATTACGAGCCGGACGAGTCGCGCGCGCGGCTCAGAGCCGCGGTCAAGACGCAGGCGGACACGGCGCGAAACTTCGAGGTGATGCATGAGAAGGCGCGAGCGGAGATTCCATCCTTCGAGGACGCGCTCGAGCGCGCGACGGCGCTCAGGAACGCGCGCGGAAGCGCGGAGGTCATCGACGTCGCCGCGCTGAACGACGCGCAAGAGCAGGTGGACGCCGCGGAGCGGCTCCTGACGGAGAAGAAGGCGCACGCGCGGGAGTTTTCTGAGAGCGCCGCGGAGATCTCGAAGAAGCGAAAAGTCGTCGAGGACGCGCTTCGCGTGTACGACGAAGAAAAGGCGGCGAAGGTGGAGCGCGGCGAGTTGACGTTCCACGCGGCGGAGACGTACGAGATCGCCGCGGCGACGTTCCGCGCCGCGATCCAGAAGCACCTCAAGCGCGAGTTCGTGTACGAAACCATCGCGCTGGACGTGTTGAAGGGTTGCGCGGACGCGAATGTCGTCGCCGGACGCGTCGCGTGGAACGCGCGACGCGCGGCGGCGACGCACGCGCGACTGTTCGGGATGCTGCACCACGGCGACCTCCTCCCGGACCAGTCGCTGGACGCGCTCGAGAAGGAGAAGCGCGTCAAGGAGCAGGAGGAGAAGCGCGCGAGGGCGATGCAGCGCGCGCTCGCGGAGCGCGCGCGCGCGAAACGCGCGGAGCACGCCGCCGCGCTCGCGGGCGAGAGCGCGCCCGGCGTCGACGGCACGTTCGGGTTCCACCGCTGGCGCGCCGCGCTCGACGACCCGTCGATGTTCGACGACTGCCTCGCGCCGCTGCCGGCGTGGACGCCGAACACGCCGGAGGTGAAGCCGGACCTGCTGAGGACGTCGCCGGCGCCGTGGACGGTCATCGTCCGCGGGCCCGTCGAGAGTTTGCGCCGGATTTGCGAGACCAAGCCGGACAACGCGCCGGTGAAATTTCTGGAAAAAATGGCCGCCGCCGCGTGCGCGCGGATCGGCCTCTGCGTGGAGCAGAAAGCCGGCTGCGCGCGCGTGCTGTTCCACGACCCGGGCACCCCCGGCGAGCCGCTCTCGTTCTGGTTCCCGTTGGAGGCGATCGGGACGCTTCCGTCGCAGGTGCGTTCTATACAAACGCATTGGACCACCCATCGCCCGGTTTCAACATTTGATCGCGTCTCTTTTCATCAACTGACCGATGAACTTTTTTTGACGCCCTCAGACGAGCCACCGCGTCCGCGTGTTGGACGACGCCGCGATCGTCCGACGGCTGTGCGACACGAAGCCGTCCAGGAACCACGCGGTCAAGTGGGTCAACGGCATGAAACACGTGCTCGGATGCGTTGGGACGCTGTTGGAGAGCCGCGGTGATATTCTGAAGTGCACGTTCGAGATAGAGAAGCTCGTGGCGAACGGGCAGCACGACGGATCTCATTTCGTATCCGGGAAAGAGACGCGGACGCTGTGGCTGCCGAAGGAGGCGCTCGCGGTGGCGACGCCGTGGCCGGTGGAATTGCGGACGCCGAGGAACGAGGAGTTCGGGGACGACGCCGCGGAGGATCAGGATCAAGTGGTGCCGAGCGGCGCGCAGCGCGGGACGGCGACCGCCGCCGGGGAGGACGACGGAAAATGATGAGTTGATGTTTTAGCGAGTTCACGAATTTTATCAAGTGACAGGAAGAAGTATGAACGACGGAAAGTCTATCTGAAGAGTGCCCACCCCATCGGACGCGACGACGTCGACAGTCGTCGTCGCGCGCGCGACGCCCCGCCCCCCTCCTTCTCGCCCGCCAGCGATGCAGAGCGTCGTCGCGTCGGCATCGCCGCGCGGCGCGGTGTCGACGCCATCTCGCGCGTCGTCGACGACGGCGACGGCGACGGCGTCGAGCTCGCGATCGCGATCGGCGATGTCGGCGGCGACGGCGCGTCGACGGCACGCGTCGTCGTCGTCTCGTCGCGGCGATCTCCTCTCGGCGGGCGCCTTCGCGCCGGAGGCCCTGGACGCGCTCGCGGCGTCGATCGACGCGAGCGCGAGCGCGGCGTCGGCGTCGGCGTCGGCGTCGGCGTCGGCGTCTCGAATCGCGGAGCTCGCCGTGGACGCGTGGTCCGTCACCGGCGGCACCACCCTCGGCGCGCGGTTCGCCGGAATCGAGACCAAGCTGTTCCAAGCCGGGCTCCCGCCCTACCTCGTCTACCTGTGGTTCCTCGGCGCACCGGAGACGCGCGCGCCGGAGGCGTCAAACTTCGGCGCGCGGTTCCTCCTCGCGTTCGTCTTGGCCACGATCCCCGCGGGCGTCGTCGCGAAGACGACGTACGGCGACGTCCTCGCCAACGTGGACGTCTTGCACGGCGCGAGCGAGAGCTTGCTGACGTGCAGCAACTTTTTGTTCGCGTTCGGGTTCGCGACCGCCATCGCCGCCGCCGGCGGCCCGGCCTCCGCGCTGGGCCTCGAGCTCGTCGAGCCCGCGAACGCGCTGTCGCTGCCCACGTGGGTCGTGCACACGTCGTCCGTCGCGGAGTGGTGCCTCGCGATGCGTCTGATCTACGCCTACGCGGACGTCTCAGGCGCGTTCTTACACTGGTCCCCATACGACCCCGTTCGCGTGGTGAACGCCGATCCTTAAGGACTTTGCCCGTCGCATCTCTCCGCCCACCACTCGCTTTCAATCCCCGACCTCGACGCCTTTCAACTCCTCCGCTTCTGACGCCTTTCAACTCCACCCCGACATCGCTTTGTATGGAACGGCCCTCAGGGAACAGAGAGTGGCGGTCGTTGTCGTACGCGATGACGCCGTTCCTCGCGAGCGCGTTCAGCGCGTGCGCGTTCCATCTCTTCTACAACGCCCCCGCGATCAACGCGCTCGTGCCGCTGCAGGCGTTGGCGACGTTTGGCGGGAACGTCGGGTGCGCGGTGGCGGCGTATCGAATTTCGAATTTCAACGGCGCGGTTGACTCCGCGAGCGCGAGAGCGAGCGACGACGGCGAATCGACGGCGAATCGACGGCAGAAACCGTCGTGGGCGCCGACGCCGAACGTCTTCTTCCCGGTGAAGCTCGGCGTCTCCTCCGTCCTCGCCGCGTGCGTCGTGAAGTACGGCTCGCTGGCGGCGCCCGCGCACGCGTTCTTATCGACGCCGACGTATCCGAAGGCGCTCGCGTGTATTTTCATCCCCACGCTCGCGTGGTCGGCGGTTGTGTTCGGCGGCGACGCGATCGCGAGCGGAGGAAACGAAAAAAAAGACAGCGACAGCTTCTGGTCCGAGCTGTCCATGGAGAAGGTCAAGACGTACGGCAAGAGCGGCACGATCGCGTACGTCGTCGTCGAGCTCGCGTTCTGGGCGATCGCGTTCCCCGCCGCCGTCGCGTGGTATCGCGTCGCCGACGGGCAGTGGTTGGACCTCTCCGACCCCGCGGACAAGGCGAAGCTCGTCGGCGCGGGCGCGGTGTTCATCAACGGCGTCCGAGCGCTCGTGCCGCTGCGGTTGGCGTCCGCGATCGCGCTGGCGCCGTACGTCGAGGAGGTTTTGGGCGGCGGCGGCGGCGAGGACGAGGAGGAGGAGGAGGACTCGAATACGAATACGTGAGACTCGTCGACTCGCTAAAAAGGTTAGTTCTAGTAGCTAAAACATAGGTAATAAGCTCACTACGTGAGAAGACACCCTAACTACTGCGGCTCTCTGAGCGCGCGCATCGCGAGCGCGGCGGCGCCACGGCGCGCGCGCGTCGTCATCGCCGTCGCGACCGCGTCCGCGTCGCCCTCTTCTTCGCTTGGAACGCCGGCGACGGATACAGCTCGTTCATCGTGAATCTCAGGGTCGTTCCATACGAGCGAACGTCGGGGTGGAGTTCATAGGCGTCAGTTGGAGTTGAAAGGCGCCGAGGGCGGGGATTGAAAGCGAGGTGTGGGCGGAGAGATGCGCCGGCAAAAGTCCTTAAGGATCGGCGTTCACCACGCCAACGCGGTCGTATGGGGACCAGTGTATAGAACGCACCTCAGCTCGTAATCCTCCGCGGAGAGAAACCTTCGAAACTCCGCCTCGTCGATCATCCCGTCGCCGTTGTCGTCGAACTTGCGCATCATGTTCTGCACGAGCACCTCGATCTGCTGCGCGGACAGCGCCTCCCCCAGCACGACCCCGAAGGCTCGCCGCAGGTCGTCCTCGGAGAGGTCGCCGACGCCGTCGAAGTTGTACGCCTGAGGGTCGAGGGTCCGCGCGAAGCGACGTCGGGGCGGAGTTGAAATTGAAAGGCGTCATCACATGGAGTTGAAAGGCGTCGCGGTGCGTCGGGATTGAAAGCAGCGAGGGGTGGGCGGAGAGAAACGAACGCCGGGAGAGATAGTCGTTAAGGAATGAAGTTCACGACGCCGACGCGGTCGTACGGTGGGAACCGGCGTATTAAACGTGAACGCGCCTGAAACGCCGTCCGCGCCTTGTTCGCGACGCTGCCGAACTCGCCGTGCATGACGACGCACGCGGCGATCCAGTCCTCCTCGGACAGCTTGCCGTCCCTCGTGGACGAGAACGACGCGAAGATGCGCGGCGCGAGCGGATTCCCTCGCGCCTCCGGATGCAGCATGCCGAGCTTGTTCGCGGAGAGTTTCCGCCCGCGCTTCGCGTCGCCGCTGCCGTACTCGCGCAGCGCCGCGACGTACGCCGCGCGCATCGCGTCGATCTCCGCGCGAGGGATCCCGTCGCCGCGTCGCTCCGCCTCGAGCTCGTGCCCGAGCTTGTCCTCGAGCGAGGACCACGGCGACGCGGGCGTGCCGCCGCCGTACGCCCAGCTCTGGCGCTCGCGCGACCTCGCGTCGTCGTCGTGATGATGCGCGACCCGCGACGCGCCGCAGCCCATGGCGGTCCGCCGCGCCGCGCCGTCCGTCCGCGCGGAGACGAGACGGAGACGCGCCGCGAGATGAAGAAGAAGAGAGGGTGGGACCGCGGCGCGGCGCTTCGGGGGACGGACTCCGAAGCGCCTTGCTGGGGGGACGGTCGGCGCGGTCAGCGCGGGGGGACGTTTAATGAACCCGCGGCCCGTCGAAGTCATCGTCAGGTGGTTTAAAGCGAGATCTTCCTCCCACGCCACCCGGGGGCCCGCACTCGCGGCCGCGCTCGTCGCCGTCGGTCGTCGCGCGCGCGACGCCGCGCTCGTTCGCGACGTTCGGCGGCCTCGCGCGGCCGCTCGGCGGCCTCGCGCGCCGCGCGGCGGCGGCGCGCATGCCGCTCCACGCCGTCCACGACGGCACCCTGCTCTTGCCCTCCGCCTTCTCGTCGGGCGCGGGCGCGGGCGCGTCCTCCGCGCTCCCGACGCGCATGGGACGCGCACTGTGCGATCGCATCGGCGTCCCGGCCGCGAACGTCAGCCGCGTCCAGGTCGAGGTCGTCGTCGTCGACGACGGCGCGGGGCTGCGCGTGACGTCGCTCGGCACGAATCCGACGCCGTTCTTCCGAGCGAGCGACGCGCGTCGATCGCAGCGGCGGTTTCTCTTGCGCAAGGGCGAGGCGGCGACGCTGGGGCACGGGGACTCGTTCGGGTTGTTCACGATGGAGAAACCGCCGGGGAGCATGCGTTGGACGGCGACGACGACGACGGCGTCTCTCGGGCGCGACGACGACGACGACGACGACGACGCGGCGGCGGCGAAGCGTCCGAAACTCAACCCCGCCGCCCCCGCCGCCGCGACCGCCGCCGCGACCGCGCCCGAAGCGCGACCGAAGCGCCCGGTCGTCCTCCTCCTCGTCGGCCCTCCCGGCGCGGGCAAGTCCACCGTGTGCGCTCACCTCCCGCGCGACGCGTGGACGGTCGTCAACCAAGACACCGCCGGGAAGCGCGGCAAACCCGGCACGCGAAAGCAGTGCGTCGACGCCGCGACGCGCGCGCTTCAATCGGGAAAACACGTCGCGATCGACCGGTGCGGACTCACGGTGGAGCAGCGCGGCGACTTCATCGCGCTCGCGGCGGCGCACGGCGCGCACGCGCACGCGCTATTTCTGGACCTCCCGCGCGAGCTCGTGTTGGAGCGCGTGTTGGGAAGGACCGAGCACGTCGGCGGCGTCGTCGGAAAGAAGGGCCAAGCCGTCTCGAAGCGGATGATGGGCGGCAAAGACAACGCGCCGCCGACGCGCGGCGAGGGGTTCAAGGACGTCACCGTGTGCGTGAACGATAGGAACGTCGAGCGCGTTACGGCGAGGTACGCGTCGCTGCCGCTCGCGGCGCCGGGGTGGGGGTCGCAAGACATGGACGACAGCGAGCCCACGCCGAGGGAGGGCGGCGGCGGCGACGGCGGCGGCGGCGGCGGCGGCGGGGTCGCGGCGGACGCGGACGACGCGGGTGCCGCGGCGGCGACCGGAACTGGAACTGGGGGGGGAGAGACGAAGACGACGACGACGTCGAACGCGTTCGCGGTCATGATGGCCGCGTCGTCCGGGTCGCCGAAGAGCGCCGCCGCCGGAGGAGGGAAGGGGAAGGGCGGGAAAGGGATGTCCGGCGGCTCCGTCGTCGTCGGCGGCGCGACGTCGAACGACGCGAAGGCGCCTCAAGCGCCCGCCTCGGCGCCGTGGACGCGCGGGCTCGTGGACGCCGCGCTGGACCCCGCGCGAAGCGACGGCGTCCTCTTCTTCGACGACAAGATCGTCGTGATGCGAGACAAGTACCCGAAGGCGTCCACGCATCTGCTCGTGCTCGCGCGCGATCAGACCCTCGCCGCGGGTCCGACCGCGCTGACGAAGGCGCACGCGCCGTTGCTGACGCGAATGCTCGCCGCGGGGAGGAAAGCCGCGGCGGAGGAAGCGGCGCGAGCCCGTCCGGGGGGCATCGATACGACGACGCGGATGAATACTCCCCCCGGCTCGGACGTCTTCAAGCTCGGATTCCACGCCAAGCCGTCGATGCCGTGCCTGCACTTGCACGTGATATCGCAGGACTTGCGCGGCGTCGGGATGAAGACCCGGCGGCACTGGAGCTCGTTCGCGACGGGGTTCTTCAAGCTCGCGCGCGAGGACATGCCGCTCCCGGTGGGATGGGACCCCGAAGAGGAAGAGCGCGAGATGAAGATGGCGCGACTGTCGTGTCACAAGTGCGGTGATGGGCCGTTCGCGACGTTCCCGAAGCTGACGGAGCACGTGAGCGCGTGCGACGTCGCCGCGGCGGGGGAGCGCGTCGACTTTTAGACGGAACGGCCGCGCTACGAGGCGATTGATTGATTATTAGACCGCCGCGCGCGACGCGACGCGACGCGATGCGATGCGATGCGATGCGCGGCGATCGATCGATCGATGGCGCGACGACGCGAGCATCGTTACTGTTGTGCGCGTATTATTATACGTGTTACAACCGACCCCCTCCGCGCTAGTAGGGCGTCGCTCTCGTTCGTTTATTCATTCGTCTCGCGACGAATCAACAAACCGCGGAAAAAACCTTCGCTCATCACAGCAACTGCACGAGCGCGTACGCGATCCCGCCGAGGCCGAGCACGGTCGCGACCGCGGTCACGAGCGGCGCGCCGCCTGACCCCGCGACCGCCCGCCCCGTCTCCACGTCGTACTTCGCGAATCGACTCCTCGGCGCCTGGCACTGCGGGCACTGGTAATCCTTCCCTTGCTCCGCGAACGGCGTCGGGAGGGTGTAGACGTAACCGCAGTCGACGCAGATGTGCGTCGCGCGCTCCTTCTGCGCGGCGCTGAGCTTCTTCCCGAACCGCGGCGGCGCGGGTCGCTTCGGGAGGCGCTTCACGTCGATCGTCTGGACCGCTTTCGGGTCGCGGACGACGATGAAGTCCACCTGATTCGGACACGCGTTGAGCGCGGATCGCACGAAGCCGACCTGATCCGCGGGCCACAGCTCGTCGCCGAAGAAGGACGACGTGTACATGATGAAGTCGCCCTGCTTCAGCCCCGCTTTCGCGGCGTTCCCGCGCGCGGACGCGACCTCGACGCCGCCGTTCACGCCCTTGTTCGACGCCTTGACGTTCAGCCCGAGCGGCTTCTCGACCTGGATGAGGGTCTCTCCCGCGACCGCGCGCGTGATCGCGGGCGAGGCGCGATGACGACGCGTCGTGCCGCGGCGGACGGGGAGCGCCGCCGACGGGCTGGCGACGCGGAGCTTCGCGCCCGCGAACGAGGACGCGCGCGCGGGGGCGACGGCGACGGAGGAGGTCATCGTGGAGGCCATGGTCGGCGGCGCGGATGGGAGTGCGCGAGCGACGCGTGGACGGCTCGGCGATGGTGACGTGTCGATGTACACCCGAAGGTCTTATCCGAAAAAAAAGTGTCGCGCGGATTCGACTCTGACTAAAATCCCATAGAGTACGAGTACAACGTTGTACGCGTGTACATACGCGGAACGTCGCAGTCTCGCACTCTGGCGCTGGCTGCTGAGCAGGCGCAGCAGGCTCGCACGCGCACTCCTGTACTCTGCCAGTGCCGGATGCGCTGGCTCGGGCTCGGCAGGCGAGCGGGCGCGGCGCCCTTCATCGCGATCGCGATCGGGGTCGCGAGCGGGTACTACGCCTTCGACGAGCCTCTGAGAGCCGCGGCGGCGAAGCAGGCGCGAGATCGCGCGAGGGCGGCCGCGGGCGGCGACCGCGGCGACCGCGACGCGACCGCGACCGCGGACGAGAAGAGGCGCGGTCGGCACGAGCGACGAAAGCAGAGGAGGCGCGAGGAACGATGACGACGACGCCGACGCCGACGAACGCGACGCCGCGCGCGCTCGAGTTTTACTGCGGCGTCGGCGGGCTGCACTACGCGCTCCTCCGCGCGCGCCCGGACGCGACCGTCGCCGCGGCGTTCGACCTGAACCCGCACGCGTGCGACACGTACGCGTTCAATTTCGGCGACGCCGCGCGGCCGATCGCGCGCAACCTGGCGTCGTACCCCGCCGCATCGATCGACGCGCACGCCGCGTCGCTCTGGCTGCTCTCGCCGCCGTGCCAGCCGTTCACGCGGCAGGGCGCGAAGAGGGACGTCGACGACGGCAGGGCGGAGTCGTTCCTTCGATTGCTCGACGTCGTCCCGACGCTCGCGAACGCGCCGTCGCATCTTCTCGTGGAGAACGTCGTCGGGTTCGAGCGTTCGGAGACCAGAGACGCGCTTCTCGCGACGCTGCGCGCGATGGGGTACACGACGCGAGAGCGAATGCTATCGCCGAGGCAGTTTGGCGTCCCGTACAGCCGGCCGCGGTACTTTTGCCTCGCGAAGCGCGCGCCGTTGCGATGGGTCGACGACGTTTTCAGCGGTATCGGTACAGCTGGCGCGGACGACGATTCGGACGCCGACGGGCCGACGCGATCTCCGCCGCCGTCGGCGCTGTCCGACCCGAAGCACTGGATCCCAAAAGCCGGTGGGGTGGAGTCGACGGAGACGACGGACGTGCCGGAGGTGGGGATCGAACGCACGCGAGACGGAGGCGCGTGGGTCGGCGGCGGCGCGGGGAGAGACGCGGCGGCGGCGGCGGCGGCGGATGCGGACGCGGACGCGACAACTTCGACGACAACGACGACGACGACGACGACGACGACGACCGCGCGGGCCCCCGAGACGCGCGCGTACCCCGTCGCGCCGCTGTCGTGCTTCTTAGAGCACGGCGACGACGATGAAGGTGCCGACGAGGGTGCCGACGTCTGGACGACGCACGCGGTGCCCCGAGCCGACGTCGTCAAGGCGTTGGCTTCCGCGGACGTCGTGACGAGGGACGACCGGAAGTGCAACTGCTTCACGAAGTCGTACGGGAAGTACGTCAAAGGCACCGGGTCGTTCATCAGCGACGTGAGGGTGGTCAAGGGGGAGTGGGACGGGCGGATACGTAACGGTCAAGGCGCGGACGTTAGTGCCGACGACGGCGGCGGCAGCGTGAGACTGCGGTACTTCACCGAGAGGGAGGTGGCGAACGTGCACTCGTTCCCCCCGGAGTTTACGTTTCCCTCGCACGTGACGCGCGCGCAGAGGTACGCGCTGTTAGGGAACAGCCTCAGCGTCGCGTGCGTCGCGCCGCTGATCGACTACCTCCTGAACGACGTCTAGTAGCTCGTAGCTCTGTATGAGAACGTAGTGTGGAGCAACTGCGGCCAGGCCGAGCACGAATCGAAAAATTTAAATATTCTTTATAACTTCGTAGAAAATAGACTACCGTACCCTTCGCTCGAAGCGCGCTCCGCGTCACCTCCCTCCCCGCTGCGTCGCGCCGCCGCGCGCGTCCTCCGCCTTCTCCTTCTCGAGCTTCGTCCGCAGTTTCGCCGCGGAGTACAGCGCGAACCCGAACAACGCGACGCCCGCGCCCGCGACCATCCCGAGCGTCCAATCCTTAGTCTCCCCGAACAGCATCCGCGACGACAGCATGATCGTGACCACCTTCACGTCGGGGTGGAGTTGAAAGGCGTCAGTTGGCGTTGAAAGGCGTTGAGGCGTGTCGGGATTGAAAGTGAGGGACCCTGGGCGGAGAGAAACGCCGGCAAAAGTCCTTAAGGAGCGGCGTTCACCACGCCGACGCGGTCGTATGGGGACCAGTGTAAATCGTGACCACCTTGACGTTCCCGAGCACCGTCGTCGTCGTCGCGGACGTGACCGAGATGATCTTATTGTGCACCCAGTTGTAGCACACCGCGATGACGCACCCGAGGAGAATCAGCCGCGTCAGCGGCTCCCCCGCGACGAAGTCCGGCTCAGTCGCGCTCAGGGTCGTTCCATACGAGCGAACGTCGGGGTGGAGTTGAAAGGCGTCAGTGGGAGTTGAAAGGCGTCGCGGGCGGGGATTGAAAGCGAGGGGTGGGCATAGAGAAACGACGGCAAAAGTCCTTAAGGAACGGCGTTCACCACGCGAACGGGGTCGTATGGGGACCAGTGTATGGGACGCACCTCACGCTCGCGATGGCGTATTTCTCCGTCATCGAGTCCCACTCCGCGTGCATCCCGACGGGAAGCAACGCGAGAAGAACGACGGGGGAGACGTAGAACGTCAGCTTCAGCGCGTCGATGCGATCGCCGCCCATGAGTTTCCCGCTCAGGGTCATGAGCAGCGCGTTCGCGAGCGTCGCGGAAGCGGCGAACGCCACGCCGAGCGTCTCGTGCCCCGTCTTTTGCGATCCCGCGTCGCCGCCGCCGCCCGCGCCGCTCGACGCGCCGACCGTGGACATCACCCCCGCGGTGACTAACACCAGTCCCAACGCCTCGGACGGCTTCGGGACGACGCCCTCGACGAAGACGGCGCACGCGGCGCAGACGACGGGCGTCGACGCGCGGATGACCTGGTTGTAGGAGATCTGCAGGTGGAGCAGCGACGCGTTGTTCAGCGCGACGTTGGCAGCCATGAGGACGCCGATCGCGGCGATGCCGCGCCAGTGCTTCATCACCGTCTCCTCGTGCGACGCGAGCGCGTTCGACCACGACGACGCCTTGCCGCCCTTCGGCGACGCGCCGCCGCCGAGGACGACGGGCGCGAGCGCGAGGGTCTGGAACGCGAGGTGCGCGCACGTGAGGAGCACGGGGTATCGGAAGCCCGCGTGGCCGAGGGTGTATCGGTTCAGGAGGTTGAGCGAGCTGTTGAGCGCGACGTAGAGGACGATCGTCGCGGCGAGGCGCGCGGTCTCCGCGACGGCGGCCATGACGCGACGCGCGGCGGGGAGTGGAGTTCGGGGAGGGGGGCGGCGAAGAGAGGTCGCGGCACTTCGATCCCGTCAGAACGCGTTCGACGAGAGACCTGTTCGACAAATGCATCGAACAGCAGAATCGCCAGGGCTACAAAAAAAGTTCATCGGTCATTTGAAAGAGGATGCGATCAAATGTTGAAACCAAGTATGGGTGAAGAGCATTTATTAAGGTCATTTACAGGACGCGCCCGAGAGTTGACGTCGCGTTGTTGAACGTCGCGTGACGCTCCCACAGGCGTCCGCGTCGTCGCGCGCGGATGATCCTCGTCGGCGCCGTCGCGGCGACGCCCGCGGCGGGCGCGGCGCGCAGACCGCGGCGCGCGAACCGCGCGACGTGGCGTCTCCCGGGGAGACTCGCGCGGGTCGTCGCATGTAACAACAACCGCCTCCGCGATGATCGCTGGGCACCGCGCGCGCCACCGCGCGGGCGCGACGCGGACGCGACGCGACGTCGCGCGGCGGTCGACGACGCGAGCGCGCCGCGGCGGCGCGAGGACGACGAGCCCGCGGACGCGCCGGCGGTGCCCGCGATGGACGTCGTCGCGCCGCCGAGGTCCGTCCTCGCGGACCCCGACGCGTTCCGAGCAGCGCGCGCGGAGGCATCCAACGCGGTTCGCAACGAGAGCGCTCTCGACGCGTCGTCGAAGACGCGCGGCGCCGCCGCCGCGATGAGAGCGAGCGCCGCGGTCCTCCTCGGCGGCGCCGCGCTGTTCGCCGCGGCGGCGGCGCTGCCCCTCGACGTCCTCCCGGGGGTCGCGCCTCGCGCCGCGGTCGCGGCGACGGCGACGGCGAGCGCGGCGACCGCGACCGACGACGCGGATTCGGATTCGTCGAGTCTTCTTCGTCGAAAGCCGCCGTCGACGTCCAACGGCGCGTATTACAACGAGTTCGGCTGGCGCGACCACGCGCAGTATCGAATGGCGAAGATCTTCGCGCTGCCTCTCCTGGGCAAGATCGCGTTCTTCTTCCTGCTCGTCGCCCCCATGGTGCTCGTCGGCGGCGTGTTGTATAAGATCGTGGACAAAGGCGCGTTCACGTTCACGCCGGTCCCCGTACGACCGCGTCGGCGTGGTGAACGCCGATCCTTAAGGACTTTTCCCGGCGCATCTCTCCGCCCACCACCCCTCGGTTTCAATCCAGGCACACCGACCGCGACGGACGCCTCACGACTCCACCCCTGACGCCTTTGAACGCCACCCATCCCGACGTACGTCGCTTCGCGCGGAACGCCCCCAACGCGCCCTCCAGACGAGACGTGGTCCGACGCCATCATGACGTCCTTCTACCTCCTCAACAACGTCCCCGGCGCGGACGCCACCACGGACACGACCCCGCACCGAGAAATCGTCACGCAGTTCATCGTGTTCGTGGGGATATTCCTCTTCGCGGTCATCATCGGCATCATATCAGGTGCGTTCTATACAAAAGTGTTTCACCCATCGCCCGGTTTCAACACTTGATCGCGTGGGTCCCTTTCAACTGACCGATGAACTATTTTTGTATGGAACGACCCTCAGACGAGATCGCGTCCAAGGTGGAGGAGGTCAAGACGGGCAACTCGACCGTCGTGGAGACGGGGCACACCGTGATCATGAACTGGAACGCGCAGCTGGTGCCGTTGCTCAAGCAGCTCGCGGTGGCCAAGGCGGAGCGTCCCGGGACGTTCGACGCGCCGATCGTGATCCTCGCCAACGTGGACAAGGCGCGTTCTTCTTCACACTGGTTCCCATACGACCCCGTCGGCGTGGTGAACGCCGATCCTTAAGGACTTTCGCCGTCGTCTCTCTCCGCCCACCCCCCGCTTTCAATCCCCGCCCTCGACGCCTTTCAACTTCAACTGACGCCTTTCAACTGACGCCTTCCAACGTGGACAAGGCGGCGATGGACGAGACGATCGCGGAGGAGCTCGCGGATTCGCCGCCGCTGGACGTCGTCACGCGGCAGGGGGATCCGTTCGTCGCCGAGGATCTGTCGCGCGTCAACGCGTTCGCCGCTCGCCGCGTCGTCGTGCTGCATCCCGAGACCGCGGAGGATTACGACGGCGACGGAATCGAGGCCGCGGATCTCAGCGGCGAGATCGACGCCGCGCGGTTATCGCAGCTGAAGGACCCGTTCGAGTCCGTCAGCGAGCTGTCGAAGCGACGGCAGCTCGAGGAGGCGAACAAGGCGACCGTGGTGATGAACCTACGCGGCGCGATCGATCGCGCGGGCGGCGGCGGGGCGAACCCGGAGCTGATCGTTCAGGCGCGTTCTATACACTGGTCCCCATACGACCGCGTCGGCGTGGTGAACGCGATTCCTTAAGGACTTTTCCCGGCGTGTCTCTCCGCCCACCCCTCGCTTTCAATCCCCGCCCTCGATGCCTTTCAACTCCAACTGACGCCTTTGAATCTCGCTCGTATGGAACGACCCTCAGATGCCGTACCGCGTCGCGGATTCCGCGGACCTCGTCGCGCACGCGATGGACGTGACGCGACGCCGCGAGCTCCGCGATGCGGGGGTGGAGCGCGTCGTGGACATTCCGTCCGCGGAGAAGCGGTTCGAGGCGATGCGCGTGAGCGGCGCGCTGTCTCCGGCGGCGGCGAGGACGCCCGACGCGTGCGTGCAGCTCGAGTGCGGCGATCAGCTGGGTAAAATCTGCGCCTTCAGCGCGTTCAAACCCGGAACGAGCCGAGTGTTCAAGACGCTCTTCTCGCAAGACGCGGAGAGCCCGGAGATTTACCCGCACAGGGTGCCGGAGCTCGTGGGGAAGACGTTCGGGGAGGCGTGGCGGATGTGCCCCGAGGCGACGCTCTTTGGGATTCTACACGCGGACGGCTCCGTGACGCTCGCGCCCGACGACGATCACGTCATCGTCATCACGGACGAGCCGGTGTTCTTGGCTGAGGTGCGTTCTATACACTGGTCCCCATACGACCGCGTTGGCGTGGTGAACGCCGATCCTTAAGGACTTTTCCCGGCGTCTCTCTCCGCCCACCCCTCGCTTTCAATCCCCGACCGCGACGCCTTTGAACGCCCACTGACGCCTTTCAACTCCACCCCGCCATCGCTTTGTATGGAATGGCCCTCAGAGCTCGAACATCGAGGTGACGAGCGCGGATGCGAGCGGGTGCCCGCCGAGGGGGAGCCAGAGGGAGCACATGCTCGCGTTCGAGACGTCGGCGGCGGGGGTGAAGGCGGCGGCGGCGACGCGCGCGCCGATGAAAATATTATTCGCCGGGTGGAACGCGAGCGCGAAAACCGCGGTGGATCTGTTCGTCGCGGAGGCGCCGCACGGGTCGGAGGTGACGATCCTCGCGAGCGCGAAGTCCATCCCCCCGGACGAGATGGCGTCGCTGCGATCGTCGAAGAACTGCAAGGTGAAGCACGTGGTGGGGAGCCACGTGAAGAACGCCGACCTCCGCCGCGCCGGCGCGGCGACGCACGGTGCGACCCTCCTACGTCGCACTGGTTCCCATACGACCGCGTTCGCGTTTTGTGAACTTCATTCCTCGAGGACTTTCTCTCCGCGACGACGCCTCCCTCCTTCCCGACCGACCGCTTCCGTCTGTCTGTCTCTTCATCGCATCCCGCGCCGCGCCGCTTCCCTCGCGACGAACGCGACACAACGCGCGCTGAACCGACCGATGAGGCGTTCGACTGACCGACGCGTCGACCCCGCGCGTCTGTCCGTCGCTTCTCGACGACTGACGTGTGAACCCACCCAGACGTCATCCTCGCGTTTCCGAACCACGCGCTCGCGAACGCGGAGGAAGACGCGAGCGTCCTCGCGACGGTCCTTCAGACGCACAGCATCGCGTCGCAGCTCGCGGAGGCGCGCGACGACCAGAACTTCGCGATGCCTCGGCTCGTGGCGACGATGAAGACGAGCAGCGGCGAGCACACGCTGCGACGCATCTACGAGTCCATCGGGCACGACTTGGACTTGGATCTGGTGATGAGCAACGACCTCATCGGCGGCGCGCTCGCGCAGGTGGCGGCGTGCTCGAACCTCGCGACGCTGTTCGACGCGCTTCTGATCGACGACGAGACGTACGAGGTGTACCTGCGCGACGGGACGTCCGCGCTCGGGGCGCCGGACGCGCGCACGGGCGCGGCGGCGACTTGGGGGGAGATTTGCGAACGCGCGCGAGAGCAAAGCGAGCTCGCGCTCGGGATTCTCACGAGGGACGGCGACGTGGTGTTATCCCCCGCGAAGGCGGACGTCGTCGAGGTGAACGACGGCGACCAGATCATCGTGCTCGCGGAGGAGATCGACTTCGTGCCGTGGCGCGCGCGGGGCGACGACGCACAGCTGGCGACGGCGACGGCGGCGGCGGGCAGACGCGGCAAGAGAGAGACGACGCGGAACGAGCGGAGCAAGGCGCGGGAGGAACGGAAGCGTGAGGCGGCGGAGAGGCGACGGGCGAGGATGGAGGGGAAGAAGGCGACGGCGGTCGCGGTGTGATGGAGGAGGACGCTTCGCTTTTAAGAGTACTGTAGTTTTAACGCGGGTTAACTGATGAACGGTTTCGTTTGTTTTTTACGTATTAAAAGAAAAGGGTCGAATTCCGACCCTTCTTCTCGCGAGCGGCGATCGTCGCGACCGAGAACGCGAACGGAGTCCTCTCACTCATCAGTCGCGAGGCATCGCGTGAAGGAAGCGCGACGAAGCGAAGCGAAGCGCTCACTTAAGAGAGCTGCCCGCAGTCCGCGATCATCACCGGCTTGGTCGTCTTCCCCGAGGAGGTGCCGACGGCTTCGATCGCTTTGACGACGTCCATGCCCTTGGTGACGTTACCGAACACGACGTGCTTGCCGTCGAGCCACGCGGTCTGCACCGTGCACAGGAAGAACTGCGAGCCGTTCGTGTTCGGGCCCGCGTTCGCCATGGAGAGCACGCCGGGGCCGGTGTGCTTGAGCTGGAAGTTTTCATCCGCGAACTTCTCGCCGTAGATGGACTTGCCGCCCGTGCCGTTGTGGTTCGTGAAGTCGCCGCCCTGGCACATGAAATCCGGGATGACGCGGTGGAAGGAAGAAGCCTTGAAGCCGAAGCCCTTCTCGCCGGTGCAGAGCGCGCGGAAGTTCTCTGTCGGACGGACGGACGGACGAGGGGTTGGGGGGGTGGGGAGGCGGGACGACGACGTCAGCGAAAAAGATCGAACGATCGATAATCGGGACGACTCCACCGATCCGTCACGAGACATGATCAGCTGATGAGATCGCGGAGACGAGGCGTCGCGAGGTCCGCCGCGCTTCGACGGACGCGGTCGGCGCGTCGTCCGTCGCGCGCGCCGCGCGCGTCGAACGACGCGGCCGACGCCGCGCTCCGCGCGCGCGCGGTCGCGATCGGTCGTCGCCGGCCGAAGAGCGCGACCGACGCGACGCGGGGCCGCGGACGACCGGACGGACGAAGAGAAAAATATCAGCGGAGGGGAACGCTGCGTTGACGATCGATCGCGCGCGCACCCGCGGTCTTGGGGGCGACGTCCGCGCGGAGCTGCGCACGGGGACGGGGAGGAACGACGAGACGCGTCAGCGAACGCGAGCGATGCGTCGCGGAGGAGGAAAGAGGCGAAACGAAGCGAGCGACGACCGCGGATCGCGCGCGGTCGACGGCGGATCGTCGCGATCGATCGGATCGATCGCGTCGACGATCGGACATCATCTTTTTTCTTCGGAACGAATCCGAGGAGGGCGGGGGAGGACGCACCGTCATCTCGATGCGGCCCGCGGGCGCGCCGCCGACGGTCATGTCGAAGAAAACGACGGGGTTGGCCATGTTGTGAGTGTGAGGTGTTTGAGGCGACGTGCGTGCGTGCTCGCGGAAGTGAGCGAGATCTCGCGATCGGTGCTTTGCAGCGAAAAAGTGACGGCGGCGCGCTGCGGCGGACGAACAGAAAACGGACGGTCGCTGCAGCGGAGACGTCGTCGTCGTCGTACTGTCGTCGTCGTCGTCGTCGTCGTCGTCGCGTCAGTGCACGATGCGCGGGACCCTCGCGGAGCTGCTCGACGGCGACGGCGCGGACGCGCTCGGGTCCGATGCCGTGCACGCGTACGAGGCCGCGGAGGCTGCGCGCGCGCAGGCGGCGTCCGACGCCGCGGAGGGCGCGCGACGCCTCGAGGTGGCGCGACGGCAGTTCGCCGAGTACGCCACCGCGCGCGCGTCCGAGGCGACCGCGATGGCGGCGAAGATCGCGACTACTATCGCGCTCGCGGAGGGCAGGCCGGTCGTGGACGACGAGATCGTCGAGCGCGTGAGCGAGCTCGGGGAGGCGGCGGAGGCGGCGCGCGCGGAGGCGGCGGCGATGGCGGCGACCGCGATGGAGGGCGTCGTCGTCCCCGCGATCGACGACGCCGAAGGAGCAGGAGCGAAGGGCGGCGGGATGGAGACGACGACGACGACGACGACGACGGCGGCGGCCGCGGCCGCGGATCTCGGCGCGGAGAAGGACGACGAGGCCGAGGAACCGATGGAGACGGACGCCGCCGTCGCGGGCGCCCTGGGCGCGCGCGCGGGCGCGGCGAACGCGACGGTCGACGCCGGCGAGACTGACTTCACCGAACGCGCAAAGTTCATCCCGCTGCGCCTGGACAACGACGAGCGCAAGATGCTGCGCTTGCTCGAGGCGGCGCTGCACGTGAGCGAGTACACGGACAAGGTGGACGTCATGACGTTCCGATCGAAGACGCAGAGGATCACGAAGCAGCTCCGCGAGATCTGCGCCATCATGTGCGGCTTGGGTGCGTTCTCCTCACACTGGTTCCCATATGACCGCGTCGCCGTGGTGAACGCCGATCCTTAAGGACTTCGCCCTGCGCATCTCTCCGCCCAGGGTCCCTCGATTTCAATCCCCGCCCACGACGCCTTTCGACGCCGTCTGACGCCTTTCAACTCCACCCCGACGTCGCTTCGTATGGGCAATGACCCTCAAGTCGTCGCGACGGATTACCGCGCGGGACAGGCGCTCGTCGCGGACAAAGACTTCGCTGCCAACGCGTCCTTCTTCCAGGCCGCGTTCGAGATCGGGCGACGACACAAGGTGATGAATCCGGAGAAGATGCGATCGGAGTATGGGAAGATGATCTACCTCCTCCAAGACTCGCAGACGTCGGACGTACAGGAGCTGCTGCAGGTGCGTTCTATACAAACGTGTTTCAACACTTGAAATCGCGTCTCCTTTCGACTGACCGGTGAACTTTTTTGCCGCTGCAGTTCAAGCTCGTGAAGCCGATGCGCACGGCGCACGCGCTCCTCGCCGAGAAGGGCGGTCTGGCGCTTCTGAAGGACCCTCTGATGCATACGGCGACGGCGGAGATCATGCACGAGGGGAAGCCGCGCGCGGTCGTGCAGCGCGACATCAAGGCGAAGGAGAAGGTCGCGGCGGTACGCCACGTCGGAGCTCTCCGGGGAGGAAATCCTCGGCGTGCTGTACAGCGTGTCGGATAACAACGCGTACCTGAGGTTCAACCGCGACCCGGTGGACAAGATGATCACACATCTGCGCGAGTATTTTGACCCCAAGACCCCAGAGCCCGGGTTCTCGCTCGGGATCACCGTCGGGATGGGCGGCGCGCGTCTGTCGCACAACCACGAGCGGCAGTACGCGTACGTCATGCAGGTGCGTTCTATACAAAAGTTTTTCACCCAAGCACCGCCCGGTTTCAACATTTGATCGCGTGGGTCCCTTTCAACTGACCGATGAACTATTTTTGTATGGAATGGCCCGCAGTCCTTGATGCTCTGGCGCGAGGTCTCGAACGACATGTTCAAGCTGTGGTATCTCGCCGAGAGCGACCTCCTGCGCGAGGGGTCGTACTACCAGCTCACGAACACCGGGCAGGGTTTGAACCGCGTGCAGGGCGCGCCGGCGACGGGGAAGGCGATCCACGGCGTGTTGGCGCGGTGCCAGAAAAAGCTCGGGAGCTGGGTCGGCTCCTCGGTGGTGCACCTCGGCGACCACAACGTCCCGAACGCGCTGATGTTCATCGATAAGTACGCGCAGGTGCCGCGGATATTGAACCCCGTCGCGCTCGTCGTCTCCAACGTCGACGAGCTGTGCGAGGACGCGGGGTTGAGGGCGTACGTCGACGCCACCTTCGGCGGCGCGGAGGCGTGTAAGAAGCACATCCTCGCGGATTTTTTCAGGCACGCGTTCGACGGGTCGGGGGCGGATAACTTTTTCGACGCCGGGTCGTGCATCGACGGGAGGTTGACCTCCGCGTGGAACTGGTGTTCGAAGATCGAGAAGAAGGCGTACTACCCGGTGTTTAAGCTCGCGGGGTTCAGCGGGTTCGACGGCGGGGATTTCCGGTCGTGATCTGACGACGACGAGGAGGGCGGGCGGGCGGGGAATTTTTTTGATCGACGACGACGCGGGGGAAGACGAGAGAGAGAGGAGGTAATATGACGTGTCATCACTAAAACAGTCAACTAAGAAGGTTAACGGATTTCGTCCTCCTTCGTCGCGTTTAATTATATTGCCGCGGCTGCCACCCGCCTTGCGGCCGCGGCCCGGGCGGCCGCGGCGGCTGTCGCGCGGGAACCTGATAGTATCGCGGCTGTTGCGCCGTCACCATCTGCGGCGCCGTCACCATCTGATGCGCCATCGGATGCGTCATCGGCATCGGCATCTGTTGGACCTGCTGCGGCGCCACCATCATCATCTGCATCTGCGGCGGCGGCGGCGCCATCTGCATCTGCTGCGCCATCTGCATCTGCGGCGCTTCCCCCATCCTCGGTCGGTACCCCCCGCGGTCGTCGCCGCCGTATTCGCCGCCGTCCCGTCCTCGCTTCGCGCCGCCCGCGTGGACCTGATGCTGCGGAACCATGACCATCTTCATCGGCTGCCCGTTCACCATGACGACCTGCCCGGGCTGCACCATCATCTGCTGCGAATGCGAATGCGAATGCGAATGCGAATGCGCGTGCGCGTGCGCGTGCGAAGGCGCCCTATGAGGGCCGTTCTATACAAGCGAATGTCGGGGTGGAGTTCAAAGGCGTCAGGTGGAGTTGAAAGGCGTCGAGGACGGGGATTGAAAGCGTGGGATGGGCGGAGAGAGACGACGGCAAAAGCCCTTAAGGATCGGCGTTCACCACGCCGACGCGGTCGTATGGGGACCAGTGTATAGAACGCACCTGACCGTCCCTCGACCGGGGCCGGTCGTCCCCGCCCCCTCTTCGCGCGCCGCCGCCCCCTCCCCCTCCGCTCTCGAACCGCGGCGCGTGCTTGCACTTGAAGCACGCGTCGCGCCACTTGAAGTTCACGTTGTCGCATCGCCGGCATCTCCAATCGCCCTCGACGGCGCCGCCCACGCCCTTCGTCCCTCGAGAGTCCACGAAGGAATTCGGCTGCACGGTTTTCACGTCCCAGGTCTTCCCGTCCACCTCGTGCTTCTCCAGTAGCGCCTTCTCCGCGTCTTCCTCTCTCTCGAACGTCACGAACCCGAACCCGCGCGGTCGTCCGTCGGTGCGGTGCACGACGTTGCACGCCATGATCTTGCCGAACTTCGCGAAGTGCGCGCGCAGCGTTTCAAACGTCGTGTTCCCGATCCCGCCGACGAAATATTTCACGCTGGGGTTTTTTTCAGTCGGCGGACCCTGGTCCCCGGCTCGCGGCGCCCCTCCTTCGGGCGGCGGCTTCGTGTCCTTCTCGTCCTTCTTCGATCTCGACGAGGACGCGTCGAAGTCCGCGGGGCCCCTCGCGGTCTTCCCCGCTTCCCCGTCGCCTCCGTCCTCTCGCGGCGTGTCCCCCGGCGATTTCGGTTTCTGCGAGACGCGCACCGTCCACGTCGCTCTCGCGCCGCCGCCGTTCGGGACGTCGAACGCGACGTCGTCGCTCGCGAGCGCCGCGCGCTGGGACGCCATCGACGCGTACGTGACGAAGCCGAACCCGCGCGACGCGCGCCCGCCGCGCTTCGTCGCGAGATTCGCGCTCGCGACGTCGCCGAACGCTTCGAGCCTCGCGCGGAACGTCGCCGGGTCGATCGATTCCGCGACGTTGCCGACGAACAGCCGCGCGGGCGTTGTTTCCGCGTCGTCGTCGTCCGCGGTGGACGGCGACGGACCGGGCGCGGCGGCGGCGGCGGCGGCGGCGGCGTCGACCGGGTCGACCCCGCGACGGGGGGATTCGATTCTCTCGGCGACGTCGTCCATTATTTCCGCCTCCTCCGTCCCCGGCGGCGTCGGATCGGTCGGGTCGTTCGCGCTCGCCGTCGTCGCGCGCGCGTCCGCGGCGTCCTCCTTCGCCGTCGCCGCGTCGTCGTCGTCGCCGCCGCCGTCGCCGTCCTCTTTCGCCATGACGCCGAGGGACGCGCGCGCGAGGCGCTGTGCCTCGGAGGCTGGAGACGAGTTGTTCTCTCGCTCGTGGACAGGCCGCGTTCGGACACGAGGAAAAGCCCGCGGCGCGGCGGTTACGACGATTTTTGATCGGCACTCTGATCGTTCCTCGCCGATGAAACCAGGCCGTCGATCGGCGCGCGCGCTCGATCGAAACCGACCGAACGCGCGTTGAAAGGCGTAATCACCCGGCGGCATATGCGGCCTGGCGATGGCGGTCGTCTCGAGGCCCTTCCGAGAAACGCGTCGACACTCCTGGTAGCGCGCGCGTCCGTCTTCGCGACGGCGCGCGGGGCAGACGGGAGGCGCAGCGCGGGCGCGAGCCGCCGCGCGACGCCTCGCCGCGTCGTCGCGTCATGGCGAAGACGGACGCGGCGTCGCCATATCGATTCCTCCGTCCGCTCCGTCTCCATCCCCTCCATCACGCCAAGCTGTGGTACTTCTTCACGTTCTTGGGCTGGGGCTCCATCACGCCGTTCCTCCCGCTGTTCTTCTCGCGCGCGTTCGGTCTCTCCCCGGACGAGATCGGCTACGTGAACTGCACGCGGCCGCTCGTGGCGTTCGTGATGAGCCCGCTGTGGGGCGCGCTGGTGGATCACACGGGGTCCCACCGCGTCGTCCTCTTCGCGAAGAACGCGCTCCAAGGGATCGGGTTCTTCAGCCTCAAGCTCATCCCGAGGTCGTTCGCGGTCGTGTGGGCGTACACGGTCGCGCAGGAGATGACGTGCTGCGCGAACAACGCCCTCGCGGACAGCGCGACCGGGCAGATGTGCCGCCGCTTTAGTCGCAAAGTCCTTAAGGAACGGCGTTCACCACGCGAACGCGGTCGTATGGGAACCAGTCACGACGACGTCTGCCCGTGGGGGGGGACGTCGTACGGCGCGCAGAGACTGTGGGGGGCGGTGGCGTGGGGCTTCGTCGCCGCGCCTTTGATGGGCGCGACGCTGACGTACGCGCCGGAGCGCGTCGCGACGTGGGCGCCGTTCGCGTGTTCGCTGACGTCGCTGTGGATCGCGGCGGTGGCGTCGTTGGGGATGGAGTTTAAGAAGCCGGGGGGGTTGCGCGGCGCGGGGGGGAAGCGCGAGCGCGAGGTGCGTCCTATACACTGGTCCCCATACGACCGCGTCGGCGTTGTGAACGCCGATCCTTAAGGACTTTGCCCGGCGTGTCTCTCCGCCCATCCCTCGCTTTCAATCCCCGCCTTCGACGCCTTTCAACTCCAACTGACGCCTTTCAACTCCCCCCCGACTTTCGCTTGTATAGAACGGCCCTGACGACGACGGAGGGAAGGACGACGAGGGCGTCTCTCTGCTCGAGATGACGACGACGACGACGAAGAAGAAGAAGAACGTCGACCTCCTCGCGAAGGAGGAGCCTTCGGCATCGGCTTCGCCTTCGCCTTCGGTCGGGGGGGCGGCTGCGTCCGAGGCGACCGCGCGCGTCGTCGACGTTGGCGACGACGACGACGACGACGACGACGACGACGCCGACGACGCGGACCGGGCGGACCGCGCCGACGACGGAGCCACCGTGACGCGTAAAGTCGTCGACGCGTGCTTCGGACGACCCGCCGTGCTCGCGCGCTTGTCGCTCTTCTCGGTCATGTCCGCGTCCATGGCGGTCACGGACTCGTTCTTGTTCCTGTACCTCGACTCCATGGGCGGCACGGAGCTCCTCATGGGCGTGGCGCTGTGCTTCACGTGCCTGTCCGAGGTGGTCGTCTTCGCGAAGGAGGACTGGATCAAGTCGCGCGTCGACACCGAGCGAAGCATCGCGCTCGTGCTCGCGTGCTACGCGATTCGGCAGCTGTTTTACTTCGGTGCGCAGTGTGCGCGCGTCGTCGTCGCGCCGGTTGATGACGTTCTTTTCCCGACCGTCGCCTCTTCCCTCCGCGAGTCCCCTCTCGGTTTCGACGCTCGACCCGCGCGACGCCTGCTCTTGTGCTCAAACTGACGCGCCCCCGCGCTCCACGCCAACCTTCGCATTCATCGCGATCACCCTCGTCAGCGTTGCCGGCGTTTCCGTCCGCGTGGTTTGTGCTCCCCGCGCAGCTTCTGCACGGCGTCACTTTCGGGTTGTACTGGTCCGTCGGCAACGCGTACGTGCACGAGGTCGCGCCCGTAGGTTGTAACGCCGCGGTCATGGGCGTTTTCGGGGGGTTCGTGTCCCTGGGCGGGTTCTCCGGCGCGTTCTTCGGCGGGCTCGTGTTCAAACGCGTCGGCGGCGGCGTCCTGTTCGGCCTTCTCGGGTGCGTCAACGGCGCGTTGACGGCGGCGATGACGTGGCACATTCGCCGACGCGGACGCGGACGCGGACGCGGGGGCGGCGTCGGCGTCGGCGTCGGGGGTGGGTACGTCGCCGTGGGAGAGGACGGATGAGATGAGATGCGATGACGCGCCCGCCGCGGGAGGCGGCGGCGGCGGCGGCGGCAGGGGTAGAAACTAGAGACTAGCTAATAGCGATGTCGAACACGAATAATTAGACGTGGCCGCGCGTATTCGTACGGTACCGCACGCGTGTGTACTTTTGTATGTCTTTTTAGTCAGAGTTGAATGGTTGACTCGAAAATAACCGAATTTGGCTTCTGCCCTGGGTCATCCATCACCCGGCGAGCGACCACACATCGCGCCGCGGGGGCGCGAGCCCGGCAGGCGGTAACGAACCGAGCGCATCGCATCGGCGGCGGCTCGATTCTGAACGCTCGGGCGGCGAGCTCCACCGAGCGTCATGCCGATCCGGCGGACGGCGTCGATCGGGGGGCACTCCCCCGGGAGCGGACACGAGACTCCGGCCGAGGAAGGATCGTCTCCGGCCGGGTCCAGGAGGGTGAGCCGGCAGAGCTCGCGGAGTAACCTCGGCGCCGCGGACGGTCCGGACGAGGCGCACGGGAACAAGGTCGTTCCCGAGGTGGAGGAGACGGCGCAGTCGCGGAGCATCAGCAAGATCATAAAGGTGCGCGCGCGCCGCTCGCCCGCGCGGTCTCTCGGTGCAATTAAAATCGTCGTTCGTTCGACTCCGCGAGCCGCGACGTCCGCGGTCTTGGTCGATCGGCCGCGCGAGCGCGCCGTGCGCCTCTCCGATCCCGCCTCTCTCCCCGCCGACGCGCGCGTTCCGGGCGGCCCCCGCGGCGCTCTCCCTCGCCGCGACAGAAACCTTCGCTGACGCCGCCCGCCCCCCCCCCCCCCCCCCGCGCGCGTCCCGCCCGATGCCCATCCCAGACGCTTCCGTTGAAGTCGTGCTATGTGTTCACGCTCGAAAACCCGATTCGTCGGCGGCTGATTCGCGTGGTGTACAGCAAGTCGTTCGATCGGGTCATCATGTTGACGATCATGCTGAACTGCGTGTTCCTCGCGATGGACAGCAACGCGCCGGACTTCGACGAGACGGACCGAGGGTGCGTCGCTCGCGCGCGCCGCGGAGATCGCCCCGCGAGGCGAAATTCTCCCACCCGCGCTCGACGAACCAGACCCTCCGCCGCGCGTTGTCGACGGAAAAATCGATCGATCGATCGATCGATCGATCGACCGATCGATCAAATTTCCCCCGTTGGTTCGCCTTCGCCGCCGCTGACGCCTCGTCCGTCGCCTCCCCCCCCCCCCGCCCCGCGTCGTCTCGCAGGAAAGCCGTGAACGTCGGCGAGTACGTCTTCCTCGCGGTCTTCGGCGTGGAGATGCTGATGAAGATCGTCGCGATGGGGTTCGTGTACGGAGAGAATTCCTACCTTCGAGACGCGTGGAATCGATTAGATTTCGCCGTCGTGATACTCGGCGTGATGAGCACGTTGAACCTGGGGAATTTCAGCGCGCTGCGCACGGTCAGGGTGTTGCGTCCGCTGCGATCGATCACGATCATCCCGTCCATGCGCAATCTAGTCGTGACGCTGTTGAAGAGCATGCCGTTGCTGTTGGACGTCTGCGTGCTCGTCGGATTTCTGTTTTTCCTCTTCGGCCTCGTCGGCGTCCAGCTGTTCGCGGGGACGCTAGACTACCGATGCGCGACGCTGGACAACCCGAACGCCGGGTGCTCGCTGTGCGGCACGCGCGGCGACGCGACCGTCTTCGCGGGCTGCGACGACGGCTGCACGCTGCCGAGCTCGCCGCGGTGGACGGTGGACGACGACTTGGTGTGCGGCGGCCCGCGCGTCTCCGCGTACCCGGAGCGCGGCGGAACGCCCGCGGGGTTCATGTGCCCGGAGGGGTCGTACTGCCTCGAGCAGGACTCGCCGAACTTTGGGATCACGAACTTCGATCACATCTTGTACGCGTGGCTGACGATCTTTCAGTGCATATCGTTGGAGGGGTGGACGGACGTCATGTACTATCTGCAGGCGGCGGTGAGCCCGTGGGTGTGGATCTACTTCGTGATCCTCATCGTGCTCGGGAGCTTCTTCGCGGTGAACTTAGCGCTCGCGGTGTTATACGTCGCGTTCGTCACGGAGCGCGAGGACAACGAGGAGCGCGAGGAGAGGGCGGAGGAAGCCGCGGAGCAGAAGAGGAAGGACGCGGGAGAGGGGCCGCCGCCGAGAGAGCCGACGGATCTCAAGGTGAAGTACAGCAGCGAGCACGAGTTCCAGAAGGCGACGCTGCTCGAGATCGACGACATGGTAGCACAGGCGAGAGGAGGCGGCGGCGCGAGCGGCGGCGGCACGCCGGGCCGCGGCGGCGGCGATAAGAGGGCGTCACCGAGCGCGGGGAATCAGATGAGCCGGGCGTTCATCGACGGCGGCACGACGGGAACGCAGGCGGTGGCGACGGGCAGCGCGAAGGTCATGCCGCTGATGCCGATGATCACGGAGGGAGCGAACGACCCGAGCGCGCCGTGGGTCGCCGCCGGGTTCGATAACGTGCACGCGTGGTGCGACGCGAACGACGCGGAGATCGAGGACGTGCAGCTGGTGGAGGGGAGAATCGTCATCGTGCCGCCGACGCGGTACCGAAAGTTTCAGAGGAAATGCCGGCGGCTGGCGGTGTCGCACGCGTTCGCGACGGTGACGATGATCATCATCCTCGTGAACACGTGCCTGATGGCGTCCGAGTTTTACGGCCAGCCCGGCGACATGACGACGGCGTACGAGATCATCAACTACCTCTTCACCGCCTACTTCGTCGGCGAGATGTTCATCAAGGTTGTGGGCTTAACCCCGCGCGGCTACGTCGCGGACCGGTTCAACGTCTTCGACGGCACCGTGGTGATCATATCCATCATAGAGATCGCCGCGAGCTCGGGGAGCGGCGGGTCGCTGTCCGTGCTGCGGTCGGCGCGTCTGTTGCGCATCTTAAAGCTCGCGCGGTCGTGGCCGCAGCTTCGGAACATCATCGAGACGATCATGGAGTCGCTCCCGTCGATGTCGTCGCTCTCCGGCATTCTCGCGTTGTTCATATTCGTCTTCGATCTTCTCGGCATGCAGATATTCGGGTTCGAGTTTCAGTTTTGCGACTCGTACGGCGTCGACGACGCGGCGCCGACGTGCCCCATCACGCTGGGAAAGAGCTGTCCGGATTACTACGACTGTTACGTCGCGTGCACGGCGGCGCAGGCGAACGCGTGGGTGAAGTTCCCCAGCGGCGCGCAGGGGCCGTGCGCGTCGTACGGCGCGGACGGACACTTGGTGCGCCTGGGCGAGTGCGACGTCCCGAGGCATAACTTCGACACGTTCTACTGGGCGTTCGTTACCATCTTCCAGGTGCTCACGGGAGAGAACTGGAACACGGTGATGTACGACGGGATGCGGTCGACGGACTCCGCCGCGGTTTTGTACTTCCTCGCGCTGACGATTTTTGGCAACTACGTCGTCTTGAACCTCTTCCTCGCCATCTTGCTCGATAACTTCAGCGGCATCGGCGACAAAGAAGAAGCGGAGAAGGAGGCGCGCGCGAAACGGAAAGAAGAAGAGGCGGCGGCGGAGAAAGAGCGACTGTATCAGAGGAACCGCAACCCGCAGTTGCACTCCCGCAGCGACCCAGGGGGGTCGCCGCTCGAACGCGTGGACAGCGACGCGAGCAGCGGATCGACCAACAGCTCGAGCCGGAGCCGGAGCTCGCGGTTTCGGTCGTTTCGGGAGTGGAAAGAGTCGCTCGAGCGGAAGTGGGACAGCGCGATGGAGTGGTACGGCTCGAAGCGAGAGAAGGTCATCCCGAAGAAAGGGACCAGAGCGCACGAGCTGCACGCGAGGCTGCATTTCGTCGTGACGCACAAGTACTTTGAGAACGCGATCATCTTCCTCATCGTGCTGTCCTCGGCGTTGCTCGCGGTGGACTCGCCGAAGGTTACCTCGGGGAGCCAGCTCGAGGCGTGGCTCGAGGCGCTGGACATCGTCATCATCGGTTTGATTTCTTTGATTTTGACGCAGACGAAGTCTGGCGATGGGAAGAGCGCGGCGGGGATTAGAGCGCTGCGCGCGTTCCGCGCGCTGCGGCCGCTGCGCGTCGCCGCGAGGAACGAGGGCATGAAGGTGGTCGTCGCCGCGCTGTTTCAAGCCGTCCCCGCGATCGCGAACGTCGCGCTCGTGTGCCTCGTCTTTTACCTCATCTTCGGCATTCTCGGGTTGAACCTGTTCATCGGTAAGTTGCATCGCTGCGAGGAGATAAACACGGACACCGCGGTGACTCCCGCGCTCATCGGCGTCGACGACTCGCGGCTCACGAGGGAATGGTGCAAGGCGTCCTGGCACGTGCACGGGTGCCTCTCCGACTCGAGGGCGAACTTTTACAGCTCGGGCGACAGCGGCGTCGGGTGGACGTGCGTCGAGACCACGCCGGCGACGTCGTACATCAACGCGGCGGAAAACAGAGAAGAAAAGTACGGCCACGTGTGGACGTGCACGGCGTCGTCGGACACGAAAGCGGTCCTGAGCGGCGGGTACGGCGTTAGGGGGTATAACTCCCCAGCCTCGGCAATTTCGACGAAGGGGGTGGTGGGCTTCGCCCCGGATGCCTCTTCGACGACGGCGCTGCACGCGGTGATCACCTCCGGGACGTTCACGTCGTTGTGCGAGCCGACGTTCATGGACACGGTGTGGAAGAACCCGGACTCGTACTCGTACGATAACATCGGTGCGTCCATGCTCGCGTTGTTCGAGATCGCGACGCTCGAGATGTGGCTGGACATCATGTATCACAGCGTGGACGCTGTGGACGAGGACCATCACCCGCGGACGAATTACAACGAGCCCGCGGCGCTGTTTTACGTCGTCTTCATCATCGTCGGGTCGTTCTTCGTGATGAACTTATTCGTCGGGGTGACGATCGATAAGTTCAACGAGATGAAGGATGAAAACGAGAAGAAGGGCATCGAACCCGGAGCGACGCTTTTCGTGACGGAGGAACAGCGGAAGTGGCAGCGAGTCGAGAAGATGATGGCGGGGATCAAGCCGAAGAAATTTTACGACATCCCGGCGAACAGGTTCCGCAATGCGGCGTACGGCATCGTGACGCACGATAAGTTTGACCTCGTCGTCATGGGCTTGATCGCGGCGAACATCGTCGTGATGTCGATGAACCACGCGGACGAGACGGAGGAGTACTCGAAGGGATTGTTTTGGACAAACTTTTGCTTCACCGTCGTGTTCTTCCTGGAGATTTGCCTGAAGGTGATGGGCATGGGGTTCAAGGCATACATCACGGAAAAATGGAACCGCTTCGACTTCGTCGTCGTCGCCATCTCCATCATCGGCTTCGTGATCACCATGTCGTCGGACGTGAAGACGTCGTATCTGTCCCTGCTGCGCGTGTTTCGCATCGCGCGCGTGTTGCGTCTCATCAAACGCGCGAAGGGCCTGCGCGCGTTGCTGCAGACGCTCATCTTCTCGCTCCCGGCGCTCGTAAACGTCGGGAGCGTTCTGTTCCTGTTCTTCTTCATCTTCGCCGTCATGGGCATGAACCTGTTCGGGTACATCAAACGGCAGGAATTCATCACCAACTTTGCGAATTTCGAGGACTTCCCCAACTCGATGCTCTTGCTGTTCCGAATGTCCACGGGGGAATCGTGGAACGGCATCATGCACGACTGCATGATCGAAGATTTGTGCGTCGAGATTCTCACCGGGTCCGACGCCGGGACGTACTACGACTCGGGCGACTCGCGGCTGAGCTCGATGACGGCGAACACGGATTACGTCGACCGATGCACGCCCAGTCCGGAGCTCACGATTTTCTTCTTTTTGTTGTTCATCCTGATGTGCGCGTTCGTCATGCTCAACCTCGTCATCGCGGTGATCTTGGACAACTTCGAGTCGTACTCGCAAAAGGAAGAGCTCCCCGTGAGCGAAGAAGACCTCGCCTCGTTCTCCGCCGCGTGGGGTAAGTTTGACCGCGGCCACACGTACTACATGGCGATGTCGGAGCTTCCGGACCTCATGAAGGAGCTGAAGCGGCCGCTGGGCGTCGCCGACGTTACCCCGCTCTCGCAGCAGAAGAAGGCGTTGAAGAACAAGCTCCTGAGCACGCACGTGAAGAACTTCCAAGGACGCATTCACTTCGTGGACACGATTCAGGCGCTCGCGGCGAGGGTCGACGGCATCGACCGACCGAAGCCGAAGGGCCTGAAGGAGCCGAACCTTCAGGAGTGGAAGTTTGGCAAAAAGAACGACGAGTCGGATCCGTTCAAGAGCTTCGACCTGTTCTCGTCGCATTACTACGCGGCGATGATGTTCCAGGCTGTGTGGCGAGGGTTCATCGCGCGGAAGAAGGCGAACGTTCGACGGATGAAGGCTGTCAGCGTCCCGAAGAAGAAGACGAGCGGCGGCGGACGGTTCAACATCTTCAAGAAGAAGGACGGCAAGTCGAGCAAGAACAAGTCCAACCTCGGCGTGGACTCGGGCGGCTCCGGCTCCGGCGACGGCAGCGGGTCCAACACCCCGAACGCGACCCCGAGCGCGATCGTCCTCGACGCCGACGACGACGCGGAGCTCGACGCGCTGCAGCGCGAGGCGAAGGCGCAGATCGAAGCGCTGAAGAAGCTCTCCGAGGGGGAGGGGGGCTCGGGCTCGGGCTCGGCGTCGGCGGGCGACTCCCCGAGCGCGCCCGCGGGAGACTCGGAGATCCAAGAGACGACGACGGCGGCGGAGCCGAAAGCGCTGACGATCGAGGAAGAGCGCGCGATCGCGCTCGGGAAGGAGCAAGAGGAGCTGACGAAGAAGGAGGACATGGAGCAGGCGCAGTTCAAGGCGAAGATTTTTATCGCCGGCATAGGGAAGGGCGCCGCGGACAAGAACGAGTTGATGCAGGCGCTGGCGCAAGCGGCGAGTCCCGACCCCGCCGCGCCCAAGCCCGAGGAGCCCGAGGAGCGAGAGGTGAGGCATCACCGTCCGAGGATGCGGATGATGATGTAGGCGACGGACGCTAACGCGGCCGCGGGGGGGGGTGGGGTGGGTATTATCGGTGCGGAGCGCGGCCGGCGCGGCGCGACGACGAAATGTTCGTCGCCGCGCCTCGCGTCCGGCGCTCCCGCGTATGTAGAAGTATTATAGCGAAGTCGCGCGCGCGATCGACGCGCGCGTTCAAACGACAAACGTTCGATTCGTCGATCGACGTGTCTCGCGTCACGGCAGCGGCACGGGGCTGTTCATCGGGAGCGAGTAATCGTACGTCATCCCGCTCGCGGCCTCGAGAAGCGCGTCGACGTCCGTCGTCGCGCCGCCGCCCTCGCCCTCCTCGCGAGACGCCAGGTCGAAGGAGAGATTTTTCGCGCTCGGCGACGTCAGGCACGCGACGACGCACCGCGCGACGTCCGCCCTGGGCACGGACCTCCGGTCGCCAGCGAGGAGCTCGTCGTTCACGCCCACCAGCAGCTCGCGCTTCCCCCCTTCCTTATTCAGGAGACCCCCGGGATGCACGATGGAGTAATCCAGCCCCGACGCGACCAGAGCCATCTCGGCTTTTCGCTTCCAGAGGAGGATGTTGGCGTCGCCGACGTCGCCGCCGCCGCCCATCGTGTTCAGGAAGTTATCGATCTGCGTCACGCCCATGCTCGAGACGAGGACCACCTTCTTCACACCCGCGCGCTTCGCCGCGTCGATCTGCGCGACCTGCCACTCGTAGTCCACCTCTCTCGGGGATCCGCCCTCCGGGAAGTAAAAGTCCGGACGTTTGTTCTCCGCCCACGGCAAAATCTTGGACACGAGCGCGGCGATCATGCTACCGATCTTGGGCTTGGGCACCGCGCTGGTGAGGATCACGAGCGCGTCGACGCCGTCGCACAGCGTCCTCAGCGCGTCAGCGGACGAGATGTCGCCCTCGACGACGTCGCACAGGTTCGCGTCGCCGCCGTCGCACAGGTTGCGCACCTTGTCGCCCGACTTGGTCGATCGCACGAGCCCGCGAGGAGGCGCGAACGCGCCGCTCGCGTCCGAGGCGAGGAGCTTCATGACGATGGAGCCGGTGCGTCCGCCCGCGCCGGTGACGGCGACCTTCATCGGCGGCGGCGGCGGCGCGGAGGAGGAGCCGTCCGGCTCCGCGGACGCGCGCGCCTGCGGAGGGAAGGAGGGAGGACGACGAGAGAGGGTGAGCGATGCGATGACGAGCGACGACGACGACGCGACGACTTCAGCTCGACGACCCTTCGACGACGCGAGGATCGATCCGGGGACGCACGATCGCGGAGGAGGACGTCCGGACGCGGGGCGCGACGACGCGCGAGGGCGCGAGTGCGACGGACGCCATCATCGTCGACGACGTCGCGCGCGCGGATCTATCGGAGCGCCCGACGTGACGAGGCGGGTGCCTAGCTCCGATTCGCGGATGCCGAGAAAGTTCCGCGAATTCGGTCGGTCGGTCAGATTTCGGTCTGTAGTACAGTACGTAAAACGTCATATGGATATCGTGGTGAGCCGCGAGCGCGCGAAGAGATTTTCAACATGTGACGTTCGACGCACGAGCTCGGATACGAATGGATTTGCAGACGCGGTGGTATCTTCTCGCTCCACCGATCCGCGCGCCGCACTCATCCATCGCGCTCGAAGAAGCATGGCCGCCCTCACCACCGTCCCCCTCGTTCTCGGCGCGAAGCCCGCGCTCCGCGGCGCCAAGGTCGCGTCCAAGGCCGCGCCCAAGGCGTCCGTCGTTCGCGCGGACGCGCGCGCGGAGCTGTCCACCGGTGCGCGCGACACGACGTTTCGAGGCCCGCCCCCCACCCGCTCGTTTCCGCGCGAAATCGACGCCGCCGCCCGCCGCGACGTTCGCTGACGCCTCCGCCCCCCTCTTCGTCAACCCGACCGCCAGGCGAGAAGGCCGCGGCCGCGATCGCGACGACGACACTCCTCGCCCCCGCGGCGAACGCGTCCGAGCTCGGCGAGGCGCGTCCCCCCGTCCCGTCGCGCGCCGTCCCGTCCGCGATCGGAAAAGATCGCACCCCGATCGCCAGCTGTCGCCTCCTCGATCGTCCGATCGTCATCTCACGCCGCTCCCCCGCTCCCCTCCCTTTCACACCCCGCAGGACCTCTTCACGCTCTTCGACTCCATCGACAAGACCGCGGACAAGATCGAGGGCGCGTTCGGCGCCGCCGCGGGCGCCGCCGGCAAGGCGGCGGACGCAGTCTCCGCGGCGGCGACCGTCGCGAAGCCCTTCGCGGAGAAAGCCGTCGACGCCGCCGCGCCGCTCCTCGACGCGACGGGCAAGTACGCCGAGCGCACGGTCGCGCCGCTCGCGGGCGAGGCGATCAAGACTGCAGGCTCCGCCGCGGGCGGCGTCGCCGGCTCCGCCGCGAACGCGATCAAGTCGCGAGGGATCGACGTCGAGCCCGTCGCCGGCGCCGCCGGCGCCGCGGGGAAACTCGCGGGCGACTTCGCGACGACGACGGCGGCGCCCGCGTTGGAGAAGTTCGGCGACTACCTCTCCACCGCGTCGCCGACGGACCTCGCGGAGCTCGGCGCGGGCGTCCTCGCGGCGTACTTCATCGCGCCCGCGCTCTTGGGCGTCGTCGCGTCCAGCGCGCGCGGCTACGCGGGATCAGGCGCGTTCCATCTCGCGCTGTTTTGTTTGTCCCCGAGCGACCGCGTCGGCGCGGCGCGCGCCGTCGGGTCCTGAAGGACTTTACTTCCCGGCGTTCGTCACTCTCCGCCCACCACCCCTCGCGTTCAATCCAATCCCGACACACCGCGACGCCTCACAACTCCAACGACTGACGCACCCCTGAACTCCACCCCGACGTTTGCTTGTATGGACAATTACCCTGACGCTTCGCGCGGACCCTCCCTCGACGTTCCTCAGTTCGCCCCGTCGAGGCGTACGACGACGTCTTGAACAAGAAGAACGTCGTCGTCGTGGACGTCCGCCGCGAGAACGAGGTCGAGCGCGGGGAGGTCGACTTCCCTAGGCGCGCGGCGTCGCGCGTGCTCCAGGTCCCGCGCGAGCAGCTCCGCGGGAACTTCAAGAACAGCTCCGCGGTGGACGCGAACCTGACAGCGCTGAAAGTGGCCAACCTGAAAGGGGTCAAGCGCGGCACGAAGGTGGGACTGCTTCCCATACGACCCCGTTCGCGATGTGCACGCCGTTCCTTGAGGACGTTTCCCGTCGTCACTCTTCACCCGCGCTTCCCTTTCAACGTTTGACCGGTAAGACGTTCGACTGACCGATCGCTTCACCCGCGAAGGTGTACCTGCTGGACGCCAACGGCGGCGACGCGCCGAAAGTCGCCAAGGCGCTGACGGCGCAGGGGTTCGGCAAGGTGTACGTGATCCAGGGGGGGTTCAACGGGTGGGCCTCCGCGGGGCTCGGCGTGCAGTAGAGGAGAGGTGGTTTGGTCGGTCGGTTGGTCGGTTGGTCGGTCGGCGTCGTTCGCGACGGCGCGACGACTGTTAACCGTCGCGCGATCGCGACCACCGCGAACGCACTTTTTCGATTCTCTCCGCCGCTCGTCTCTCTCTTTCGTTTGAGCTCGACGCCGTCGCCGCCGCGCGCGCCCCGCGGCGGGCGACGGACGCGTACACATTAGCTAACTGCAAACGACGCCGCGCGCGCGTGTCGACGACGCGTTCATTTCGTTCTCTCCATTTCTATTCTACAGTATGTAAACGAGCGAGTAAGACGTCGATCGTCGTCGAGACTAGTCTACCTATGCGTCACCGCCGTCGCCCGCGCTCGCGGTCCTCTCCGCCGACGTACCACAGCGTCGCGATGCGTCGCCGTCGGTCGCTGACGTTGGATCCGCTGCCGTGCGCCAGCAGCGGGTGGAAGAAGATCCCGTCCCCGGGCTCGAGCGTCTCGCACGCGAGGTGAGAGACGTCAAACACCGACGCTTCGCCGTCGCCGGATGTGTCGTACGAGTCCCTCGTCTCGCGCGTCATGTCCCCGCCCTCGTGCGTCCTCCCCAACACCGTGAACCCGCCGTTGGCTGGGTCCGATCGATCCATCGCGACGACGACGTTGGCGCCGCCGAAGGATTCGTAACGCTCCCGAGCGAGCGGTTTCAGAAACGACGCGTCCTGGTGGAACGGAAACGGCGTCCCCGCGCCGCGCGGCAACTTAGGGTCGTTCCATACAAAGCGAAGTCGGGGTGGAGTTCAAAGGCGTCAGATGGAGTTGAAAGGCGTCGAGGTGTGTCGGGATTGAAAGCGATGGACCCTGGGCGGAGAGACACGCCGGGCGAAGTCCTTAAGGATCGGCGTTCACCACGCAAACGGGGTCGTATGAGGACCGGTGTATAGAACGCGCCTTAAAATTCACCTGATGCACGACGCACTTGGCTCCGTCTCGGACGCCGCACACGCGCTCCACCACCTCGAGCACGCGCGCGTCGCGCGTCAGCCTCGCGAACGCCGCGTGCCGCTTCCCCGGGGAGCTCACTTTTCTCAGCGCGCCCGGCGAACGCGCGGGCTCGCCCTTCCTTCCGCTTCGCGACTGCACCTCGAAGAAGACGCCGAATCGCGTCGTGGATGCCGTCACGTCGGCGACCGACGCCTCGAGCGCGTCCGTCGCGAGCTGCAGCGCGTCGACGACCGCGCGCGACACGACGCCGCGGACGACGACCCAGCCCTCGCGCGCGTAGTGCGCGCGCAGGGCGTCGACGTCGGCGGCGACGTCGGCGGCGGCGGTCTCGGAGAGGACGCGCGGGGACGACGACGACGAGGGCGAGGGCGCCGCCGCGAGCGACGACGACGTCGGACGCCGACGGCGCGCGCGTCGAGGCGAGTCGACCGCGCGGGCGACGCGCGCGCCGCGGTCGTCGCGCCGCCGCGCCGTCCCGACCGCGCCGACGCGCTCGGCGACGCGGCACGCGCCGGCGACGCGCGCCATGACGGACTGACGCCGAGATCTCTTTCTTTTTCTGTCTTTCCCGCGGTGGGCCACAGCAAAAAGTACGTGCGCTGAGCTGGTGCTCATCCCCGAGCACCAGCCCGTAGGGTGCATGCATGCTGCACAGTTTTCGGCCTCTCATCCAAGGTCATCACCCAAGAGCGGAGCGCGTTCAAGGTTTAGGGTTAAACGACATTCGGGGCCCGGAGGGAAGGGCGCGGGGGGCGAAAGCATTTTGCGAGTCGCGGGGGGCGAAAGCACGATGCGAGTCGCGGGGGACGACGCGCCGGCGACGAGCTCCGGAACGGGTCCCCCGAAGGTTTTCGTCCTTCGCCACGAGAAGAGGGATCCCACCGATCCGAGGTTCTTCACGCCGCTCACGGAGGAAGGGATGATGGATGCCGCGAAGACGGTGTCAGATGATTTGCACGATCTCGGCATCACCAAAATCTACGCGTCCCCTTTCTTGAGGGTCCTCCAAACGGTGGAACCCTTCGCGAGGAGAAAGGGCCTGCTCGTGCGCGTCGATTACTCCCTGTACGAGCATCCGGAGCCAAACGACGAGCCGGTCACGGCGCTGCCCGCGGAGTTTTACGAGCGGTTCCCGATAGACGCGGCGTTCGCGTCGATTTTGGATGGAAATCGAATCGGAGCGCACAACGCGGATGCGGCGGCGTTGCGACGGCGTCTTCAAGCGTTCTTAAAGTGGGTCGTGGAGAACCACGGCGCGGACGAGCGCGTGTTGCTCGCGACGCATCAGACGAGCTGCCACGAGCTCATGCATCTTCAGAGTGGTGTCGAGATCGAGACGCTCGACGTCGCGATGGGGTCGGTGTTTGAGCTCGACGCGGAAGCTGCCCTGGGTGGTTCGTCGTGATCAGCGGCGGCGAGTCGACGCTCGGGGATTCGCGAGTGACGGCTTTCACCGCGACGCCGAACGTCTTATTAGAGAGAATTTTAATTTAACGGAACATAGGAGTCATCACTCACGCGTGCGGGAATGACAAAGCCCAGGCAGCCAGGAAAACCGCGGCGTTCCCGAAACGCTCCGCACCCGCCCACCTCCCGAAAAAACGTCACTCAAAAAACGCCGACGACGGTCGGGCCGCGCTTTCGCCGACAAAGCTCGCGCCGCACAACTCCCCGTGCGAAGAAGAATGCCGCGCTTGGACGATAAGTTCAAGGTCGAGAGCCCGAGCATCCCCCAGAACGCGTCTTTCGTCGTCCTGTGCGGATGGTACAAGGCGAAAGATGCTCAGTTGAAGCGTTACAGCGACGTTTTGCGAGCGAACGGCGCGGTCGTGTTGCGGACGATCATGCCTCCGGAAGACGTGTACACGCTGCGCGAGAGCAAGAGAATCGAGAACGCGAGAGCGCTCCTCGCGGCGACGCGCGAGGTGCGCGACGCGCGCGGCTATCAAGAGCTTCCCTTGTACCTGATGTTCATGAGCAACGGAGGCTGTAACTTCCACGCCGCGATGTCGAGCGAGAAGATGTTGTCTGATGAAGGCGAGTTCGCGGACCTGCATCACGCGATCGATGTGCTCGGCGGCGGACTCATCTTCGACTCGTGCCCGTGTTACCTGGACACGAAGATCGCGACGAAGGTTTTCACGATGGGCATGCCGTCCGCGCTGGCGCGCGTCGCGTCGTGCGCCTTTCGACTGTCGTGCGCGCTGGCGGCGGCGGCGAATTTCGTCACGCGCGGGTACGCGCCGCCACTGCAGTACGAACCGTTCTGGCGGAAGGTTCGCGACGCGCCGCCGCGACGCGAGCTTTATTTGTTCTCCGAGGCGGACGACATCTGCGTCGCGGACAAGGTGGACGAGCTCGTGAGAGAACGCGTGCGCGCGGGCGCGGCCGTGAAGGCGAAACGTTGGGAAAAGGGAAGGCACGTCGCGCATCTGTACGGCGAGAACCGAAAGGAGTACCTTGCTCTGATAGAGGAGTTCATGCGGCCGTCGAGGATGTCATGCGGTCTTGAGTTCTACCTCGGCGAGTTTTCTGATGTCGTGTTCACGTGAGACGACGCGGGAGAGGCGCGCGCGGTACACGCAGCGGAAGCAAAAATTATATCTGAAATTATCTAAAATTATATCCTGGCCGCGCTCGCCCTACTAGTGTCCGATCAGCGGCCCGCCGCCGCCCAGCCTCCCCGCGCCTATGCTCCCCACCAGCACGAAGTACGCCACCGCGGCCGGCACGCCCACGGGCAGCGCGGCGAGCCACGCCTCGCACCACTTGGTCCACGCCGCCGTCGCCCACATTCTCCGAAGCCGCCGCAGCCCTCTCGCCCTTCGGTCCTCGTCCGCGAGCTCCACGCCGCCGTCCGTCGCGGCGGTCGCGCCCCTCGCGCCGGCGCCGGCGTCGCTTCGCCGCCGTCGGTACGCACTCGCGTAGTACGCTCCTCCCTCCCAAGGGCCGCCGTCGTCGTCGTACTCGTCGTCGTACTCGTCGTCGCTCGTCGCTAAACCAGTCGGCGGCGAAAACGCCATCCCTCGCTGCTCCGGCAGCCACCCGTCGTCCATCGCGACCCAATCGTCGCCGCGGTCGAACCGCGCCCTCCGAACCGCGTCCGCGCCGACGATCTCGTACGCGCCGTTCACCCTGCGGAACGTCGCCGCCGCGTCCGCGTCGTCGCACACGTCCGGGTGCGTCGTTCGCACGAGCTTGCGGTACGCCAGCTTGATCTCGGGCGACGTCGCGTCGGGGGCGACGCCGAGGACGCGGTACGGGGACAGCGGGAGGCGCGCGCCCGTGGGCGTGCGAGGGACGCGGCCGGGGCCGGAGGAGGAGGATGATGAGGATGATGAGGAGGACGCGGCGGACGTTCGGGTCGCCGTGCGATGGCGGCGGCGGCGGCGCGCGACCGAGGTCGGCGCGCGCGCGATCGTCGTCGTCGTCGTCGTCATCTTGTCGATACGGGTTCGGGTCGGTCACGTCGCGCCGTCGCCGCGCCGCGTCGTCGCCGGGATCGCGGCCTCGGCGCCGCGGCGTCGAGACGCGGCGTCGACGCGGTCGCGCGCGCGGGGTCGGCGCGCCGCGGCGCGGGGTGGACCGACGCGCGACGCGGACTGACGCGCGACGCCGGAACACGTCAGCGTTCGTTCAGTTCATTCCGAGAAGACGACGAACTGCGCTCGCGTCGCAGAAGCTCATCGATGCTGCGCGCGCGCGCGCTTCGCGTCGCCGCGCCGCTTCGAAACCGCGGCGCCGCGCTCGCGTCCACCGCCGCGTCCATCGCGACCGCCCGCGGGGCGCGCGCGTCGTCCGCGGCGTCCAGCATGTCCGCCGACGACGCGCCGACCTCGACGACGAGAAGGACGACGAGACGGTTCGTCGACATCGGCGCCAACCTGACGGACGCGATGTTCGCCGGGGAGTACCACGGGAAGCGGTACCACGACGCGGACCTGCCCGCGGTGCTTCGCCGAGCGTGGAACGTCGGCGTGGAGAAGATCGTCGTCACCGCGGGGACGCTGGAGGACGCGACGACCGCGCTGGACCTCGCGGAGGCGCACGACGGGGAATCATCAGACGAGGGAGCGGCGTCGTCGGCGTCGGCGTCGGCGTCGTCGGCGCGTCTGAATCAGGGGCGTCGTCGTCGTCGTCTGTACACGACCGTGGGCGTGCACCCGACGCGCTGCGGCGCGTTCGAAGCCTCCGGCGACGCGGAGGCGCACCTCGCGTCGCTGGCGGCGATCGCGAGCGCCAACTCGCGTGAGCGCGGCGGCCGCGTCGTCGCGATCGGCGAGTGCGGGCTGGATTACGACCGCCTCCAATTTTGCGACGCTGAGACGCAACGCGTCTGGTTCCGGCGGCAGTTCGAGCTCGCGAAGTCGACGAGGCTGCCGATGTTTCTGCACATGCGCGCGGCCGCGGACGACTTCATCGAGATACTCGCCGAGGCGGTCGCGGAGGGGACGTTCACGACGGGGGTGGTGCACTCGTTCGACGGCTCCGTCGACGATTTAAAAAAGTTGCTCGCGATCGACGGGGTGTTCATCGGCGTCAACGGCTGCAGCCTGCGCGCGGCGGAGAGCCTGGCGACGCTCAGGGAGCTGCCCGTCGATCGCGTGATGCTCGAGACGGACGCGCCGTGGTGCGGGATCAAGAGGAGCCACGCCGGGTACGAGCACGTGCGGACGACGTGGACGGCGAAGGATAAAAAAAAATTCGACGAATTCGACGAGACGACGACGGTGAAGGACCGATGCGAGCCGTGCCACGTCGTGCAAGTGTTGGAGGTGTTATCGCGCGCGATGGGGGTGGACGAGGACGTCCTCGCGGACGCGTGTCACGCGAACGCGATGAAGGTGTTCTTTCCGGACGAGGAGACGGTAGGAGGCTCGTAGACTTTCTCATTATTCTTTTAGACTAATAATACTGTACCTTCGTACGTTTCCTTCGAGTCCACTCATCGTCAGCGTCCGGCGGACCAACGCAGGAACGAGTTCGCGGCGCCGCCTCCGCCGACGCCGCCGACGACCGGAGACGCGCTCGGGGTCGCGTGCGCGGATCCGACGCCGCCGCCGTGGTACCCGCCGTGCTGCGGCGTCGGCGCCGGGGCTGGCGGAGCCGCGTAAGATCCGTATCCGTATCCGTGCTGGTCCGGCCCGTGACCGTATCCGTACTGCTGCGTCTGCGGCGCCGGATACTGCCACTGTTGCCCGTGCTGTTGCCCGTACTCCGCGGCGGCGTACGACTGCTGCTGCTGCTGCTGCTGCTGTTGCGGATGAGATTGAGGATACGCGCCGTACCCGTACGCCGCTTGCGACGGCGACGGCGCGTACGCGAGCGCGGACGCCCTCGCCAACGCCTCCTGGAACGTGTCCGTCCCGCCGCCGCCGCCGCCGCCGTGGTGGTATTGGTCGTGGCCGTAGTACCCTCCGACGCTCGACGGCGTCGCCGCGTTCGAGCCGTAGTACGCGCTGTGGTGATACGCGTGCTGCTGCTGCTCATGGTGGTACTGCGGCTGGCGCGTCGCGGGCGAGGACGCCGCGCTCGGCGGGTGACTCCGGTACCCAGAGGTAAAAAACGCGCCTGCGGACGTCGGCGGCGGCACGTCGACGTCGCGCCGCGACGACGCTTGGTACGCGGCCGCGGCCGCGGCGTACGGCCCGGGCGCGGGCGCGGCGTACGGGGCGGCGTACCCCACGTCGCCGATGCGCCCGGACGGGATGCGTCCGCTCGTGGACGGCATGCGAAGTCTCGCGCCTCGCGGCTTCTCCAGAGGTTCCTCCCCCTCCTCCTCCTCCTCCTCAACCTTCTTCGCGCGAGCCGAGAACGGCCTCCTTCGCGGCGGCGGCGGCTCGTCCGCGCCCGCTCTCTTCCCCGCGCCGCGAGCGCTCTTTTGACTCCTCGTCGAGACCGTCGACGTCGTCGACCGCGCGCTCCGAGCGCCCCCCGCCGCCGCCGCACCCGCCGCCGCCGTCCCCGGCCGTTCGCGTCGCTCCACCGCCCCGCCCTCCTCCTCCTCCTCCTCCCTGAACGCCCCTCGCGACCGATGCGACGCGTCCCCGCGCGCGGAGACCGACGTTCGCGCGCGTCGCGTCCGCGGCGAGTCCCTCTGGTCCACGCCGAGCCCGCCCGGCCCGGAGTCGAACGCGGGCCTCGGCTTCGCGGCGCGCGCCGTCAGACACCGCCGGCCGCCGCCACCGGACCGCGCGTCGAACGCGGGGCGCGCCGTCGCCGGCCGTCGCGCGGCGGAACTCCCGGTCCTCCGCGGCGGCGTCTCGTCGTCGTCGACGACGTGCTTCTTGTTCTTCCTCGCGGTCGCCGGCGGCGGTCCGCCGACGCGGCGTCCGTGGAGGTCGTACTCCGCGCGCGGCGTCGCCGGCGGCGGCTGCCGTCGCCGCGCGGAAGCTCCGTACCCGTACCCGCCGCGTCCGGGCGTGCTCGCGACCGCGCCGCGCATCGCGCGATCGTACTCGAACCGTCGTCGCGCGGTGGACGGCGTCGCCGCCGTCGTCGTCGATCGGCGGCGACGATCGCCCCGGCCGAAATCGTCGTCGTAAAAGTCGTCTTCGTCGTCGTCGTCGCGGACGCCGAACCCCCCGAACCCCGCCCCCGTCCGCGGCGTCGTCGGCGTCCATCCGCGTCCTCGCGGCGTCGCTCGCGGCGTCGATCGCGGCGTCGCTCGCAGCCTCGCGCCGCCGTCGCCGCCGCCGCGGTCGACTCTGCGCCCGTTCAGGTCGTACTCCGCGGTCGGCGGCTTCCTCGCGGGCGGCGACTCGCGCGACAGCGCGGCGAGGTGCGCGTACCGGTCGCGATGCGTCGTCGCTCGACGGCGCTCGGGCGTGAGACGCGCGGGCGCCCCCCCCCCCGCCGCCGCGGTGCTCGGCCATCTTCCTCCCACCGCGCCCGCGTTCCCTCCGCGCCGCCGCGGCGTCCTCGACGCGAGGTGCGCCTCCATCATCCGCGCGCGGACTTCCCTGTCGGTGAGCGGCGTCGTCGTCGTCGTCGTCGCGCGCTGATGTTGATGTTGATGATGCGCGGGTCGACCACCGCGCGACGACGCGCCGCCCGCGGTGCTCGGGCGCCGCGCGGAGGACGGCGCCTTCGACGCCGCGCGTCCGGTCCTTCGCGCGGACGACGCGGGGCGCCGCGCGGGCGGCGGCGTGATCGCGACGTCGTCATCCTGCGGGGGGAGCGCGAGGGACGAGGAGGAGGAGGAGGAGGATGAGACGCGGAGCGAGCGAAGGAAGACTTCATTGGAGGCATCGATTGGAGGAGAATGACGACGCGCGCGACGTCGCGCGACGTCCGCCGATCGACGCGCCTCGTCCTCGTACGCCCGCAGCTCCCGCCGCAGCTCCTGCCGCAGCTGCTCGAGCTCCCTCGAGCGGTAGCTCATCGCCGCGGCCGTGCCCCGCGCGCGAGAGCTCTCGAGCGCGCGGCGTGGCGACGACAGCTGAAACACTGGACGAGACGACCGTTTGAACGACGACCGCGGACGCAGCAGTTCCATCGGACGCGACGAGAGAGATCCGACGCCGTCTCAGAGCCCGTCTCAGAGCGACGCGCCCGTCGACGCACGCCACGCGATGCCGTCGAAACGCTCGCCTAAGAAGACGATGGCGGCGTGGGTCAGCGACCTCGAGTCTCAGCCGCCCGCGCCGCCGAAGTCGCCGCCGCGCGCGCGGCGCGAGAAAGAATCATCGCGCGCGGGGGCGACGTCGTCGTCGTCCGTCGCGTCCGCGCGCCCGTCCGCGCTGACGAGCCCGGTGCGCGCGTCCCGCCCCGGCGGGTTCGCCGCCGCGGAGGCCGCCGCGGCCGCCGCGCAGACCGCGCACGAGGAAGAGAAGCGCGCGAGAGCGGCGCGGATCGAGGCGAACAAGAGGGACCTCGCCGCGCGGACGCGCCTCCCGCGAACTGGCGCGCCCCCGAAGGAGAGCGCCGCGTCGTCGACGCATCAAACCCAATCGAAGCGGCCGTCCGCGCCCGCCGCGGCGGCGTCGTCCCCCGCGAAGACGACGACGACGACGACGAAGACGAAGACGAAGCCGGCGCTCCCCCCGCGGTCGCCGACGAAGCCGTCCGCCCCCGTCGCCACGGTGACGCGCCACCCGGTGACGCGTTCCCCGGCGAAAAACAACGCGGACGGTCGTCGCGCGCCGTCTCCGGCGACGATCGCCTCCGACGCGCGCGCCGCCAACGTCCTGTGGGACCGCACCGCGCGCGCGATGCGAACCGCGCACGACGCGCTGGACGAGGCGGCGTTCGCGGTGTTGCACGACGGGCCGAACGTCGCGGCGGGGACGCCAGGATTCGGCGCCGGCGGCATCGGCGGCGGCGCGGTGAGAAGAGAACAAAATCGCTCCCCGCGCGCCCGCGTCGTCGTTCGTCGTTCGTCGAGGCGTTCTTCTCTTTCGCGCGCCGCGAACCGCACGTTTGTTTTGACACGTGGGAAGTGTGTGAACCAATCACGCGCTCGCATAACTGACACGTGTTGTCTTCCCTCGACCACGCGCAGGACCCGAAGTCGTCCCACGCCGCCGCCGCCGCCGTCAGCGGCGCGACGCGGAAAAAGATCGCGTCGCGCGCGGCGGTGAAAATTAAAGCCGCGAGGGACGAGCTGAACGACCTCTTCGCCGGGTTCAACGAACTCCGCAGGCACGGCGACGCGCTCGCGGACGCGCTCGCGCGAAGCGAGGGCGGGTACGCCGACGTCACGAAGCAGCTCGCGAGCGTCGCCGGATACGCCGAGGAGACGACGCGAGCGCTTCGAAAAAGCGCCAAGGAAAAAACCGACGTGTCCTCCGAGCTCGCGGAGACGAAAGCCGCGCTGGACCAAGCGAACAACCACGTCAAGCAGCTCACGCAGCGCGTGGATCTCGAGGCGACGAACGCGCGCGAGCTCGCGCGGTGGAAGGTGGAGGCTGCGGAGGGACGGAAGCACTCCGCCGCGTTCGAGGCGATGCGCGACGCCAACGCGCGGCACAAGGAGGCGGTGGCGAAGCTCACCGCGGATAACATGGTGTTTCTGACGCGAATGCGCGAGTCCGAGACGGAACTGAAGACGCTCAGGGAGGAGACCGCGGGGATGCGCGGGGAGGTGGAGGATAAGCGCGGCGTGTGGTTCGACCGCGCGAGGAAGGATGTCGAGCGGGTGGTGCAAAACGCGATGAAGAGGGCGGAGGACGCGGAAGCCGCGCTCGAGGCGGCGACGGGCGCGTCGGAACAGCGCGTCGAAGAGTGGACGAAGACGCTCGAGATGACGCGGACGAAGCTCGAAGAGACGCTGAAAGAGAACGACGCGCTCGCGATGAAAGCCGCGGAGGCGATGAACGCGGAGAGCGACGCCGCAGCGGCGTTGCGGCAGTCCGAGAGCGAACTTCGAGACGCCGTCGACCGCGCCTCGGAGAGCGCGCACGCGGCCAAGGCGGCGACGGACGCGATGGCGGCGGCGCGCGAGGAGCTCGGCGTGCTGCGGATGGAGCACCGCCGCGCGCGCGAGGAACTGCAACTCGCGGAGGGCACGGTGCGAGACAACGCGAAGGAGCTGAACAAGTGGAGGGCGGTCAACGAGGGCGTCATGCGATCGAAGAACGAGATGGAGTGGCGCATGCTGGAGATGCAAGCCGCGTTCGAACGCGCGGGGTTGTCGTTCATCCCGGGCGAAGGCGCGGGGTCGGGGTCGGGGTCGGGGTCGACGCCAGCGCCGGCGCTGAGCCCGCTGCCGCCGAGCCTTCATCGCACGCCCGAACCCGTCGTCGTCGCGGGCGGCGGCGGGTTCAAACGCGAACGCTCCAACCCGGAGCTCGAAGCCGCGATGCACCTTCGTCGGTCCGTCGTCGACCTCGGAGACGACGACGACGACGACGACGACGGTCGCGACGAGGCGATCAGCGAGACCGTCACGCCCGTGGGTTTGACCGCGCCGAGCGGCGTCGAGCGCGCCGCGAAGACGGCGTCGAAGACGGGCACGGCGGCGCCGTTGATTGGAAAGGCGACGACGAGGGGGGGGTACGGCGCCGCGAACAAGACGCCCGCGGTGAAGTCCCCGAAGAAATCCGCCGCCGCCGCCGTCGCCGCCGCCGCGGAGGAGGAGGAGGAGGATGTTCTGGAGAAGGCCAAGGAGCCGGAGAAGGCGAAGCCCGGGAGGAGAGGGCGCGGGAAGAACGTCGCGAAGGTTGTCCCGCCGCCGCAGCAGCCGTCGAAAAAGGAAAAGAAGGCGGCGGCGGCGAAGGAAGCCGCGCCCAAGAAGCAGAAGACGTCGCGAGACGACGGCAGCGAGAGCGAAGAGCCGCACCGTCCGTACCAGCGACTGCACGACGACGAGGCGGAGGCGGCGGGGAGCTCCCCCGGGCCGGAGTTCCCGCCGCTCGCCGCCGACGACGGCGACGGAGGCAAGAAGAAGAAGAAGAAGTATTCCGACGACGCGACGTCGCTGTCGCCGCCGCCGCCGAGCGGCGCCGCGAAGGGGATCAAATCCTCGCTCGCGCGCGCCGCCGCGTCCGCCGCCGCGTCCGTCGGCCGCGCCGCGTCCAACGCGTCATCGGAGACGAACGACGACGGCGATCTCTTCGGCGGCGGCGGCGGCGGCGCGCGTTCGTCGCCGAGCGCGGGCAGCGCCGACGCGGCGGCGGAGGCGCGCGAACGCGCGTGGATGGAGGCGACGATGGAGCGCGCGCGCCAAGCCGCGGGCGGCGGGTTCGTGAAACGCGTCAACGCGGCGAAGTGGGGCGGGGCCGACGACGACCTCGACGGTCACGCCGTCGTCGACGAGCGCGTGTTTCTCGAAGCCGCGGCGCGGACGACGCGCCGCCGCGCCGAGGAAGCCACGGCGACCGCGACCGCGACGGCCGCGCCCGCCGCCGCGCGCCCGGCGAGCGCGAGGTCCCTGGCGAGCGCGACGTCCTCCGAGGCGGCGCAGAGCGGCTTCGGGTGGATCGGCGGGCACCCCGGCGCGAGCGCGCACACGTCCGTCGCCGCGCTCGACGGCGGGGACACCTCGGACGAGGACCGTAGGGCGCTCGCGGAGGTGAGACTGCTTCCCGTACGACCCCGTTCGCGTGGTGCACGCCGTTCCTTGAGGACTTTTCTCGTCGCCACTCTTCACCCGCGCTTCCCTTTCAACGTTTGACCGGTAAGACGTTCGACTGACCGATCGCTTCACCCACGCAGGGCCGCGCGCCGCGCGTCCCGTATTTCGGCGGCTCGTCCTCCGACGACGAAAACGAAAACGACGACGGCGCCGCGATGAGCCCGCGCGGGCCGCGCGTGGACGCCGCGCGGCACGTCCCGGGGGTCGGGTTGCTGTCCAGCGGGAGAATCGGCGCGTCGTACGGCGCCGTGGACGAGGGCGGCGACGCCGGGGCGCGCGCGCGCGGCGGCGGCGGCGGCGGCGACGGCGTTCGATTCGCCAATGCGTTGCCGAATTTCGAGGGGCTCTCCCGGGACGAGATCGTCGCGCGCGCGATGTCGAACGTCGACGCCGCGATCGAGCTCGCGGAGCAGCGAAGACGCGAAGGCGGAGGGGACGGGCGGGAGGTCACGGGGTTCAGCTGGGCCGAAGCCGTGGAGAGGGAGCTCGGCGGCGGGAGCGGGAGCGGGAGCGGCGGCGGCGGTGGCGGAAACGGATCCGGAGGCGGCGGCCAAAAAGTCACCTTCTCCAACGCGTTGCCGCGGGTTCGATGAGCGCGGAGCGTCGATCGATCGAATCGCACGCTTCTTAGTTTTAAAAAATAATGATGTCATCCTCGTTGCAAAAGTCAGTTCAGTCGTACCCTAAACAGAACAGGAGCCGGTCGACGACGGACGGCGACGTTCGAGCTTCTCGTTTTACTTCGCCTTGTTCTTCTCCGCCCACGTCCGGGCGTTTTGGAACATCCTCAACCACGGCCCCGGCCCGTTGGCGTCTATCCCCGCGTCTTCCGGCGCCCACGGCATCTGCCACCCGAGGAACGCGCGCTCGGGGTGCGGCATCATCGCGAGGTGTCGCCCGTCCTTCGAGCACAGACCCGCGATCCCGCGCTCGCTGCCGTTGGGATTGAGCGGATACCGCGTCGTCGCCTCTCCGTCGGCGTCGACGTAGCGAATCGGCGCCTGCCCTCCGGCGACGATGTCGTCCACGCGCGAGGCGTCCGGGAACTTGACCTTCCCCTCCCCGTGCGCGATCCAGATGCCGATCTTCGAGCCTTGCATGCCGTCGAGCATCACCGCGGGGGTGTCGGCGTCCACGCCGACGGTGACCCAACGCGATTCGAACCTTCCGCTGTCGTTGTGAATGAAACGCGGTTGCTTCTCGTCCGACGTCTGTCCCAACCCGCCCTCCGCGGGGACGAACCCGAGCAGCGCCATGAGCTGGCAGCCGTTGCACACGCCCAGCGAGAACGTGTCCTCGCGGTCGTAGAACGCCTGGAACTGCTCCCACAGAGCGTCGTTAAAGCGGATGCTCCCGGCCCAGCCCTTGGCGCTGTCGAGGACGTCGGCGTAGGAGAAGCCGCCGACGAAGACGATCCCCTGGAAGTCCTCGAGCTTCACCTTCCCGTCGAGGAGGTCCGACATCGTGACGTCCCACGGGCACATCCCCGCGGTGTAGATCGCCGCCGCCATCTCGCGGTCGCCGTTGCTGCCCTCCTCGCGCAAGATGGCCACCTTGACCTTCTCATCCGCGGGTTTAGCGAGAATCTCGTCGGGGGTCTTCTCCGGCTGGTACGTGAGACGCCACTTCGGCACCTTCCGCTCTCTCAGCCCACCCTGCTCCGCCGCGACCGTGGCCTCGGAGGATTGCATGCGCTCGAGAAGGAAGCTCGTGTGCTCCCACGCGTCGCGGAAGTCCGCGACCGCGCCCGCGACGACCGCCTCGCCGCCGTCGGCGACGGCGACGGAGACCATCCCGTCGTCCGTCACGTCGCCGATCGCGCGGCACGTCACCCCCGCGGCGGCGTACGCCTTCGCGACGTGGTCCACGTTGTCGGGCGCGATCTCGAGGATAATCGCGAGCTCCTCCGCGAACATCGCGGCGAGGTCGGAGTCGTCGGAGTCGTCGTCTCCGGACCCGCGCGGCAGCGTCGCGTTGACGCCGACGTCGGGGCGCGGAAACGCCATCTCCGCCAGCGCGACGACGACGCCGCCGTCGCTGACGTCGTGCCCCGCGCTGATCTTCCGCTCCCTGACGAGGTCCTGCGTCGTCTCCCACGCCGCCTTGAAGTACGCGCGGTCGTCCATGTCCGGCGCGACGTCGCCCATCTGGTCGTACGCCTGCGCGAGCGCGGAGCCGCCGAGCCGCCGCCGCCCCGCCGCGCTCGCGAACTCCACGAGGAAGAGCTTCCCCGAACCCGGAAGCTTCAGATCCGGGGTCACCGTCTTGGTGATGTCCGGCACGGTGACGTACCCGGACATGACCACCGAGCCGGGCGCCTTGACGACCTCGCCGTCGGCGCGCGCGGCCATGGACAGCGAGTCCTTGCCGCCGTCGATCGCCACGTCCAGGTCGTTCATCGCGTCGCACAACGCGACGCACGCGTCAAACATGTGCGCGCCGTCGCCGGGCAACTTCGCCGCGTACATCCAGTTCCCGGAGTACTTGACGTCCCTCAGCCCGGACGTGCACGCGAAGACGAGGTTCGTGAGCGACTCGCCGAGGGACATGCGCGCCATCGCGCCGGGGTTTACCATGCCCTTGATTGGCTGCTCGCCGATGCACGTCGCGCCGCCGGTGGTTCCGAAATGCGTCTGGGAGATGACCGCGACGTCCGCGATGGGGATCTGCAGCGGGCCGACGCACTGCTGCTGCGCGACGAGGCCGGTGACGCTGCGGTCCACCTTCGTGGTGAGGAAGCGCTTGGAGCAGACGCTCGGGAGGCGAAGCACGCGATCGAGCGCGGCCATCGCGGTATTCCCGGCGGGGAGCGCCACGGGGTCGTTCTCGAACGTCGCGCGCTTCAAGTCGTACGTCTTCTTAGGCATGTCTCCGAGCACCTTCTCGAGGTCGAGGTCCTCCGGCGTCGGCGACCCCGGCGGGGCGGTCGGGTCCACGAGCTTCACGCGGCCGCTGCCGTCGATGCTGCCGAGGACGCTGAACGGGCACCGCTCGCGCGCGCAGATGCGCTCGATCACCGGAAGCGACTCGGGGGCGATCAACATCGCGGAGTTTTCTTGATACTCCGCGCCCCAAATCTCGAGCACGCTCAGCGTCGCGTCCCCGAGCTTCACCGCGCGAATGTCCAGCGTGCCGCCCTTGGGGTAGATGAGCTCCTTGCACACGTTGCAATTCCCGCCCGCGCCCTGGTCGTGGATGCTCAAGATCGGGTTGTCGCCCTCGAGCTCGACGCACGCCTTGACGACGCGGTTGAGCTTGTTTGACATCTCCGCGTCGCCGCGTTGCACCGCGTTGAAGTCCAGGTCCGCGTTCGCCTCGTCCTCGCCGCCAGCCTTGGACGACGCCGCGCCGCCGCCCATGCCGATCCTGTACGCGGGGCCGCCGATCTTCACGACGAGCATCCCGACGTCGCCCTCGGTCTTCTCCAAGTTCGCGTGGTCGATCTGTCCGAAACCGCCGCTGAACATGATGGGCTTGATCCACTCCCTTCGCTCGCCGTTCTTGAGCCGCGACCCGAACGAGCGGCAGTACCCCGCGATGAGCGGCTCGCCAAACTTATTCCCGTAGTCCGACGCGCCGTTGGACGCGTCGACGAGGATCTGCAGCGGCGGCGCGAGGTTCGACGGGTACTTGAAATCATCCGCCTCGTGCGCGGCGACGTTATCCGGAATTCGAAGGTTCCCCACGCAGTATCCCGCGGTACCCGCGGTGAGCAGCGAGCCGATCCCGGTCGCGTGCGTGTCGCGCATGCGCCCGCCCGCGCCCGTCTCCGCGCCCGGGTACGGCGCGACCCCGGACGGGAAGTTGTGCGTCTCCGCGGTGAGGAGCAGGTCCAGATCCACCCGTCGCGGCGCGAGCGGCGACGGCGCGCCCGCGGATGTCGGGCGCAGCGGCGCGTTCACGTACCCCCGGATGGCGCTCGAGTTGTCCTTGAACGCGATCGTGGAGTTGTGCCCGCGCTCGCCCGCGATCGTGTCTTTGACCATCTTGAACAGCGAGCCGGGCTGCGGCACGCCGTCGACGATGAGGTTCCCGCCGAAGAACCAGTGCCTCGAGTGCTCCGAGTTGGACTGGCCCATGTCGAAGAGCTCCACGTTCGTCGGGTCTCGCCCGATGTCGTCGCGGAACAGCGTGAGGTAGTAGTCGAAGTCTTCCTCGTCGAACGCGAGGCCCATCTCTTTATCCACCTTCTCCAGCGCCGCGCGGCCTTCGCTCAGCACGGGGACGGTGTACACTTCCTCCGGCTTGGCGTCTGTGGTAAACGTCGCCAAGGGCTCGTCGTAGACGCACTCCGTCATGCGGTCGTGCACGATGCTCGCGAACGCCATCTTCTGCGCGTCGGATAACGCCTGCGCGTCGTCCGTTAAGTTCAACTGGAAGCGCCGCGAGCGCTCCAGGCGCGTGACCTTCCCGAGGCCGGTGTTGGCGCACACGCCGACGGCGTTGGTGGACCACGCCGACTGAAACGCGAGGCGAGGGCCAACTTCGATGGCGCGATCGGCGCGAAGCGTCGACGCGTCCGCGAACAGGTCCGGCTCGAACGTCTCGCGCAGGAGCCATACGAGCGTCTCGAGCTCTCTCGGCGTCAGCGCGGACGTGACCTCGACGTTGAAGCACTGCTCCGTCGCGATCGACGCGAGCGCGCCCGCGATGGCGGGCAGCGCGTTCGCTCTGCGCGTCAGCGTGGCGGCGGCCTCGTCGCTCAGGAACGGGCGACGGAAGAGCTGAATGACCTCGCGCTTCGTCCCCGCGGAGGGAGACGACGCGTCCGCGGGCTCGGAGACGACCGCGCGGACGGGCGGCGCGGAGACGCGCCCGCGGCGCGAGATCACGCGAGATCCGCGTCGCGCCGCGCGGATTGGGGGCGCGAGCGCGGCGCGCGAGGCGATCATCGCGTGCTGCGTCGCGCTCTTCATCTTTTGTGTTTTTTCTTTCCCTTCTTCGCGATCGAGCGCGGGGTGGCGACGGTGCGCGCGACGGTCGCGATGGAGCCGCGGGGTGACGTGCAGGTCGTGACGCGAGGCGGGGGGACCGCTTCGCGATGCCTGCCGACCGTGTATCCGGCGCGGCGAGGAGTGATGAGAGGGACGGCGGCGGGGCTTTGATCAACACTTTGAATTTTTTTTGAGTGCATTTTTTGGGCGCCGATACCAGCGCGTTGGATCGTTGGCACACCTTTTTGTAGAGACGTCCGCGGAGAGCCACAGGGCCACAGAGCCACACCCCCTTGGCGCGGGCGCCCGGCGCCATGGACAAGCTCAAGCACAAGGTGCACAGCGCCTACAAGGTTCGCACGCCGCGCGCGTCCCGTCCGCCCGACGTTCCTCGCCATCCCGCGACCGCGTCCGTCCGCGCGCGCGAGATCCCGTCGTCGGAGAAAACAACGGTGGATGAAATGAAAAGACGCGCCGCGCGGCAGGCAGCGCGCGCGGTTCGACCCGTGGGCCCGCGAACTCGCTCGTCCATCCATCCATCCATCGCGCGCCTCCGCGTCTCTCTTCTCACTCACGCTCTCTCTCTCTCTCCGTCGTCGTCGCGTCGCAGGGCGTCGCGGAGCAGCTCATGCCGGCGATGACCAAGTCCGCGTTCGCGGAGAAGGGCGTCGTCACCCCCGAGGAGTTCATCGTCGCGGGCGATTTCCTCGTCTCTCAGGCGCGTTCTATACACTGGTCCCCATACGACCGCGTCGGCGTGGTGGACGCCGATCCTTAAGGACTTTGCCCGGCGCATCTCTCCGCCCACCCCTCGCGTTCAATCCCCGACCTCGACGCCTTTCAACTCCAACTGACGCCTTTCAACTCCACCCCGACGTTCGCTCGCATGGAACGGCCCTCAGTGCCCGACGTGGTCGTGGCAGGGCGGCGACGAGAAGCACGCGCGGTCGCACCTCCCGCGCGACAAGCAGTTCCTCGTCACGCGGAACGTCCCGTGCGCGATGCGCGCGGCGGCGATGGAGGAGTACGCGGGGAAGGAGGTGCACCTGGACGGCGACGACGAAGGGTGGGTCGCCGCGGGGGTGGGCGGCGGCGGGAAGGGGAAGCGCCAGCTGGCGGGCGGCGCGGCGGGCGGCGGCGAGGACGAGGAGGACGACGTCGCGGACATGGACGCGCACATGGCGAAGTTGACGACGACGAGCGAAGACGCGCGCGATGCCGACGAGAAGAAGAAGGAGGAGGAGGAGAGCGGCGGGGGGGAGGACGCGTCGAGAGACGACGACGACGCGGACGCCGCGGCGAAAGCGAAAGCCGGAGGATCCGCCGCCGCCGCGAAGAGAGACGACGACGACGACAGCGACGGGGACATCCCCGACATGGACGACTTCGTCGACCTCGGCGCGGAGGAGGAGGAAGACGACGCGTCCGCGGCGGCGCCGCGTCGTGGAATCGCGGATTCGGACGCGGAACTTTTCTCCGCCGCGGGCGCGACGACGGCGGCGACGAAAAATCCCGCGGACAACATCCTCAAGACGCGAACGTACGACCTCAGCATCACGTACGATAAGTACTACCAAACCCCGCGGGTGTGGCTCAGCGGGTACGACGAGCACCGATCCGTGCTCCCGCCGAAGAAGACGCTGGAGGACGTCAGCGCGGAGCACGCGAAGAAGACGGTGACGATAGATCCGCACCCGCACACGGGCGCGCCCGCGGCGTCGATTCACCCGTGTAAACACGCGCCGGTGATGAAAAAGCTGATGGACGCGACGGCGCGCGCGGGAGGGGGGACGCCCAAGGTGGAGCACTACCTGCTCGTGTTCTTGAAGTTCATCGCGAGCGTGGTGCCGACGATCGAGTACGACTACACGCTCTCGATTTGATCGACGACGCGAGCGAACGCAGCATTTTTTGACGACGAAAGAGAGCGCGACGCCGATGGAGTCGATGGAGTCGATAGAGTTGTAACAACACACGCGCGGTCCATCGGGGTTCCTCCGCGCGCGCGACGCGACGTCTCCGCGTCTCCGCGTCTCTCGCCTCGCTTCGATTCGCTTCACTTCTTCTTGCCCTTCGCGCCGCGGCCGGCTTTGCCGCCTCGCGCGGCCGCCCTGCCCCGTCCCCGTCCGCCGCGGCCGCCTCTTCCCGCGGCTTTGCCTCGCGTCGCGGGTTTCTTCTTCTCCTCCTCGGCTTCGGCTTCGGCTTCGGCTTCGACTTCCTCCTCCTCCGCGTTTTCCTCCTCGGCGACTTTTTCCTCTTTCTCTTTCTCCTCCGCCGCGGGCGTCTCGGGCGCTTCTTCGGACCCTGGCGCGTCGTCAGACTCCTCGGGCGCCGCTGTCTCCCTCGCCGCGGGCTTCTTCGAGCGCTCCTCCTCTTTTTCTTCCTCTTTTTCTTCCTCCTTCTTCTCCTTCTCGTCCGCAGCCGCCGGCTTCGGCTTCGGCTCTTTCTCCTCTTTCGGCTCTTTCGGCTCTTTCTCCACTTTCTCCTCTTTCTCCTCCGCCTCCGCCTTCGCCTTCTCCTTCTCCTTCGACGCGTTCTTCAGCGTCGTCTTCTCCATCACCTCCTTGATCATGTCGCGCGCCTTCTCCACGTCCGCGTCCGTCGCGCCGTGCGCCGTCACGGATTTCTTCTCGTTGTCCACCTCGAGACGGCATTTACTTTTTCGCGTCAAATTCTTGATCACCACGCCGCGCGTGCCGATGATCGCGCCGAGTAACGCGCCGCACTCGACCGTCGTCTGACACGGCTCGTCGCCACTCGGAGTCCGATAACTCGGCGGGGTTTTCGTTTTTTCTTCCGCGGTTTTCGTTTTTTCTTCCGCGGCGGGGGGCTCGTCCGCGGCGGGCTCGTCCGCGTCGTCGTCGTCGTCTTCGTCGTCGGCGGCGCCGTCGCCGCCGCCCTCTTCCCTCTTCGCCGGCGCGCCCGAAGACACCCTCAACTCCGCGGGGATCTCCCCGCCCGCCATCAGCGCGTCGAACGCGCGCTGGATCACGTCGAACTTCCGCTTCCCGAGCTCGTCGCGCGCGATCGCGGAGACGATCTTCGCCGCGGCGGTGAGCGCCTTGGCGTCGGAGCCGATCAGCTTGATCTCCTTCGTCTTGTTCAGCGGATTGAGCCGCACGCCGGTGACCTTGTGCACCGCGAGCAACGTCTGCTTGTTCTTGCCGATGACGCGGCCCATGCCCTCCCTCCCGCCCGGGTCGATCGTGAGCTCGCGAATCTCTTTGCCAGTCTCTTTGCCAGTCTCTTTGCCAGTCTCTTTGCGCCCGCGGCCCGCGGACTTGAGGACGTCTTCCATCGTCGGCTCCGGGAGGTTGAATCGCTTCGCGCGCGCGACGAGCTTCTCGAGCTCCGCCTGAAGCGCGTCGTCCGCGGGCGTCGCCGCCGGCGCGTCGCCGCCGTTGCCGTCGGCGTCGGCGTCGTTCGTCTTCGGCTTCTTCACGTCGTTCGCCGCCTTCTCCTCGCGGACGCGTTTCAGCTGCCCTCGAAGATCCCCGCCGACGGGGACGCGCGCTTCGCCGCCCGGATGGTTCCCTCCTCCTCCTCCTCCACCTCCTCCTCCTCTGTCGGGTCCGCGGTCTTCCCATCGCCATTCCCCGGGGACGTCCCACCTCCCTCGCAGCCCCTCGATCCCGCGGTCGCGCATGATGACCTCGATCCTCGCGCGCGCGTCCTCCACCGCGGACCGCCGCCCGCTGATCGCCACGGTGGTCTTATCCTTCATGCAGTCCACCTTCGCGCCCGTCTCCTCCTCGATGCGCTTCACGTTCGAGCCCTTCGCGCCGACGACGAGGCCGTTGTTCCCGCGCGTGTCCATGATCCACGACGGCTCGGACGGGTCGCGGTCGGTCGCGCGCGCGTCGCGAAGCGCGTCCCTCGCGCGCGGCGGCGGGTCGCGGTAGTCCCCGCCGGGGCCGGGGCCGCCCGCCGGGGGCGGTCGGTCGCGGTCGTCGAACCGACCGCGCGGCTCGCCGAGTCGGTCGTCGAAGCGATCGCCGCGCGGCGGCGGTCGGTCAACAAACCCGGGCTCGCGCCGGTCGTCGAAGCGATCGCGATCGCGGTCGCGGTCGTAGCGGTCGCGATCGCGATCGAAGTCGCCGCCGCCGCGCGGCGGCGGCGAGCGCGAGCGCGGCCGCGGCCCACCCGCCCCCCCGCTGCCGAACCGGTCGCGCGACGGCGGGCGGTCGTACGGCGCGAGCGGCGACGATCGTCGACGCGGCGGCGAGCGCCCGCGCGGGGGAGGGGCGCCGCGGTCCCATCCCCCGCCGGGCGGTCCGTTGGGCGGCAGCGGCGGCTGCCTGTCGCGATCGAACCGAGGAGTTCAAAGGCGTCAGAAACGGAGTTGAAAGGCGTCGAGGTGTGTCGGGATTGAAAGCGAGGGACCCTGGGCGGAGAGACGCGCCGGGAAAAGTCCTTAAGGATCGGCGTTCACCACGCCGACGCGGTCGTATGGGGACCAGTGTGAGATAGAACGCACCTCCGATCCCTCGGGGGCGGCGGTCCTCCTCCTCCTCCGCGGTCGCCGCGGTCGTCCCACCCGCTTCTCCCGAACGCCGCGGGCGGCGGCCCGCCGCCGCCTCGTCCTCCCGGCGGCTGCCTCACGTCGTCCCTGAACCCGCCGCCGTCGCCCAGTTCTCGGTCGTCGTGCTCTCGGAACGCCCGCTCGATCGCGCGGCGCACCGTCGCGACGTCCTTCACGCGCGGCGGCGGAGGGCCCGTCCTCGCGCGCGCGCACGCTTCGCACGCGTCGACGTACTCGTCCCACTCCCTCTGGCTCGGCTCGCTGTTGCTTATCACCCCCAAGCTGTGCGGCCTCTCCGCGACGCGCGCGGTCTGGCCGTCGATGAGTCGCAGCACCGGTTGCGTCGCGGAGTTCGCAGGGTCGTTCGGTCCCGCCGGCGCGCCGCCGGCGAGCTCCGCGACTTGGTACTGCCCGCCGCCGACGCCGACGCGGACGATCGCGCCGCGGCAGTCGCGCAGCGCGTCCATGGCGAACCGGACGTCCGCGTCGAGACCGGCGCCGAAGCCGGGGCCTTCCGGGCCCGCCGCGCAGAGCGCGTGGACGCGGCCGCGCGAGAGGAAAATTTGGCAGCCGTCGCGCAGCGTCGCGGGGGCGGACCCGACGTCGTCCCTGCGATCCCACGACTCTCTCGGCGGCGGGTGGCCGCCGTTTCCGCCGCGGTAGTCGCGCGGCGGCGAGCGCCCGCGCGGGCCCGGGCCGCCGCGCCACGCGGAGCCGTCGCGCGGGGGGGAGTACGACCGACCGCCGGGCCCTTGAGGCCCTTGGTGGTATCCCTGCCCCTGGTATCCCGGCCCCGGCCCCGGTCCCGGTCCAGCACCCCGCGGCCCCGCGCCTCCTCCTCCCCCGGGAGGGCCGCCGAACCCGGTCGCCCCCTGTGCGCTGTCGTTCCTGGGACGCTGCCTCGGCGGCGACCGGTGCCGAGGCGGGCTCCGCTCGCGTCCTGGGCCGCGTTCTTCGCGCGACGGCGGCGACGCGTGCGCGCGTTTGCCGCGGCGAGGCGCGTCGTCCGCTTCTTCCTCCTCCTCCTCCGCGTCGTCGTCGTAGTCGTCCTTCGTCAGCGTCACGGCCGCGTACTCGATCTGGACGACGGGTGCCGCGGGCGTCGGCGAGCGCGAGCGCATCATGTCCGAGCCCACGGGGGAGCCGAGCGCGGAGCCGAGGAGGTCGTCGTCGTCGTCGTCGTCCGCGGCGGCGGCGGCGGCGGCGGCGGCGGCGGCGGCGGCGGCGGCGGCGCGCGCCTTCTCCTCTCGCTCCCTCTCCGCCTCCGCCTCCGCGCGCTTCTTCTCTTCCGCTTCCTTCTCGCGCGCGAGTCTGACGGAGACGGGCTCCTCCGGTTCGGGGGACGGCGAGCGCGCGGGGCCCCACCCGTCGCCGGCTTTTCCCCCGGCGGCTTTTTCCGTCGCATCGCCATCGGCATCCTCCGCCTCGTCGTCCTGCTCCGCGATCGGCGCGTCTCCCGCGCCCGCGCCCTCCTTAAACAGCCGCGCGTGCTTCCTCGGATCGAACGGCAGGTGCGCGACCCCCGCGGGGTGCCCACCCGGGACCTCCATCCCCTTGAGCAGCGCGAGCGCGGACGCCGCGGGCGGCGACGAGAACTCGACCGCGGCGACGCGGTACGTCGTCGCGCCGCCCCCTCGGCCTCGGCTCGACGACTCCACGCCCAAGGTGACGCTCGCGACCTCGCCCGCGCTGCACGACGCGAAGAGCGCTCTCACCGCGTTCGCGTTCGCGTCGATCGGGAGACCGCGCGCGAGGACCGTGCGCGCGGGATCGAGCGCCTTGACGTCGTCCGCGGCGCCCATCGTTCACGGCCCCGAACGATCCGCGAGGTTGATCGATGAATGAAGCGCGCCGACGAATGAATGCGCGATGAAAGCGAACGCGCGGCCGTCGCGGGACGGACGATCGGCGCGTTCTCGCCGCGGATCGATCGCGCGGGTGCGCCGCGCGCGCTTCGGGCTCGATCGAGCGGGCGTGCGGTTCGCGCGATCGACGTGTGATCGCGACCGCGGACTTCGCGGCGCGTCGACTGCGCGCGATCCGATCGCGGCGCCCGAACGAGAGCTGACGCCGGCGGAGACTGGAGACGGACAGTCGGTTCGACGAGACTGGCATGCATGGGTGCACGGCGGAAAAATAATAATCGTGTCGCAGCACCCTCCGGAGAAGGCTCGAGAGGGAAGGTCGCATCGCGTTCGTCGTTCGCTTAAAAGCGCTATTCTTCGTCGTCCTCGTCGTCGTCGTCTAGACGTCGTCGTCCCCAACGTCCGCGCCGCGCCGCCCCCCGCCGTCGTCCGTCGACGACGCGACTCAAGGTCGCGCGCTCCCTTCCTCCGCGTCGTCGCTCGCGTCACAGCTTCTCGAGCTCCGCCTTCAGCTCGTCGAAGAGCTTATCCAACCGCGCCTTCCTCTCCCCGGTCGCGCCCTCGCACCACTCCTTCCTCACCGGCCCCAGCAGCCGCTCCTTCCGCTCCCGGAAGTGCGCGCGTATCGCCTCCGCGAACGGCGCGGGCGGCTTTTTCAGCTGATCGATCATCGCGCATCGTAACGCGTGCTCGCGAATCGCCGCGTTGTACTGACTCGACTGCCGGTCGCCCTCCGGCGTGCCGATCGTGCGCTCGTACCCCGGCTCGTTGAAGTACGGCTGCGCGCACAGGATCAAGGACTGTATCGACACGATGACTTGGAGCATCGTGCTGCTCGCGGCGTCCCACGTCTCGCCCTTCGCGCCGGACCACGTCCCCAGGAGCGAGAGGCAGACTTTGCCGTCCTTGTAGAGATTCGGGTTGAACCGCACGCGGCCGCCGCCGGTGGTTCGGAACTTCACCAGCGGCGCGGAGGTCGGGTACGACGACGGGAAGAACGCGTCGAAGAGAAACGCGCCGCAGTCGTACGGCGTGTCCTCGGGCCCGGTGATGAGGATCGTCCACTGCACCGCGCGGCGTTCGTCCACGCGCACGAGCGCGGAGGAGGATCGCGACAGCGGCAGCGTGCTCGCGAGGCCGGCGAGCTCGCGCGCCACGCGGGAGATGTGCGGGCCGTTCTTCAAGTCCGCGCGCGCTTCCGCGTCGTACGCGTGCGCGCTGCCGGCGATGGGCGAGGCGTCGAAGACGTGCGGGCGGAGCGCGTCGCGGTAGCGCGCCTCCGCGGCGGCGTCCGCTGAGGCGTCGTCGGTCTTCGCGGCGGCGGCGCCGCCGCCGTGGCCCGCGCACGCCTCGGGGTCGCCGCCGCCGCCGCCGCCGCGCGTCTTGCGCTTGCCGCCGCCTTTCGCGGCGGCGGACGATGACGTGGGCGCGGACGCGCCGGGCCCCGCGCCGGGGCCCGCGCCGGTCTTCCTCGCCGGCGTCGTCTCGAGCGTCCGCGCGGTCTCCACCGCGGCGGCGACGGCGGCGCCAGTCTTCAAAATCAGCCTCGCGATCTCCGCGTCGCCCATCTCCGCGGCTTCGGCGTCCGTCGCGGTCTTCTTCGTCGCCGCGGCGGCGACGACCGCGGGCTTCTTTCCGCCGCGAGCACCCGCCGCCGGCGCCTTCGACTTCGTCTTCGCCGCGCCCGTCGCCGCCGTCTCGTCCGCCGTCTCCGTCTTCGCCGCGGAGCCCTCGGCGCCCTCCACCGTTCGCAAAAACATCCTCGCCTGCTTCGTCACGTCCTCGAACGTCTCCGAGAGCCCGCGCGTGCGCGGTAACACGTCCGCGCACGGCGACTCCGCGAGCGCCGTCGTCGTGTGCATGAGCGCCGCGTAGTAACTCGCCCTGGCGACGACATCCATGAACGCGCAGCCTCTCAGCTCTCGAGCGAGAAACGCGGCGAGGGAGGACTGTCGCACCGCGCCCTCGATGGCGTCGGCGCGCGCTTTGGACGTCGTCGTCGACGCCGGCGCCGCCGCGGGCGGCGTCGCGTTCGCGCACGCGGCGGCGGCCTTGCCCTTGCCGCCCTTCTTGGACTTGGACGGCGTGCGCTTCGAGGAGGACGCGGGCGCAGCCGCGGCCACCGCGGCGGCGTCCCACCCGCCGCCGCCGTTCATCGCGCGAATCAAGCTCGTCGCCTCGACGAGCAACGTCTGCACCGCGAGATCCTCCGCCGCCTGCGCGGTCTTCGCCGCGTGCGCGTCCCAGTGCTGCTGACCGCCGCCGCCGTCCCCGCCGCTGCCGGTCGACGCGCTCTCGCGCTTATCGAACCCAAACCCGGTGCCCTTCGCCCACAGCGTGGACGACTTCGCAGCCGCCGCCTTCTCTTTCCCCGCCGAGCCGCCGCCGCCGCCGCCGACCTTCGCGGCGGCGTCCGCGCGCTCCTTCTCCGCCCTCGCCTTATCCCCGCCGCTGAGCACCGCGGCGAAGTCCGGCACGGTCTCGGTCGCGCCGCCGTTCCCGCTCCCGCCGCCGGACGCGCCCCCCGCTTCGGCGTCCATCGCGTCCTCTCTCGCGTACAACGCCGCGAATTTCGGCGGAAGCAAATCCTCCGAGCCGCCGCCGCCGCCGCCGCCGCACGACGCCAGCCTCGCGAGCGCGAGCTCGAGCTTGGACTGGTCGTCGTCGTACGCGCCCCCGGGGAACCTTCGGTCGTCGTTCATCTCGCTCGCGAGGTCCACGCGCGCGAACCTCTCGAGGAACGTCCGCAGATGCTCGATCACGCTCGAGATGGGACGAAACGGCTGCCAGTTTCGGAGACGCAGCCGCGGGTGCGCGATCACGGCGCCGGGGACGACGCCGGACAGCTTCGGGCGCACGAGGCTCACGCGCGGGGGGTAGAACGGATACAGATCCGCCTTGAAGTGCAGCTTCAGATGCACGTGCGAGTACCCGTTCACCGCGTCGAGAAGCTCCAGATCTTGCCGCATCCCCGACCCGGGGGAGAACCCGCGGCACTTGAACTGAGGGTCGAGGGTCCGCGCGTGGCGACAGACGGCGGGGTGGGCGGAGTCGAAAGGCGTCAGAAGCGGAGTCGAAAGGCGTCGCGATGTGTCGGGATGATTGAAAGCGAGAAACCCTGGGCGGAGAGAAGAGTCGTAAAGTCCGTCCTCGAGGAACGGCGCGCGCCGCGCCAACGGAATCGTATGGGGACCAGTGCGTGTGGTAACAAAACGCGCCTGCACGTCCCACTCGTACACGTCGTATTCCACCGCGTCAACGTGCAACGCGGGGTCGAGCCGCTCCTGCAGCGCGAACAGCTCCGAGGACAACCGCGCGAACGCCCCCTTATCTGTGAATATCTGCGCGCGAGCAGCCTGCTTCATATCACACGTCATCTCCCCCCGCGTCTCCTCGGACGCGAGGGACTTTTGCTGCACGCGACGTTCCTCGCGTTCTACGCACTTGCGCTTGTTTTGATACAGCCGCGTGAGCTGGTCCGAGTTGAGTTCGTTGTCCTCGGGAAGCGCGCCGTCGGAGTCGTTCCCGTCGTCCGCGTCGTTACCGTGAGCGTCTGAGCCGTATTCGTCGTCGTCGTCGCTGTCGGGCCACCCCTCGCCGTCGGAGGCGGAGGCGTCGTCGTCGTTCTCCGCCGGCGTCGCCCGCGCGTCCGTCGCCGCCGCCGCCGTCGTCGCCTCCGCCGTCGCAGTCCTTCCCTCGGGCATCGACTCGCGGTTCCGGTCCGGCGTCTCCGTCGGCAGCGCGACGCTGCCGCACGCGTCGAGCAGCTCGCGCATCGCGTCTCGCACCCCGAACGCGTCGCCGAGGAGCCGCGCGACGTCGAACACCGTGAGCGTCTTACCTCGCCACGCCTGCAGGGCGGCGTTGAGGGTGCCAAGATTCGTCTCGTCCGCGGGCTCGTCCGACGTAGCCATCGCGCTGCCTTTCGGGTAGCCGTCCTGTCGCGGTGAGGTGGGGGTGGGGCCCGGCGATGGAGGGAGGGCACGCGCGAGGAGGGCGTCAGCGCGGGGGGGGCGCGGCGGCGAGGGCGGCGATGGCGGCGGTCGTCGCCGCGCGATCGCATCGCGCGAGGGTGAGCGGGGGAGCGCGCGCGAGGAGAGAGAGACGAGGAGACGAGGGCGCGCGCGGGGGGGGGGGGGGGGCGCACGCGCCTCGAAGATGACCGTCACCGCCCTTCGCGGCTCCATCGTCAGCGCGACGCACACGCCGTCGTCGTCGACGTCCACGAGCGTGAGCGCGGCGCCGGACGCGACGGACTCGATCCCCGCGGCGAGGGACGCGCAGTCCGCGCGAAGCGCGGACGGAGACATCGCGTCTCTGTCCAGCTGTGCGCTGCGCTTCTTCTTCTTCGCTTCGCCGCGCGCGAGGAGATCCGCGCGGGGGCGCGGTCGACGCGGACGGCGGGCGTCGCGGCGGTCGGACGCCCGCGCGCGCGTCGCCGTCCGAACGCGCGGGGCGGTCGTGCGAGTTCGCTCGCGCGTCTCCTCCGCGCGGCGTCGTCGTCGCTCTCGCGCGTCGGCGCGCGCGGACAGGAAGTGCGAGCACGTGCTCGCTGCCCGGCAGCTGGAAAGGGTTGATCCGACCGACCGACGAATGCGAATGCGCGATATGATATTTTCGACGTTGTTAGCAGCTCTCGCGTCCTCCGTCGTCATAACTCTACCTTGCTCTCTACGCCGACGTCCGCCGCGCCCCCCGCGGCGCTCATCGTCGCCTTCTCCCGCTTCTTCTTCTTCTTCGACGACGACGACGACCCCACGATCGTCACGCCGTCTTCCAACGCCGAGTCCTCCGCCTCCCGCTCGCGCGCCCGCCGCGCCTCGTCCTCCTCCATCGCAATCGCGCCTCGCTTCGCGCCCTCCGGGTCCAACTCCGCCATCAACGCCACGCCGCTCTTCGGCACGGGCAGCGGCAGCCGCTTGCCGTCGACCGCGGCCGGGTCCGGGACTTGACCGCGCATCTTCTGCGCCACCTTCGCCAGCTTGACCGGGTCCGCGGCTTCGCACGTATCGAACTTGGTCGCCGTCTTGTACTTCGTCACCGGGTCGTAGAGCATCAGGACCACCTGCGACGACGACGCGCGACGCGGACGATGACGTGGACGGATGCGATTGGTGAGCGCGTTCGGACGCGATGGAGGGAGGGTTTCGATTGGTCGGGAGGGGATCGATTGATTCGCGATGAGGAAAGAAACGAAACGAAACGAAAGGAGTTCGCGGTCGGTCGCGGTGCCCACCTCGCCCTTCGCGATCATCGCCGCGACGGCTTTGATCTCGCCCCCCTTCGTCCCCGCCTCCTCGCTCGACGTCAGTCCGATCCCCAACAGCGCCTCCGTGTCCGCGGCGTTCGACCCGGCGGGCACCAAGACGTAGATCGGCGCGATTTCCCCCGCGAACGTGGTCCCGACGTAGTTCATCCCCTTATCGATTTGTCCCTCGAGAAACCCCGGCGCGTCCTCCCTCGCGAACGCGTAGAGGTGCGGGAGAAAATTGTTCACAGCGAGCCGGCCGCGGAGCGCCTCGGGGTCGTTCCGTACGAGCGAGGATATCGGGGTGGAGTTGAAAGGCGTCAGAAGCGGAGTTGAAAGGCGTCGAGGTGTGTCGGGATTGAAAGCGAGGGACCCTGGGCGGAGAGAGACGCCGGAAAAAGTCCTTAAGGATCGGCGTTCACCACGCCGACGGGGTCGTATGGGGACCAGTGTGAGATAGAACGCGCCTCCGCTTTGGGCGCGCGGTCCGACGGCATCGGCGGGAACTTGACGTACGCGGGCACGAGCATCCGGAACGCCTCGCGGATGATCTGGGCGGATTCGAACGGCATGATCTTCCTCTTCGTGTCGCGCGCGTATTCTGGTCGAAGCGCGGATCCGGGTTCGGAAGACGCGGATCCGGAATCGACCGCCGCGTCGACGTCGTCGATCTCCGCGAAGAGCGACGCGACGTAAATTTTACCCGTCTCTCTCCGCGGCGGAAACGATTTCGAGTCCAGAAGCTGCGCGATCCCGCCCGCCAGCGGGGGCTCGGGCACGCCCGCCGCGATCGTGATCGACTTGGCGATCTTTATCCAGTCCGCGTCGCGCATCCCGAGCGCGCTCCTCGTCGGCGCGGACTTGGATTTCGATTTCGATTTCGATTTCGTTTCGTCGCGCTTTTTCTTCTTCCCCGGAAGGCGCTCGCCGTGCGCGATCTCGGCTCTTCCCGTGGGGTAGGGCATCGCGGTGACGACGTACGCCTGCGCGCTCGCGGCGCCGCGCGCGTACACGCCGGAGTACAGCACGAAGACGACGTCGAGGTCCCTGCGGAAGAGGAGGCGTCGAAGCGAGGAAGGACGGAAGGGAGGGAGGAAGGAAGGTCGGATTGGATTCGGGCTTTTTGGAGCGACGGGCGCGGTGCCGATCGCGCGCCGTCGTCGCGCGCGATTCCCCGCGCGCGCCGACCGACGATCGATCGATCGGATCGCCGACGCACCTCTCCGCGAACGTGTCCTCCGCGATCTGGCAGTGCCTGCGCTCGAGCGCGCGCGACTTCCCCGGCCTGTCTCTCGGTATCGCGCACACGACGATCAGCTCGTGGTCCGCCTCCGCGCGAAGGAACGCCTCGAAGTCGTCCTCCGTCTGCACCTCCTCCATCGCGCGCGCGCCCTCGGGGCGGAGCGCGGAGAGGAGGAGGACGAGGACGAGGGAGAGCGCTTGGACCGAGGGCGCGAGAGAGAGGCGTCGCATGATGTCGCCGCGCCGAAGACGCGACGCGCGCCGAAGACGCGACCGCGCGGGGGGCGCGATCGGTGTGATGAGTGATGACCCCGCGGCGCGGCGATCCGGCGTCGTCGTCGTCGCGCTCAAGTCTGTTTCGACCTCGTCAGCAAGCGCGCAGAATCGGCGGCGATTGCCCTCCTCCTCCGCTCTCCTCACTCGGCGCGGCGCGGCCGACGGACGGGATGTCGTCCACGCCGCCGGTCGTCCGCGTGGACGAGCGCGCGAGCATCATGGGCGAGGAGTGGCTGTCCAGACCTCGCGGCGGCGGCGCGTCGTCCCCCGGACGCGACGACGCGTCGAGCGACCGCGCGGGGGGCCACCACGGCCACGCGTCGTCGGGAGGGTCATCGATGGCGGTCTCGTCGCACTCCCCGCCGGACCGCGAGCAGCGCGCGCGTCTGGACAAGGCGGCGCTCGAGGCGAGCGGCGGCGTGTGGCTCGGGCTGCTGCGCCTCAGCGACGACCCGTGGTCGCGAGGCGGCGCGTCGTCGAAGGACGGCGGCGGGAAAGGCGGCGGCGGGCGCGGCGCGTCGGGCGACTCGCGCCGCTCGCCGCCGCGCTCGCCGCGCGGCGCGCGCAACACGGGGGATCCTAGCATCGAGGGGCACTCGAGCCGGGAGGGTTCGATGTCCGACGACGGCAGCGGCGCGTCCGACGGCGGGCACCCGGAGGTGACGATGGACGAGAACGTCTCCCCGGGCAGCGGCGGCGGTAGCGGCGGTAGCGGCAGCGGCGGGCGCGAGTCCGCGCTGACGCGCTTCGGAGGAAGCGTCAGCGTGAGCGGATCCGCGAGCGCGCATCGGATTCCTCCTCCTCTGCCGCTGCAATCCCCCGCGTCCTCCGCCGGCGGCATCGACAGCGCGGGCGAGGAAGAAGAGGGCGTCGGCGCGATCGGCCCGCACGCGCACGCGACGACGCGGGGCATGGACCATCGCTCGGACACGCACGACGAGTGCGCCACCATCGGCGAGGCGGACGACGAGGGCGGGGATGGGCGCGGCCGCGGTGGACGCGGCCGCGGTGGACGCGGCCGCGGCGCGGCTGAGCGAAGAGGCTCCCACAGCGGTCCCTCGTCCGCGTCGCGCCAGTCCGGATCGGGGCGCCGAAGGATCGTGCGCAGAGTCGACCGGACGCGCGGGGGGGGTGCGGGGCACGGGCACGGCCACCACCACCACCTCGCGGCGAGCTCAGGCGCGTTTTGTTCTTCTAGCGCCACGCGGGTCCCCGTTCTGTACACTGGTCCCCATAGGACCGCGTCGGCGTGGTGAACGCCGATCCTTAACGACTTTGCCCGGCGAATCTCTCCGCCCAGGGTCCCTCGCTTTCAATCCCGACGCACCTCGACGCCCGCCTTTCAACGCCAACTGACGCCTTTCGACTCCACCCCGACGTCGCTTCGTTCGTCGCATGGAATCGCCCTCATCAGACGGCCGCGGGTCGAGAGGGAGAGACGGAAGACGAAGAGACGGCCACGGCGGCGGCAACGTCCGGCGGTCCCCCCCCGCGGCGGCGCTCACCTGCCACCTCGTCGCGCGCGCGCCGCCGACGGACGTCGGCATCCCCGGCGCGAGCGGCGGCGAGGGCGTCGCGCGCGCCGCCGCCGCCGGCGCGGCGATGCCGCCCGTCGCGGAGGCGAGCGTCGTGCGCGCGCGCGGGCCCGGGTGGCCGGACGCGTGGAACCCTGTGGCGTTGCTGCGCGTGTTTCCGTCGTCGAGCGCGCCGAAGGAGGTGGAGGCGTTCGACGCGCTCGTCGCCGCGCTGACGCCGCGGAGCGCCGTGGGGGAGAAGAAGATGTCCACGAAGGACGACGGCGACGCAGACGCGGACGCGGACGCGGACGCGACGACGGACGCCGTGGGGGGCGGCGACGGCGACGAGGAGAGCTCGCCGCCGCGCGGGGTGCGACGGAGCCCTCGCGGAAAGGCTGCGGCGGCGGCGAAAGCCGCGGCGGCGGCGGCGAGGGAGGCGGAAGAGGCGGCGGCGGCGGTCGCGGCGGTCGCGGCGAAGCGAGAGACGAAGCGAGAGACGAAACCGGCGGCGGCGACCGCGTCGGCGGCGGCGTCCGACGCGGACGACACCGTCAGCGTCCACAGCGGCGGGAGCATGGCGGAGGACGTGAGCGACGTCTTGTGCGCGGCGAGGGTGGAGCTCGAGGGCGGGTACGTCGCGTTCATCGTCAGCGACGAGCTCCTTCCGTCGGACGTGCGCGCGAAAGTCGGCGCGAAGGAGAAGGAGAAGGAGCCGGCGGCGGCGGCGACGCGCGATAAGACGGCGACGGCGACGAAGGACGCCGTCTTATCCGCCGCGGACGAAAAGGGCGGATCGGTATCGGCATCGGGAGTCGTCGAGATCCGCGAGATCCCTTCCCCTCACGCTCCGAAGACGGCGGGTCCCGCGGCGGCGCCTCACGTCAAGAGAAAGTTCAAGCCTTCGATGCGGAAGCCGCCACCCCAACGCCGCCCCCTGTGGGTCATCGTTCAGAGCGACGAGCCGACGGCGCCGCCGGAGGCGCTCTCCGCGGTGCCCACGCCTGACGTGCAGCCGACGAGAGGCATCTTGCGGCACCGGCACTCCAAACCCGGCGGCGGCGGGTCCTCCGGCGGGTCCCACCCGCCCGGGCACGTCGCCGGCGGCGCGCTCCTCGACTCCTCCAGAGCGCACGCGGCAGCCTCGGACTGGGCCGCGCTCGCGGCGACGACGTCGTCCCCCGGGCGGTCGCCGACGCGCGACGGGTCCGAGTCGTTCCCGCCGTCGGAGGACGAGTTCGACATGTCTCGCGACCGACCGTTGTCCTTCTCCGACGACATCGACATCGGCGGGTCCTCGCCGGACATCCACAGCGGCGCGAGCTCCGGCGAGAGCAGCGGCGACGAGGGCAGCGACGGCGGGATGGACATGGACCTCCACGACCCGCTCTCGACGACCGCCGCGTCCGCGCGCGGCGGGCGGGGGTGGCTGTCGCGGGTGCGGGAGACGACGCCGCTGGCGCTGTCGCCGCCGGCGCGCGCGGACGCGGACTCGCCGCGTCCGTCGTCGCTGCGACTTGGGGGCGTGGGCGTGGGCGACGGGGGCGACAGCGTGGGCGAGCCGACGGCCGACGGCGTCGGCGTCGTCGCCGTCGCGCTTCCGAGCGGCCCGGGGTCCTCCGTCGGCGTCGGCGTCGGCGTCGGCGTCGACGCGGCGGATGCGAAAAAAACCGTCTCAGCGACGCCGCGGTCGCCGCCGGTGCCGCTCGACGGGCTGCGTTTCGGCCTCCTCGGGTTCGACGTGACGCACCCGCACGTGCAACACTTGCTCGCGATGGCGGAAGCGCGCGGGGCGCTGTTCATGACGCATCCGACGCCGGAGTCGGTGGATCTCATCGTCGTGCATCCGCCGTTTTTGCCCATGCTCGGGTCTCCCGCGTTGCCGTTCACGGTGTCCGAGTTTTTGCGACGACGCAGCGTGCGGTTCGCGCTCGGCCTGCGGCACTTGGAGCTGTGCCTGGAGCAAAACCGGCGTCTCGACCCGCGGAGGGAAACCCTGGAGGTGTTCCCCGCGGGCGTGCTCCTCGTCGTGGACGAGAGCGCGCTGCTGTCCAGCGACGGCGTCATCGAACGCCTCGCGAAGCTGTTGGGGCAAGCCGCGGCGGCGGCGG